GAAGTCTATTGATCTTTTTCTCCATGGATGATAAGTCTATTAAGCACCGATTTGGGCCAATTTATTTTCGGATGGCATTTTCGTAATTTATGGGGCGACAAAATGCCATTTTCTTTGGATTTTTAAGGCTACAGATGACGAATTCGGCCTGAGGCTATCCTTCAACGATGATTAAGTCAATTAAGCACCGATTGGGGCGTATTTATTCCGGGTAAATTTTTGGTAGATTCCAAAGGGGTACCATCACAGATTTCTGGCGATTTTTCCGAAATGTCGTTTTCTTTCGATTCTGGAGGCAATAGATCACAAAATCAGGCCGAGGCTATTCTCCACTGATAATGATGTCTATTGATCCTGTTCTCCATGCATCATAAGTCCATTAAGCACCGATATGGACCATTTTATTCTCTGATGGCATTTTCGTAATTTATGGGACGACGAAAGGCCATTTTCATTGGATTTTTAAGGCTACAGGTGACGAATTCGGCCTGAGGTTATTCTTCAACGATGATTAAGTCCATTAAGCACCGATTTGGGTGGATTTATTCTGGGTTAATTTTTTGCAAATTCCAAAGGGCTACCATCACAGATTTCGGACGATTATTCCGAAATACCGTTTTCTTTCGATTCTGGAGGCTACAAATCACGTAATCTGGACGAGGCTATTCTCCACCGATAATGAAGTTTATTGATCCTCTTCTCCATGGATGATAAGTCCATTAAACACCGATTTGGGCCAATTTATTTTCGTATGGCATTTTCGTAATTTATGGGGCGACGAAAGGCCATTTTCTTTGGATTTTGAAGGCTACAGGTCACGAATTCGATCTAAGACTATTCTTCAACGATGATTAAGTCCATTAAGCACCGATTTGGGCTTATTTATTCCGGATCAATTTTTGGCAGATTCCAAAGGGGTACCATCACAGATTTTGGGTGATTTTTCCGAAATGTTATTTTCTTTCGATTCTGGAGGCTACAGATCACTGAATCAGGCCAAGGCTATTCTCCACCGATAATGATGTCTATTGATCCTGTTCTCCACGGATGACAAGTCCATTTAGCACCGATTTGGGCCAATTTATTTTAGGATGACATTTTCGTAATTTATGGTGCGACGAAAGGCCATTTTCTTTTGATTTTGAAAGCTACAGGTCACGAATTGGGCCTGAGGCTATTCTTCAATGATGATTAAGTCCATTAAGCACCGATTTGGGCGTATTTATTCCGGATCAATTTTAGGTAGATTCCAAAGGGGTGCCATCACAGATTTCGGTCGATTTTTTCGAAATGCCATTTTCTTTCGATTCTGAAAGTTACAGATCATGGAATCGGGCCGAGGCTATTCTTCACCGATAGTGAAGTCTATTGATCCTATTCTCCACGCATGATAAGTCCATTAAGCACCGATTTGGGCCAATTTATTTTCGGGTGGCATTTTCATAATTTATGGGGCGACAAAAAGCCATTTTCTTTGGATTATGGAGGCTACAGGTCATGGGTTCGGCCTGAGACTATTCTTCAACGATGATTAAGTCCATTAAGCACAGATTTGGGCGGATTTATTCCGGGTCAATTTTTGGCAGATTCTACCATCACAGATTTCGGGCGATTTCTCCAAAATGCCATTTTCTTTCGATTCTAGAGGCTACAGATCACGGAATCAGGCCGATGCTATTCTCCACCGATAATGAAGTCTATAGATCTTGTTCTCCATGAATGACAAGTCCATTAAGCACCGATTTGGCCAATTTATTTTAGGATGACATTTTCGTAATTTATGGGGCGACGAAATGACATTTTCTTTAGATTTTTAAGGCTACAGGTGACGAATTCGGCCTGAGGCTATTCTTCAACGATGATTAAGTCCATTAATCACCGATTTGGGCGGATTTATTACGGGTAAATTTTTGGTAAATTCCAAAGGGGTACCATTACAGATTTTGGTCGATTTTTTCGAAATGTCATTTTCTTTCGATATAGGAAGTTACAGATCACGGAATCAGGCCGAGGCTATTCTCCACCAATAGTGAAGTGTATTGATCCTGTTCTCCACGCATGATAAGTCCATTAAGCACCGATTTGGGCCAATTTGTTTTAAGATGGCATTTTCGAAATTTATGGGGTGGTGAAAGGCCATTTTCTTTGGATTTTGAAGGCTTCAGGTCACAGATTCGGCCTTAGGCTATTCTTCAACGGTGATTATGTCCATTAAGCACCGATTTGGGAGGATTTATTCCGGGTCAATTTTTTGCAGATTCCAAAGGGGTACTATCACAAATTTCGGGCGATTTTTTTGAAATGTCGTTTTCTTTCGATTCTGGAGGTTACAGATCACGAAATCAGGCCGAGGCTATTCTTCACCGATAATGAAGTTTATTGATCCTGTTCTCCACGCATGATAAGTCCATTAAGCACCAATTTGGGCCAATTTATTTTCGGATGGCATTTTCGTAATTTATGGGGCGAAGAAAGGCCATTTTCTTTGGATTTTGAAGACTACAGGTCATGGGTTTGGCCTGAGACTATTCTTCAACGATGATTAACTCCATTAAGCACCGATTTGGGCGGATTTATTCCGGGTCAATTTTTGACAGATTCCAAAGGGGTATCACCGATTTTGGGCGATTTTTCCGAAATGTTGTTTTCTTTCGATTCTGGAGGCTACAGATTACGGAATCAGGACGAGGCTATTCTTCACCTATAATGAAGTCTATTGATCCTACTCTCCACGGATGATAAGTGCATTAAGCACTGATTTGTGCCAATTTATATTCGAATGACATTTTTGTAATTTATGGGGCTACGAAAGGCCTATTTCTTTGGATTTTGAAGGCTACAGGTCAAGGATTCAGCCTGCGGCTATTCTTCAACGATGATTAAGTCCATTACGCACCGATTTGAGCAGATTTATTCCGCGTCAATTTTTGGCAGATTCCAAAAGGGCACCATCACATATTTCGGGCGATTTTTTTATGTAAAAAAAAACAGTTAGTTGCCTGTAAGAATCTGGATGGAAATCAATAAATATGGACTATAGGAAAAGCTTGTTTTTCCTAATGTTTGGTCCCAGTCCGAACCTAGTTTTCAGGACTATCTATGTACAAATTACTATAGGGATCTCTTTTCTTTTATGTGGCATGAATTATTTTAGATGACTATCAGCAGGGAAACATAAAGCGCCACATATAGGGTGGGCTTCGGTCCGGTCCGGACCAATTGGATCAAACTCTGGATAATCGCGGTCTAATAGTGAAAGATATCTTAGGACCAAATACCAAACCAATAGTGCATTCGGTCCACTTAGTTCAGTTCAAGTGTTAATGCAGTCCATTTTTTCCGAGTATCTCTAAAATTCATGGGGCAAGAACCGTACCATATTAAATTCGATTCGGTATATGGTCCGGTCCAAGCGTCGATTTGATTCGGTATGTTCCGGTATGGACCAACCCATTGCCCACCCCTAGCCACCACCTGTAACAAACAGGCTCACTAGGAAGCATGATTTTTCGGTGCTCGTTAATGACGCGTTTTAAAACTCGGTCGGACAATGGAGCATATGATTAGAAGCAACGGATGAAGGGTCGTAGCTTCAATAACAAAAGCAAACATGATTTACGGTTAGATTCACGGCTATGAATTTGTCAATTCCGGCATTGATACTAAAGATAATTAAGGGTTATGATCGTATGTAGTTAATGGTTTCAAGATCGTAACGATAACATAGTAGTTCATAGGGGTGGGCATTGGGTGGGTCGGGTGGATTTTGACCATAAAATGCACCCACCCGCGCTTAAACGGATTGATAATTTTTAACCCACCACCCACCCACATTTAGTCTCGGGTTGGGTCGGGCGGATGGTGGATGATGCGGGTGGGTTTGCGGGTTCACCCACATCACAATGTATATAATATAAAGGAGTCAACTTGACATGATAATAGGTGAAGAGAATCATCGAGGGAAACCATAAGTTGCAATAGGGCGAAAAATGTCGAATTAGTTCTTAAATTGGATAGAAATTCTATTATAAAAGAGTTTTCTACAAATTGAGACGATTATTAGGTGCAAGGAACTAAGGAAAATAATTCCACAAAGGAAAGAGCGCTGATCTAGGCACAAGAATTAGAGGAAAAAGTAAAGGGAAGAAGAGGGGATCTCTATTTGGAAGGTTGGCTTTGAGGTTCAAACTCGAGGAGCAGTCCGAGTTTATATCTAACGTCTCCGCTCTCCTCTCTCTAGCGCCGACGAATTTGATTTTTTTGCTGTTGGGTTGAGCGGGTCACCCGCACACTCACCCACAACCCACCCACCACCCGGCGGATGGCTCCCAGCGCAACCCGTCACCCACCCACAGGCCCGCCCACTTAACGAAATTCGGGTCAAATGCGGGTGGGTCGGCCCAAACCCGCGGATGATCCGCCCGCATGCCCAGCCCTAGTAGTTCATACTTCATAACATGATTGTAACTGTAACCAACACAATATGGGCTCAAGGAAACAACAACCCGGGCACAATATGTCAGAATCTGTGACCAGTATGGGCTCTAAGAAACACGAAGCTCAGCTATATAGCCCGAGCGCAAGAGCTCGTTTTACAATTTTGGCCCAGCCCAACCCAACTTTTTGGCCCATTTAAGTATGAATTATTAATTCTGGCTATCGGTCGGAAACGTAATACGCAGCGGACCACCCGAAACAAACGGGCCCGGGGCCCACATATGAAAGCCTTTTTGTCATTACGTGTCCAGTTATAGCCACCCACGTGGAGCCTCGGTGAACCACAATCCTCCCTGGCAATAATATCCGATCTTCCTCCTCCGCTCTCCACGTCATCACTCCCGTTTCCCGCGTCCTCTTCCTTCCCGCCTTTCTTGTCCAGTTGTACACTTTCTCCACCGTCCGATCCCTCTGTTCCCCTTCTCCCCGCCGTCGATTGCCTCTAGTGGACACCATGATTTCCCATACATTTTCAAGTAACCATAACAAATGCATTTTCCACAAAAACATACAGATTCTTACATTTCCTCTGGCCATCAGTTCTGTGCCGAACAAACGCCTGAAACAGAATCGCGACGGAATCTTCTCTGAATCCATCTGGGTTCTTAGCTGCTTGATCACGCTGGTAAGATTCTGATCTTTGTATAGCTATTGTTTTGCATTCTTAGTGATTGAGCCCTTATTATGGTGTTTATGCTAATCTTGATGAAATGGTTTCCTGAATTTAACAATTTGGTGAAGTGGGCGAATTGGGTTTTTGGAGGAACTCGGAAAAGATTGATTCTTTGGGCGGGATCATGGGCGTGGTGACTGTTTCTAGCTCAGCTTCCAGGAACCCATTAGGGTTAACCACCAGGGTTTCGAGCAGCGGGTCGAATTCATGGCGGCCATTGATCGTGGCGTTCAAGTCGGACAAATCGGATAGCACGTCTCTAGTCTCACCTAGCAACAGTACTCATCTGCAACTGTCGGTGAAATCTTCCAGTAAGGTTAAGAAGGGGCGACCGAAGAAAAGCGATAGAGTCTCATCTGTGCCTAAATTGGATGTGGACTACAATGAGGCCGCGGCGAAGTTGGAGAGCATATACAAGCTGAGTCCACCATCAGATGGTGAAGATGACGATGTAGTTGTGACTAGAGATAGGCAGAGGAAGAGGAAGAGTCGGGATGGGGCGGTGAAACCTGGTAGAGTGGTTGTTAGGAATCTGGCGAAGAAGGCGAAAAGGTTGAGTCTTGACAAGAGGGTAGCACTTAAGAAGAATCATGTGAAGGTAGAAGAGTGTAGAGAAGAAGAGGGGAGAGTGGTTGTTGGTTCATCAGCTAGTAAGAAGAGAGTTCGGAGGGATGAGGGTGAGAAGATTGATGAACTCGTGAGGCAGTACACGGGTTCGACTGATTTGGCTAGCTTGGACTGGAAGAAGATGAAGTTTCCCCCGGTTCTTCCTTCCTCCGAGCACAACTGGTTGTTCAAGTTAATGCAACCTATGAAGGTGGGTGTCTAAACAAATTCGGCTAGAATGGCCTGTTCTCTAATAAGTATAGTAAAGATGAGCTTTGAATTGATTGCATTTCGCTTTGTTTTGAAGGCTCTTATTCAGCTTAAAGATGATCTGCACAAGACTTTGGGGAGGGAGCCGGTCGACGGAGAGTTGGCACAGGCGACAAGCTCGACTGTGGTTGATGTTAGAAGACAGTTGGAGGTTGGCAGAGCTGCTAGAAACAAGCTCATCAAGGTACTTACTTTTTTAAGATTATAGAATGCCTTGATCGATATGTTGTGAAAATGTGCTAATGGTTCTTTTGTATTTGTTGCAGCATAATCTCCGTTTGGTGTTGTTCGTGATCAACAAATACTTCTCGGATTTTGTGAATAGCCCAAGATTTCAAGACCTGTGTCAGGCTGGAGTGAAGGGACTAATCACTGCAATCGATCGGTTTGAACCCAAGAGGAAGTTCCGGCTATCTACCTACAGTCTGTTTTGGATTAGGCATGCCATAATTAGGTCCATGACCCTCTCCAGCTTTACCCGCGTCTCATTTGGCCTTGAATCGGTATGCTTTCTGTATTCATTTATGCTTTGTCGCTTCTCTGGCTCCATAAACTGGACTTGACATATCGTAATCTACAGATAAGAGTGGAGATTCAGAAGACTAGGCTCCACTTGCTGGTGGAGCTGCAACGAGAGCCAACCGAGGAAGAGATCGTTGAAAGGGTTGGGATCTCCCCCGAGCGATATCATGAAGTGATGAAAGCAGCGAAACCAATCTTGTCTCTTCACTCGAGGAATGCCACGACTCAGGAAGAGTTGATCAGTGGAATCACGGATGTGGATGGTGGTGAGAACAGAAGGCAGCCAGCTCTTCTTAGGCTTGCTCTTGACGACGTGGTATGTTGACTCTCTTCACATAGTTTGCCTTGATTAATCAATGACTAAATAGAAGGGAATAACCTTCCATGGGTACTAAAGCTTAATTTATGTCTGGAATTCCTGTAAATGTGCAGCTGGACTCACTGAAGCCAAAAGAGAGCTTGGTGATCAGGCAAAGATACGGGCTCGATGGCAAAGGTGATAGAACACTAGGCGAGATCGCTGCTAACTTGAACATCTCGAGAGAAATGGTTCGTAAGCATGAAGTCAAGGCGCTCATGAAACTCAAGCACCCTGCTAGAGTGGATTACCTTCGTCGATATGTTGTCTGAACATTCATCTTCTTTCAATGGTTCGCCTTTAACTACTCAAACCATTCCTCCATATCCTTTCCCCGTCCTTGTATATTGATGGTCTGAACCATAGCCTACGTTTACTATACAGCATACTAGTATAGATGAAAGTTACAGATACTCCACACGAATCCTCCTATATCAAGCTTTGTTTTTCGATCATGTAAACATATCTTACAGGATCCTCATGTGTCAATGGATCAGAGTGTATACAAGTTTTGTTATGTTCTGCAATGTCTGCGCGATTAATTAATAAAACGATTGTATTTGTGTTGACAGCATTACAGTGGCCGCATGTGAATTTGAATCATTAGCCATAAAATGCTCAACAGGGTTCTCAAAAAACCCAGTAAACATTGAGAGGGAAACCAAGAAGCTAAAACTAGGAAGCCATGGAACTATATTCTCCAATGTGCCTGCTGTTAAGCTTTCACTCTTTCATGGTTGTATTAAACGCTTCTCTCTCTGCAGAAGAACATCCACGGTTTTTCATGATCCAAAACCTCTCAATTTCCTCAGGCGTTCGCCCAGGAATTCGTCCAGCAATCAAATCCCACCTGCAAAATATAAACAGTAACATTTTGCATCAGTCTTCGCCAACATAATGATATGTTGCAGTGATTAGTTTTGGTGTTAAGTTACCTTTGACCCACGAGCCGGTACATTCTGGAGATGAGATCTTCTTCTTGTTCATTCATTGTCACCACTTCCCATTCACGGCTGCTAACTTCTGCAGACAGAAGGAAAGAATAAGGGCACCTGAGAAGGTAAAAATATTATTGTTCAGATAAGGAAGAAGAATGAAACCTTGAGAGGCAGAGCTAGTGCTACTGCCTTTGCCTGCTTTACACCGGCTCCCACGACCCATTGCCCGGTTTCTTTCCCCTGTGCTCTGTGCTTTCTTAGAGAAAAACCAGAATGAGAAGCTAGGTGGATTGAGTTTTCTGGGATATATGGTGTGTGTGAACCCCCCCAACCAACCTGAAGAAATGGAATGGCTGCTTGCTTGGTCTGTTGACTTGTAGGCCTATTGTTGGACTTTCAGTTAGTTTGATGACAAAAACACAACAACATACAGACAAAAGGAACAGAAGAAAAAAAAAGACAATATTCTCCCACAATTTTCAAAAGAATAAAAAGGGAAAATGGCGGCCTGGGCCAATGGAAAGGTTAAATCATCCAACAAGTAGTATGTCTTCTGCTCTGGTTCAGCATGAGTTTGTATGAGAAATTGTGAAGATCTCCTAGTGAAACAAGTTATGAAAGTATGTAATTAATCATTGTGAATGAGCCCTACAAATTTTTGAACTCTTGTATTAGAAATAAAACAAGGAATAGGCCACATGAACCCGCGACATAGAAGAGAAAAAGCAAAGGTGCAGCTTTGAATCTGTGTCCCCATCCAAACCAGTTAAAACTTTACACAGAGAATGAAGATTTGTCTTTACTGTTGTATTGCAAGTACTGAGCAAAGGTGCAATTAGCTGAGTAGCTACAACTAATGATAAAGCACACAACTACTATTGGCAGTACCAAAAAGCAAAAAGGAAGAGGAATGACATGAAACAAAAGACAAACATCTTTTGGGTTGATGCGATCAAGATCACTAAACACCCACAAACTTGTTAAGCCACAACCTAATCATAATCAATTAAACACCATTTAAGACATAATAACATCTGTCGCACATGGCCACCACAGAAGACGAATAGATCTGAGCCGAGTACCACAAGACTACAAATCTTTTGTTTGACAGGCACAAACACATCCACTAATTCGAAACTTAATTTGAAAGCCATGTTTCGGCCTCGACGTTTTCGGGAGCCAGAATCCAGTTAAACTAGAAGGTTAGGGGAGACAGCATCCATCTACCACAGCCTAACTCATGCTAGAAAACCCAATAAATTTATGTGAAGCTTTCTGATCCCTCACCTAACCCACAAAACTAAAACTTGGGTATTATTCTATTTCAGGTCCTTCGCAACATATCCTATCCCAAACCACCAAAATTGCAACTAATTCCTTTAGACTAGCATCCGTTTTGGCTTAAACAAAGGCCATAAGGGGGCCTCACCAGCTCTAATCCAAGATATATGGTTTCCTTTTATTTCTCCTTTATTAGCTTCTGTTAGTGATCCAAATTAAAACCATATTTTGTAATGATAAGTGTCTGAGCACTCTTCAGGAATTGAAGAAATTTTATCATGATGTCGTTAGTGCATAGTGAGAGCACCAACATAAACATGATAAGGACACGTGAAAGTTCCCATTCAAGCAAGCATTTTAATGAAAAGAGTTGGAGACCACAGAGAAATGGGGGGAAACTTCATCTTAGACCTCAGGAATCTCGAAATGGTAGCAGAAAATAACCCAGCATTTCAAAAGAAACCTGGGCATTCCAATATGCCTCAGATTGTTAAGAGACTAACCAGGAAACATTCTGGTTCGCACGTGAAGCTTTTTCGTCTTGTCATCTACAACTTGAGATTTCGTCTTATCACCTTCTGGCTTCTCCTGCAAGCAAAGAGATATTGGGGGGAGAATAAAAAACTAGAACTGATAACATTGATAAGGGTCGATCAGGTTATGCTACTGTCAGCTGGTAGAGAAGGGGATTGATTGATTAACTTGTCGCTTACAATTAAGGAACTGTGTGGTCCATCATACTTTCTTCTTTAAGATTCTGATTCTTCAAGCACCAGTAGAAGATCAGTTGTACCTGGTGGTTATTCTTGTGTCAGGAACATATTCCCATCTGGCTAGGAGCAGAACTCCTGCATGTCTGGAGCTTGCTCTACTAAAGAAGGCTAAACAGCTTGAACAACAAACTACTTCAATCAAAATTACCATCAACCCAAATGCTCTTAAGGACAACTTGATTGCAAATTAGATGAAGCAATAGACAGCCATACAACGAAAAGAATGGCAAGAAAGGGCACTAATGACAATATGTGACATTCAAGTCAGGTCAAGCATCATCACTGTGACATGCAAGGAGAATAAGAAACCAATTCTAGGGGATATAGCTTTAGAGACCGAATTTCAACATCACAAAAGACCAGGTGGTTCCTTTCTTTATTTCAGAAAATATCCTTCACTAGTGGAAGTCTCCTGGAGCCTATTTGCACAAAAATTGGCAGCTCACAGGGAAAAAAAACACTATCACTACCTTTTCACCATTACATTTCATGAAGAATGCTAATAGACAGAGATTGCCTCTGTTACATCTTTTGAAATAATTCTTGTTTCTCCTAATCTGAAGGGACACCACTAAAACCATCATTGACTGGAAAAGTGCAAAAGGAAAATGGTCTGCATGATTATATACTTCAGCACTGATGGCAAGATCAATAATGAGGTTACAGACAGATAAAACACAAACAAAGGGTGGGGAAAATTTTGGAAAGTACTCGTTCGCATGAACCAACCTGCACCGAAATCTTACATAAAACAGTCATACTAACTCAAGCATTATGCACAAGTAGAAGCCAACATGAGTATCATTCTAATGGCAATAAAACCACTAAGATTTAGTAATTGATTAAAGATGCTAGCATTGCTGTATTCAGCAATAAGGACTTGTAGTTGCAGTGCATCATTAAGGGTGCTATAGGAGCCTCAACAAGATCGATCCACTAAGGCAGGCACACAAATCAGTCTGCCTCATAGTGATGTCTGTACCAATCAATAGCAACCACAAATTTGTTTCAGACACTAAGGCTTGCAAACAATAAACAATTCAATGGGACAAAGGCTCATGGTCCTAACCCTTTTGCACAAACTGCATAGTGCAGGTGATGTGGTTTCTTCCACTTACAGTAGAAACCAGAACAACAAACTATTGCTTATGTGTCATTCCTCAAAAATCTTACTGTCACCAACCTAATTCCATAGAAACTTTGCATGTTAGACAAAATAAGGGCATATTGGAGCAACTGAGCAAGCAATTTACATCCGCAAACTGATAAAGCAGCCAAAAGTTGCGAGGATGCAGATATCAATACCATTCCTTTTTGTCGTTCACCTATATCCCCCACTATATATATAGCTCTTGTAGGTACTAAACAATCCACATGAAAGACATAATCATTGTTGGATTGGACAACTTCTCCATCTTGGATTACATCTTCCTAAGGCCAAAGGAATCAAATAAACATGGGAGACAGACTACGGCTGGCAATTGGAGTCATGGGTATTTTTAGTTTTCCTTAGCTAAATAGTGTTGTACATAGCAGTACACTGCAATTAGTTGACTTTAATATCATCAAATCTGCATGGTGTCCATTGCAGGCAATGTTGCCTCCCTACTGCTTTATTCTGCACCCATGTAATGCCACAACTAACCATTCTAATAGATCTCATATGATGTATTGGACATTATACTACTGTAACTGAATATGCAAATTTTTCGTGTTTCCAGATTCACTTTTGCAAGAGTCATTAAAAGGAAAAGTACAGAGGAGTACTCTTGTGTCCCATATATCATTGCGCTCTTGAACTGCCTTCTTTACACTTGGTATGGACTTCCCATTGTGAGCTACAGATGGGAAAACTTCCCAGTAGCCACCATCAACGGTTTGGGGATACTTCTCGAGTTTTCTTTCGTTCTAGTATATCTTTGGTTTGCTTCAACCAGGGAGAAGGCAAGCTACTTATATTTCTCGTACAATTTTTATTAACAGTTTACTATGTTCTTAATGTATGGAAGCAGAAAAGTATTACCTATACCAAAGTAGTTGACATTCAATGCATTTTAGAGTAGCCTTATAGTATAAGTCCATATATGAGTATCTAAACATCAATAAATATTAACTAACAATTGAAATGGATGTACAGATTAAGGTTGTAGTTATATTGATACCTGTCATCCTAGCATTCGGCATCATATCAGCAACCTCTGCTTTTATGATTCATAATCATCACCAGCGCAAGGCATTTGTTGGAAGTGTTGGAGTTGTGGCCTCTGCAGCGATGTATGGTTCCCCGCTTGTGGCTGTGGTTAGTCATATGTATACTTCATAATTCACATAATGCACTCAAAGCTCTAGAGATTCTCGTTGATACTTTTTTCACTGTTGCTGCTTTAAAACATGAAATCTAATGAATGCAGAAGCAAGTGATGCAGACAAAAAGTGTGGAATTCATGCCATTCCACTTATCATTTTTCTCATTCCTAGCAAGTTCTCTATGGCTGGTCTATGGATTATTGGGCCATGATCTCTTTATCGCAGTAAGTATACTCGTTCAACCAAAAAAATTCTAGAAAAAGGTTCTAGTTTGAACCATTTTCATGCCTTCATTCCTTGTTTAACCAACACTTCTGTATTTGCAGTCCCCAAATTTTGTTGGCAGCCCATTAGGGATCCTCCAACTTGTGCTGTACTGCATGTACAGAAAAAGAGGAATCGCAGAAGTGCCTAACAAATTGGATGTAGTACAGAATGACCACAAATCCACACAGTTGGAGATCATGGTTACTGAAGATACTAAAGAGAAGACCTGAAAATTGTACACTTTTGTGACCCTTTTTCAGTAAGTATCTTAGACAGTCTCTGAAACGGTTACATGATCGGAGAGTTCGGCCACTAGATGGTTGTTTCTCAATTTATCACTCCTAAGTTACTGTTCTTGACTGAAACTAATCTCTTGCTTGTTTTTATAGGGAAACCTCATGCTGCCGCAAACATATGAGCTTATCAGCACCGCATGGGCCATCATAATCCAGTTCCCTTTGTATAATTATGAATGTACCAATATGTTATTCCTCTTCTTTATTACAATCTGCCTTCAGCTTACAACCACCCACTAGCTTAGCACAGCAGTGACAGAAACAAGTCTCGTCTTCAAAAGTTGGGATGCATCATAAAATTTGGAGACTAAACCAATCAATTGTCACGTGAAAGTTCTAATCTAGAAGGAAAAAGCAAGGACTTCGAATTTTTTCAGGACTATACCTTCTTTACTAATTGCATCCTAGATAATCCAATGCATATTAAAAATAACACTAAAATAGGAAAAGAGCTTACCTCTTATGAAGGAAATGATGATTGCTGCTTCAGCAGAAGTTAAATCCGTGAGAAATGCTGTCATTATTCTTACTGCAATCACGCAATCGGAATGAAGGAAATAACTGGATCCACCATGGCATAAAAGAAAAAGTTAGAGCGCGTATATATTCCGCGATCATTAAGCCACGGTGCAGTCGGCCATCAACCACAGTCAAACCTCACATGAAGCACAAGCACAAAAGATGAAGATAACACCGAGTAAAATGAAGACTATCAATGAATAAGACGTACTGATGAAGAGACAATGCAGTCTTTGACTATTTGAAAGGTAGAGAAAATGAATGTTAACTAGACAATGTATGAGATGTCAATGAGAAACTTAGAAACATTCTCCTGAAAGTTGATTGTGAAATTTAAACTTCACCTACCACGAGATAAACAGTTAATACACATGCAAGCTTCTCCCAAGCTATCTAAAATAATCAAATCAGAGTTGCAAGTGAGTACAGAGACCATAAACAAGTTCACTAACAAAGGTGGAGAGGGGATAAAACTTGTACATGTTGGAGTTGGACCAATAAACCAAAAACAGTTAACCATTAGCATGACATGAACCTTTCATTATGCTGTCAACATTTTAATATAAAGTATTTTCTAAGCTAGGTGCTGAATTAGCTTTTAGATTATCCAAAGTTGCATAAACAACACTAGAATCTAGGTGGCTTCTAGTTTGCACGGAGAATACATGAAGACCATTGTTCAGCTCGATACAACTACATCCAGGGTGTTTTTTCACTTCTAAGCTCGTCATTCTATTTCTCATAGTCATTTTCCTGCCCCATTTCCCCAAATCTGCATAGATGTTAGACAAAATGACATAAGCTGATGTTGGTTTAGAAAACATAATCAACATTTTCCCAGCCACTCTTTCTCCCACTTCCTTGTCTTTTCCAGAACCAGCCAGCACTAAGCAAAGTCATCCAAACAACAATATCTGCTTCAATTGGCATTGCTTTCACAAACTCCTCAGCTTCTAATACTTGGCCAAACCGACCGTTTGGGACTATTTTTTGCCCAATCTTACGATTGAAGAGTAGAATTTCCTCAGAGCCAAGTCCATTATGTGCATACTCATTCATAAGTGTTGTCCATGCTGCAACATTAGGTGATGAGATGGTTGAAAATAGCATCCAAGCATCATAAATACTCCCACATTTTGAGTACATATCAACAAGAGGTCCCTACATAAACATTGGATTCATAAGGCGTTTTGGTTACATGTGAATGAAGCATTTTACCCAGCTGAAGCGAGCCCAGGCCAGAACATGCTCGCAATATCACAGAGAAAGATGATTGAGTACAGCTTATCGACGACTGGCACATGGTGAGGTACAGTTTCAGAGCATCTTATACTGTTCATTCTTAATGAACGAAGACACCATCGAATTCCATATCACATGGTTTCGCTCTCCTTTCACTTCAAAAAGCATACAAGCTTTTTGAATTTCCCCGTTCCTGGCATACACTGAAATCATAGTATTGGAACAAATGATACTTTTCAGGTAGGTTTTCAAATATACGCTTTGAATCCTCAACTCTAGATTCATTGCATAACCTTTGATCATCACGTTGTATGAAACTGTATTTTTTTTATTCAAACCGTTAAAAACCACCTCTGCCTCGTCAATCCTATACAAAAAACCTTGAATAAGCTAGTTGGATGCATCTAAACTTGGGTTAGCAATTCCATTCTAAACATTCCTGGCATAATCGATATGTTCACAATCACAATAAAGTCCAACCAAAGCACCTTCAATGGATTGATCAGATACCAAGCCACTCTTTATCGCAATCCCATGAACAGCCATCCCTGTATTCAAAGCACCAAGCTTCCCATAAACTCTTATAACACAGTCCAAAGTGAACTCATCTGGCACCACTTCCCTACTTCTTCTCGTCCACTGAAACAAGTGCAGAGCTTTTTCGCCATCACCATCGCTCTTGCCATACCCTGAAATCAACATATTCCAAGAAACCACATCCTTTCTAGGAATATTAACAAGTGCAGAGCCTCGCTCATCAACCCACACTGCACGTAACCCACCAGCATCGAACTCCACAGAGTCTCATTCCCACCAACAAACTCATCAAACACTAACTTTGCTTCCCCAATCTCCTTGCAACTCGCTTAAAATTGCAACAACTAGCTGCCAACAAGCTCTAAACTCTCCCAACTAGATTTCACAACAAGACAATGAATCTGCTTCCCACCAGAAACCGACTCCCGGCGACTAGCGCATATACTTAACACAGTGGACTCACTCAACCTGAGACCTGAACCATGCATCAAAGAGAGCAGAGCAAGAGACTCGTCCAACTTCCCCCACTAGGAGTAGCCTGAAATCATGATGTTCCACGACACAACAATTCGTTCTGGCATTCTGTCGAACAGCTTTCGTGCATAGTCCAGCTTGCCCCTTCTTGCGTGCAACGCCATAGCTCTGTTACTTCTACAGATGGCGTCGCCTCCGTAAGTTGCAGTCAGGAAGTGCTTCCAATGCTTTTGATTGACCCTAAATAAACCTCAATCTTCTCCCGGCCAAAGACACTGTTCGTCTCGGCATTCTCAGAGAAAAAGAAAGAGCGGGAAAATTACAGCCTAAGCTTGTGTCAGTTGTGTGCACTTAACTGACTTGAGTAATAAAACCAAATTTTAAAGCCCACGTGGCGGCTCCTCTGCGATCCCTTTAAACGACAAATCGTACGACGACACTTGTCCCGAACTATGTCTCTGTATAATTACTCATCGTCCCCATCTCTTCACCAGCTCCATGAAGTCCAAGAAAATCAGCCAAATCGCGACCAAACTAGACCTCCGATTGATCATTCGCCGGCGGAGAGCAGAAAACGAAGTTAGCGTCTGGTGGAATTGATAATCGACAAAGAGGCTCTTGTTTTCATATTTGTTTTGGACCTGTCTCGGGACTCAGGAGGCAGGAGCATATTCCCATCTGGCTGGGAACAGAACTCCTGCTTATATGTCTGGAATCTTGCTCCGTTGAAGACGGCTAAACAGCTTGAGCAAGACACGAATTTCGAACCAAATGCTCTTTAGGACGACTTGATTGCAAGATCAGAGGACAGCCTGCGACATAACGGAAGACAAGAACGTCTTATCTTGGAGGTCACTCACCCGAGTTAAGTATCGAAAATACACAACGAATAACGGGAACATCCTGAACGTCGTCCTTGTACAATTTAGGTGGAGCTAGACCATCAATATCAAAGAGCCCAATCAAGTTCATCTACAAACTCAAAATTTTTTTAAAAAAAATTGGTATTCCAGTCAATCATTCAGCATATTTTTGCTTCCAACGTCTAATCACACACTTAGACAACACATAAACACACTTATATATAAACGAGTTAGACGCTAGGCAAGGCCCAAACACCGTCTTAGTCCGTGTTCAACCTGGATATTTAGTAATTGCGGACTTGCAGATTGTAGTCGCAGCCGAAAAACACAATAAGCAATTGAACTGATGAACAAGTCTACCCCTGTAAATTGTAAGCTGGGCCAGTTCTCAATTCACTGAGAAAAAAAGAACACAACAAAAGGAGGAAGAAATTCTTCAAAAGAAAACAAACTTCCCCTGGATAGATGGATTTTGTAGTCAACAAAGAAAACCTTTCAACCGTGAGTATGAACAGCTTCCCACACCAAGTTCTTGGGCACAGGATTAGCCAAGTCCCTGGCCTGCACCGCCACCGCCCTCAGCGTCTTGATCGTCCACACGTTCGCCTCCAGGAACGAGTAGCTCCGGTACGGCAGGTTATGCTTCTTGCACAGATCCTGAACCACCGGCGACACCTTCCTCAGCTGGCACCTCGGCAGCCTGGGGAACAGATGGTGCTCCAGCTGGAACTGGAGCCCGCCGTGGAACCAATCCATCCACGACGGACACGAGATGTCCACCGTGCCCCTCGTCTGCTTCTCGAACCAGTCGTTCGCCCTCGGCGGACCCAAGTACACATTCGCCGGGAAATGGTTGAGGCAGAACTGAACGTGCTGGATCGAGGTCACGGCGAAGGAAGTGAGCACGAAAGCGAACCTCTCCGGCCAATTGGGCAGGCAGGCGACCAAGAGGGGAAACCAGGTCCAGAAAACCAAAATCCCAGCTATGTTCAACGCTCTGTCCGGCACAATTCGTTTGGGGGAAAAGAGGAGGAGGAAGGTCTGGAGGTAGAGATTCACCCTGGCGACGCACATCACCGGGTAGAACGTCCAGTGCTGGTAGCTGACGAGGAACCTCGCCACCGGATCGAAATCGAGGTTACGCCCGTAGAAGACGGATCGGATCGATTTGAAGAGCCGGGTCGAGACGGCGAACACCGGGATGTGCTGCAGATCCGGATCGTAGTCGAGGCTGTTCACGGCGAGGTGGTGGGCGTTGTGCGTCCACTTCCACCACGCGATGCTGATCCCGGTGAGACAGTTTCCGGCGAGCATCTGGGCGAGCTTGTTGTACCCTCTGGTCGTCATTACCTGCGATGTAGTCAAATTCGCGCTTTAATTTTAGATAGAATCGCGCTTTTCACTTACAATTCTATTCAAAATCTACAGTTCTAAAACTTAAAAACTTCTTCTAGATTATCAAAACACTTCTACATAAAATTGAGATTTGACGGCATTGATTTACCTGGTAATGGCCCGAGTCGTGACCAACGTAGGCGCTCTGGATCCACAAGAACCCTAGCAGCACCGCCGCTCCGAGGTGGGCCCAGAGGGAGTCGCAGCAAACGACGCCGTATACCACCAGCGAGAACAGCACCGCGACGGCGACCAGGGCCGAGACGGCGACGTGGCCCTTCTTGTCGAACAGGCCCAGCTTGGAGAACTCGGCGGCGAGGCGGCGGTAGTCCTTGGAGACGTCGGAGACGGCGTAGTCCTCGAGGTGGTAGCCGGTGAAGAGGCCGTCGAGATTCTTCCACGCCGTACCCGGGTGGTAGGCGATGAACGCGTCGGTGACGTCCTGGCCGGCGACATTGGCGATGGCGACCTCGCCGCCGGGGTGCCGCTTCACCCACTCGGAGACGTCGTAGACCTTCCCCTGGATCGAGATCCAGAGGTCCCCCGGCTTGTTGTGCTGTTTCAGATCCTCGCTGGTAATGTATTTCTTTTCCTCCGCCATTGTCGATCAGAGGAAGGGGAGGCAGTAATGGAGAAGGGGGAAGAAGAGAAGAGGGGAGATTTTATTATAAATATAAAAAAAAGAAATAAAAAGTAGACGGAGGAGAGAAAGAAACCCAAAAAGAATCAATCTCCGAGATCAAAATATCTGCAGAGAGAAGAACACCCGGAAAAAGGCTGGATTTATTATTTTTTTATTTTTATTTTTATTTTTATTTTCCCCCTAGTGGATGGCCAGGTGGGCACCGGGTCACCCACGAGTCCACGACTCGGCCTCTTTGTAATTTAATTCTGTCCCTACTAATTATTTTTTTTTTATAATTATCCTCCTCTCTCCTCTCTCTCCCCACTTCTTTTTTTTCTTTAATCTTTTTTTTTTGTTTTTTTCTTAATTGGGGTTACGTTGATGAAGAGTTGGGATCTTCTCCGGGAGATGTTTTATATGCAAAAACGGGATTATGTGTGCTAATTCGGAAATTAGTAAAAAAAGGAAACAAATGGAGGATTGAGGTTGAGGATGAGCGGTGGTGGTGGTGGCCGGTGGGGCTCTATTTCCTGCTGGCTTTTGTCGGTATTTATTAAATTGACAGCAATTGTTCGTTTTTTTTTTTTTTTCTTCTTCTTCTGTTACCAAAGTAAATAGAAAAGAAGACTTTCCGTTTGGCCTTTGTCCGACGGAGGAGGGTGAAATGGGGAAACTGCAGTTTGAGTTCGTCTCTTTGGCGTTAAGGTAGCTCCACCAGTACATAGCGCGTTCCCTTCAGGTGATGCAGTCATGCCAATCCAAGCCCACTTGTTTTCCGTCGTTGCTAAGCAAGTCCTCTATGGCTGGCCAATGATACTATTCGTTGCTCCATCGTACGATTGGAGAGGAGAGTTGCCACGGAGCCAAGTTCGTGATGTGCATAGTCATTGATAGTAATGTCATGCCGCGGCGAATTCAGTACATAGTAGAGTAGTGGGCCGCATTTGAATAGAAAATTCGATACCGTAAACAAAACAAAAATGATGACTATAGTTTTCATTACAATGTCCCTTATACATGACGGTCTTTTTAATTTAGCGAATTCATCAAATCATGGAGTCTTTATCTATACTAATGACACACTCTATCTCCAAGAAAACAGTTAAGCAATCAACGAGAAATTCATCGCTCATTCTGTTGCATAAATAGGTTTTCACATGTTTCATTGCGGAAAATGTTATCCCCATAGTAGCCGTTGAGACGAGCTATGTCAACATTAGACGAATCAACCCCCAAATCAATTTGTATTGTGTATCCATCTCTGTTTCCACCAGCTTCTCTAGTAATTTTTTCAAGGCAGGAAACTTCATATTCATGACTATGAACCACATGAGCGCGGCAATACTATCGTGGATCATTCTTCAAAGAATGCATCTAATAGCTTTCAAAATCTCGAGGAAAAACTCTTGAGCAATTTTATAAATATTTTCTTCGCAAAAAAAAAAAAACCTGAAAGAGCTTTTAGGATCTAGTTTTGCACCACTCAACTCAAGCAATTTAAATGATGACTCAACAAGTTTGTGAATATTTTCTTCATCAAAAGAACGGAAAGAAATCAGTCAGGAGTAGTACTTTTGAATATGAACTGGGATCACATTTATGTTTAGTTTGGATCTTATACCTTGTGTTTTAATCAACTGTTAATATTGGGGTGCCCATGGATATTCGAACACACGATCACTTGATCAAACCGGTTCTAATACCATGTTATAAACCAGTTCGTCGTCCAATGTTGGTCAACCGTATTGTAATTGTTGGTATACATGCACTAACTAACTAACAAATGAAAGGAGCGGAAAGATCATCACGATCACTATTAATACTAGTAATATGCGCAATAACCCAAGACGATGCTTCCTTTTCTTCTTCTTGTTCGGACTTGTGGCGATCATCATATGCGAGATATCTGAGAACAATGAGACCGAAAAAGTAGACCGCAACCACCGCGACCACGACAAAACCAGGAGCAGGCATCCAGTACACAAGGCTCTGCACCGACACGGCCAAGAGAGCATCGGAAACCCCAAACGTCCGGAGACCGGAGAAAGGCGAAGAAGACGGCGTAAACCTGGAAGCTGGCAGCGACCATCAGGCAGAAGATTAAGCTCCACATCATCATCATCTCGTCGTCGTCGTCGGAGTTGCTGGTGGTGCAATAGTAGTAATAGTAGTAAGAGGAGTGCTGCCTGCAAGCACGCGGTCTCGAGCATCGACTTGAACAGCGGGCCGACGGGTTACGTGGGTCGACGAGAGCGGGTGAGTGCGAACTAGTCTGCACTAGATCGATGCCTTACAACTCGAACAACCTAAATCGATTCCTATGGCCTCGAACCACGCTGGTCAATTATCTACAAAGTCACTTTCCGCCGACATGCTTCGGGATAGGGTTACAGGGATAAGATTCTTTGTTGTACTAGATCGAATTCTAAGGACTCGAACTAGTCTAGTTCGATTACCCTGGACTCGAACCACTGCTCAATCATTCTGTCCAATCGCTTTCGACCCGACATGCTCCAGAATAGGGTGCAGGGAATAAAATTATTGATTGCCCTGAAACGAGTTCTCTGAACACAACTTTGGCCTCGAACCACTGCATCAGTCTACAAAGATAAAAAGTAAGCCAGCTCTTATACAACGTCATAGGTTTGTTTCGTTGCCCAACCTAATCTAAGATTGTGAATTGAAGTTAGTAATACCTAAATATATATTTCTTGAATTGAATTCAAGTACACGTGACAACACCCCAGCGATCCCCTGCACACCACCATGCACGACGACACGTGTCCCCCACAACTCTGTCTCTGTAATTAGTCAGTCCCCAATTTCTCCATCAGCTCGATCAAATCCAAGAAATCAGCGAAATCGACCAAATTGAACCTCCGATTGATCATTCGCCGGCGTTGGGGAGGAAAAAAAACAAGTTATAACCCTCTGATCGAATTGATTGATGGGTAAGCTGGCATCGGCGAGGGAGTACAGGATGTACGGTCCGACGAGGCAGAGCCGGAACAGGGCAGAGTACATCAACGCGGGGCTCTACCTCTTCGCCACCGTCGTGTTGATCTCCGGCTTCGCCGCCCAGTTCTCCGGCGAGCCGAGGTCCGGCCTCGTCCTCCTGCTCATCGCCCTGCTGATCATGGTCGCCGTCAACGTCCACGACATGGTCGCCCACCTCTCCGGGATCGACTTCCGGCTGCCGAATCTAATGGAGCTCGACCCGCAGCTGGCCCTCGTCGAGTTCGCCGTCCCGCTGGTGCTCGCCGCCGGCGCCTTGCTCTGGTTCCTCGCCGTCCTCTTCCTCTTCCTCCAGGCACGTTACTCACCCACTAGTACATTTTATTTCATTCTATCAATATTTCTTGATCCATAAGGAATTGCTTGAATATATCGTGTTGAATCGCAAAGAATTTACCCCGGGGAAAAAAAAAGAAGTTTATATACACCAACATTTCTGCAAATTACATGGAAATGTTTATTTGTTTGATAGCAGTTACAGTGACGTAAAAATGTTGTTGCTTCACATCATTAAGTATTATGATCATGTCATGGGTTCGTCTAGGCGCTAGGCAACAACAAAATGCTTCGCCTAGCGACTGCGCAGGGAGTTAGAAATCCAGAATACGATTTTCTCTCAATCTTTTTCAATAGTTCGAGTACTTTGCAAGCTATTTAGCTACGATAAGAAGTTGTGAGTTATGTTTCTTATAGTTAAGGGTTAAAGAATTCATCATTTGAACTAACGTCGAAGTGATGTAAAATAACTACTTTCATTCATCGTTTAGTACTAACTGTCATTTTTGCTTCCAGGGGGGACGTCTAGGCTAGTTAAGCGCTAGTCAAGACTTACAACGTTGGCCTTACTTCTAGCGCCTTCTTTTGTAGATTGAGATGTTTAACGTTTTTTTCCAAATGTGTTGTTTACTTGGTACTTTTTTTCGCGATTTTCTAAATGGTTGGCACACGAAGCAGGAAGAGAAAGGGTACAGGTACCTGGGATGGGAGCGCCACTCCCTGAACATGGTGGTAGCAGGGACGGCAATGTGGGTGCTCGGCTCGATCCACAACGTGTGCCAAATCTACGAGCGAGCCGACGCCCACGTTCAGATCCTGCAGCAGACCGTGCAGCTCCCGTTCCTGATGGGGAGCTTGCTGTTCCTGGTGGGCGCCATCCTCAACAGCAGAGAGCAGGCCAAGAAGGAGCACCACGGTCTACATTTGCTGGTACTTGCTAGACAAGAAAAGAAAACAAACCCTAACTACATTTGCTGGCCACTACAATAACACTTATAAATTTTCGAATTCGTGTCTAATTTGTTGGGGTTCGAAACAGGGGACGACTCTGGTTTGGATGTCGATCTACGGGAGCTTGATGTTCTTCGTGGGCGGGTTGGCGAACGTGGTGAAGGTGTTCAAGATGCAGCAGATGAACGGCCTCCGGCTCGAGAAGCTCCGCGGCGGGGCCCTGGAGCGACTGATGCAGGGGAGGGAAGGGCAGGTGCCTCTGATCATTGAAGAGCAGAGGCGGAGGAGTGCGAGGTTGCCTGCTGCTGCAGCTGGAGAACCGGTAGCAACATCGACGATGCCGGCGGTCACGACGAACATTCCGACGCCGTATAAAGATGTTCTTCTCGGACATGCTCAACCTTAGTTGTTTCTTTGGCTAGTGGACTTCTCCCATATATTCATTGGAAAACCCATGTCGAGGATTAGAGAAATAACGGAATCAATCTCTTTTTTTGCTATGGTTTTGGTTTTTCTTCTTTGTATTAAGTTTTTTCGCTTTCGGTTTATCAGTGTTGTTCTACCGCCATTTCGATTATAGGACTCGTAATTTTTGTGTGTTATTCACGTGAAAATTAAGAATGAAACAAGGAGGAGAGGCATTCCTTGATTGGAATGAAATTAGTGGTTATAAAGTTCTATTGAAATGAAAACCCCATGTCGAGGATTAGAGAAATAATAGAATCATCTCTCTTTTTTTGCTAGGGTTTTGGTTTTTCGCTTTCGTATTATGTTGTTTTGCTTCGTTTTATCAGTGCTGTTCTACACCATTTCGACTACAGGTCTCATAATTTTTGTGTTTCTGCGAGTGGAACAGAAGAAGAAAATAAGGGGGAGAGGCGTTTTGGTATGAAATTAGTGGATATGTAGTAAAAAATTTGTTATTAGTTGACTATTTCACTATCTTTTCCTCTTGTTCAGATTTCATTTCCCAAAGGCCAAATCAACACAAACCTATACAATTATTTATTAAATAAAAATTCATGTTTACCGTTATAGAAAATTATATAAAGACATAAGAATTGAAAATAGAATCTTACAAAATTTAGTACCATACCTCGAAATTCAGACTCTGAAAAAACACATCTTTGAATAAGCCCAAAATAAACAGGCCTCTTACATATAAACAGGGGCCATTTTAACCCAAGCCCAAATACGATAGACGAGAGACGAGAGACAATGACGAATCTACCCCGTCGCAGTTCAACGAATTGCTGGGAATGCCTAGAAATGTAAAAATCGCATCCGGCCTGGCAAAAGCCAACATTCCACTCCTCCGCTTTCCTCCTGCTATCGCTCAACACAGTGGCGCTCGCTCAATTCTCCGGCTCCGGAGCAAAAACCTCGAGCCAGCTAATTGCCGCCGTTCCAGCTGCGTCGCGTTCTTTCATTCCATAACCCCAATTCTCTCCGGAGATTCGTCGATTCTACAGCCTCTCTCTGGCTCGCCAAAGGTAATATGCTCAATGCCGCCTCGACCTTCATTCTCCCGGGAACTCTAGGTTAAGGTTATTTCTCCCAATTTTGGCGTACTTCCCCGATCGAAATGGCTTTCTGGTCTGCCGTTGCTGTTGGGGATGCTGTATTTAGATTTAGTTCTTTTGGTTGAATTCGTCGGTATTGGGGTAATTTGTTCTGCTTTTGCTGCTTATGTGGCTGATGGCTGATTCAGCAATGGGTCTATCTGTGGAACGACTTCCTTGAGTGCTTGGAATGTTCTGTAACGTGAAAATCCTATCTCATAGAATGATATTCGCTTCTATTGCGCTTAATAACAATCCACTTAAGCTTCCTGATGGTTTCAAATCGTCCATGTATTGCATTATCTCTCTTTTGTGTGTGTGTGTGTGTGTGTGCGTGTGCGTGTGCATAGGAGCTTCTATCACTAGCCATCTTTGAGGTTGTCTATTTGCTCACCTGAAAACATCTGGCTGCGTCCCTGGTGGGCAGTTGTTTCGAGGGGTTTTCGGAATGGATTGAGCAGCAACAACTTGAGTTGTGTTGATAGATAATATTTGTCGATTTTCATTTCATCTGCTTTATGGGTAACTGATTTTGAGATGGGGCTTTTGTTTTTATTAGTTAGGGTAGTTCTGCAATGGCGTCTGTATCTAGCCAGCCACAGTTCCGTCTCACTCAACCGCCTTCGAAGGTGCTGCACTTAAGAAACTTGCCATGGGAATGCACGGAGGAAGAGTTGATCGAGCTGGGGAAACCCTTTGGTAAAGTTGTAAACACTAAGTGCAATGTGGGTGCAAACAAGAATCAGGCTTTCATTGAATTTGTGAGTGATCAAATGATTTCCTGCCAACCCGCCTCTTCTCTTCCCCTCATAAAATTGATGATGGACCGTATCAGTGATGCACGTTGTGAACTGTCTTTCAGGTGGATCTGAATCAAGCCATTGCTATGATATCATACTATGCTTCATCCTCAGAGCCGGCTCAAGTGAGAGGGAAGACTGTCTATCTGCAGTATTCTAACAGGCAAGAAATCGTGAACAACAAGACAACAGCTGATGTTGCGGGAAATGTATTGCTTGTGACCATTGAAGGTGCCGATGCTCGCCTTGTCAGCATTGATGTCTTGCACCTGGTAAGAAAAATAAATGGTCTGGTGTTTTTTTTACAGGAAGTAAGCATGTTCGAGAAGCAGTTTAGCGATTCGTTTGTTAGGATGCAGATAGTTTCAGAAAGCTTTTTGTTTGACATAAGTGTAATGAATCAGCAGGCCCATCTCAAGGGAATATCTTTGATGGCAGCTTAGTGCATCGGGGAAAGAGCGCATGTGTGTTTGTCTCCTTTCTCCTTTCCCTACACTGGCTCTTTCTTCCCTACTCTTCCTCTTCAATCCCCATTCCTACCGTGAGGCAGTTTATGTTTATTCGTTGGTGGGTTTCGAAAGCAAGGGATTTGCATCAACTCTGATGCAAGTGTGTCTGTTATTAAGTTGATTGCTTACTCTCTCTCGAGAGTAATGTAAGCATTGTTTGGGAAGTGCTTTAACTCAATTATATTGGCAGTGTGGCTATGACCTGCACTTTTACATTTTGGATAGTCTAACTCCTCAAAAGCTTCGTCTTTTATCATTCAAATTTCTCCCCTGTAGGTGCTGTCAGTTTTTACCAGTAAATACTTTTGTTATAGTTTATGGTGCCGAAGGACGTGAAGCTATATGTAAAGAGCATGCCTAGTTAATAGATTTTAATTGTTTTGTTGCTTAACCGTCTGTGCTAGTTTTATTTCTAACAAGTTTGTTTTTGGTGCAGGTATTTTCTGCTTTTGGTTTCGTGCATAAGATTACAACTTTTGAAAAGACGGCTGGGTTCCAGGTATGCACTTATAGGTTTTATAACCTGCATCCAATATCTATTCTATCCTTGAAGCTCATCTTTACCATGTGAACCTTTCAGGCGCTCATTCAATTTTCTGACACTGAGACTGCTACATCTGCAAAAAATGCTCTTGATGGAAGAAATATTCCTAGGTGACGGTTGGATTAGTACTTTTCACATGGTATTTAGTCCCACTGATAAGATCATGTAACTTTAAAAGGCAGATGTATGCATTAAGAAAGGGCCTTTTCAGCTTTTCATTTAGCGCTCTTTCTGGTATTATGAGTTGTCATATTGTTCACATTGGCCGTCCTTGGAACTGCCAGATTATTTACTAATTTGCCGTCATAGGCCACAATTGCGAAGTTGTGTTTCTTTCAGTAAGATGTATGCTAATTTCCCGACACTTATTTACTTCTCATGTATTTTTTTCAGCTATCTGCTCCATGACCAAATCGGACCATGTACACTTAGGATCACGTACTCTGCTCATACGGATCTGAGTGTAAAATTTCAGAGCCATAGAAGCAGGTACCCCTGCTTCGACTTCCCTCCCTTATGTTTTAAGCTACCTCTTATCGTCTTATCTCTTCAATAAGATCGTGTAACATTCAGGGGCGGGACCTCCCTTGAGGGCTCTGCTTGTTTTCAAAAAAAAATTGTTCTTTTTTATTTTCTGGTATCTTTTCATAACTCTGCCTCTTTTTTTTGTTTTTGTTTCAGGGACTACACTAATCTAAGCCTTCCTGTTGCACCATCAGCTATTGATGGAAGTGGTCTGGTAAGTCAGTACTTTTTATCCACGTTTTGCTTATGCGCAGCTGTGCATGACTTGGTCGGTTGCAGTTGCAAGATGGCAGGGTTGGCTAATGTTTGTGTAACTCATTATTGATTCTAGAATTCACCATTTCGTTGTAATTCCTGTTATGGTCTCATGTTTATGTGAAAGAGTTGGTATATGAACTCCCTTGAACAATTTGTCAGGGTTATTTGTTTCTGGTATATCTGTGTCGTTTTATCATTATCCACAATTGCCACTATTTGCCTTAGACGCATTATGATTGATAGAATTGTTTGATCTTGTTGCAGTTCACTGTTGGTCAGGATGGGAAAAAGCTAGAGCCTGAAAGTAATGTCCTCCTTGCATCAATAGAGAACATGCAGTATGCTGTCACATTGGATGTTCTCCACATGGTATGGTACTGTTGATTTTTTATTGCCTGGGATCCATTTTTCAATTTGAAAATTACTCTAATTAGCATTTCTTTGTTATGCTAGGTTTTCTCTTCTTTTGGACCTGTTCAGAAGATTGCTATGTTTGACAAAAACGGTGGACTTCAGGCTTTGATTCAGTACCCTGGTATGCCTCACAACTCCAATCCTAAACTAGGTTTTCGGAGTGTGGTATTATGTGATAGGGACATGACATCAATGTGGAAAAGAATTTTAATTACCTGTATGTGTCTACCGTTGCAACATGGTAGATAGGTGTTGACATTTCTAAGCTCAAACAATGATCTTGCAGGGTATTATGACCTTGAGACAACCTTATATAGTTGCCATAGTTGTTCTTGATCTTTTCTTTGAGGGACTCGAGCAGCGATTGAAAGTAAACTTTTTACGGGGAAATGTTTTGATTATGGTGTTCTGCAATTGTGTTTTTGGCTTGCAGATGTCCAGACTGCTATGGTAGCCAAAGAAGCATTAGAAGGACACTGCATTTACGACGGAGGCTTTTGCAAACTTCATCTCTCATACTCCCGCCATAATGATCTCAGCATAAAGGTAATTGGACTTTCATCTCTTTCTGTACCATCCTGATGGCAGGTTAAATTAACGACTGACATTATTAGTGTACTGTCATTTTAATTCCAGGTCAATAATGATAGAAGTAGGGACTACACAATCCCCAATACTCCAATGATGAACCCTCAGCCTTCAATCCTAGGACAGCAGCCAATGGGCGGAGGTCCCGTTCAGCCATACAGTGGAGGTCAGTATCCTCCAACGGCCGAGCATCAAATGATGCCGCCTCAAGCTTCAGCCGGATGGGGTGCCGGTGTTCCTCCAGGTCCTCCTCATTCAATGCCGCAGCAGATGAATAGTAATGCATACACGCCACCGGGTGGGGGCAATAATTATGCGTACATGTCACCAGGCGGGGGCAATAATAATGCGTACATGCCACCGGGTGGGGGCAATAGTAACGCGTACATGCCACCAGGTGGTATGCCCCCTCACGGAGGGCATGGAATGATGCATATGCCAGCCCACGGTGGCATGCCGCCACAATCTTCTTCAATGCCCCATCATTATAGGCCTGCTCAATAGCATCTCCCCTTTTCTCGTGGAATGAGGAGAAGGGCAGAGACTTGGATCACCAGTTCAGAACCAATGTTGCAGCAATCTCTTTCCTTTTCAGATTGCAGCAGAGGGTGCTGGCTGACCGACAAGTGTTCTGAACTACAAAGGTTTTTATTGTTGGCTGTAGAATTGAAACGTTTCGAGGTTGTGTTTTGTTGGATGATAATGCAGATATGTGGTAATGTGGTTGAAATTTTATGTTTTTCATCGAAGTTGGATATTTGCATGATCCATCTACTGTTGAGTTTGCTACTATATCTTTTCTTTGCTAGAAAGTTTGCTGTTATTTCTGGTGTTGAGAAACAGGAGAACTTGAAGGTAAGCAGGTGGCCAAAAGAGGCTACTTATGGCTCTTCATGTCCCGGCTTTTTTGGTCTATAAATATGCAGAAATATCAGATTTGCATATGGGATAGTTGAGTGTAATGTCTGGAAAGGGATGGCATTGGACAGGTACTTGGTTCATGTAATTTCATATAGTATAATGGGTGCTTGGTTTATGCATAGACTTGCAGTTCTTTCTTGGAGTTGAAGCTGAATCATAGTGTACACAATGATGGCTGTAACCATGGACTTCATTGTTCATTGAAGCTTTCGTTAGGGTTTTGGTATCAGAGGAAGAGTGCAAGTGGCCTACTTAGAGTCCAATGGAACATTTGCTCATCTTCATAAGCTTTGTTTAAAGCCTCTTTCAACCTTTTGTGGATCGATATAAATTAACTTGTTATATCATTTCGATTTGAATGGGGTGAATTGTTGTGCAATTGAATTATCAATGATGGTACTCAACAATTTTCCCACAGAAATTTGGAAACGAGTCTTCTCACGAAAGCCAACGAGAAATGAACATTTATTCAAAAAAAAAAAAAAAGAGAAAAATGAACAACATAGAATTTAACGGAAGATATAATTGAAGTCTAAGGCTACAACGGCTTGACTTGATGTAGTTGAGAGGAAACATGAGAGCGTCATTATTTATTTCTCTCACTTTTCGTTTTCTTTTTTAATTTTGTTAACGTGTTTGAATAAAGAAAATAAAAATTATATTTTGGATGTAGCACGATATAAGCTTAATTATCATTCAAAAGTAAGTTTTACTTGTGTACGATACTACATACATTCAACCAATTAATATCGCTGAAGGACTCATGTAGACGCGTATAATTTGTAACCTATGAAAATATAATGCATGTGCTAATTAAATAAAAACTCGTAACACAAACTACGAAAATATTAACCATATGAAATTTTCAGTTATCTCGTTTTCTAATCATATAATTAAAACTGATCAAATATTATAATGAGGCGATCAAATAATATGAGCAACATACATCGAGTGTTATAGCATATCAATAATTTGACGTAACTAATATTGTCTAGAACTAGTCCGATTTTTTATTTTTATTTTATGGCCTTAAACGAACTCAAACGAGTGTATGGTTTTTTTCTTCAGTTTTTGACACTTTTCATGGCAGAAATCGTGGCACTGGCAAAGCCGGCGCCAATTTCAATCTCATATCATATGAACTCTCTCAGCCAGCCAAGGGGATAAGATTGGTACTTGGTAGAGCAGCCAAACACTTCCTTCCTTCGCTCTATCCTTCCGCTCTTTCTTTGCATTCTCCCATCCCTGCCTTTCTGCTCACTCCATCTTCTCCCTTCAACTCGGCCAGCAGGAAGGCAGCTCGGAGTTAGAGCGAGAGGCAGAACAATCAAACGAACCCTAATCACCGAAAATGGCTATTGCCCTCCAAGCTTCTCTTCTCTGCCGACCTTCCTCCTCCCTCAAACACCCTTTTCCGCATTCCCCACCTCGCCATTCTCCATCTACTTCTACTTCTGGCCCCAATTTCTCCACTTTCCTTATCCCTTCTCGATTCCCCTTGCGCACTTCCCGCCGTTTCTGCACATTGCATCCCGATAACCCAAATTTCGTCTCTGCTTGTTCTCCTTCCTCGTCTTTCCCTCCTCCTTCGGATTCGGTATTGGACCCGGCTTCGTCCGCTTCCGGGTTATCCAAGCCCCACGACAACCCGTCCACTCCCCAATTAGCCTCCGACCCGCAGAGCGCCGGCGACGCGGAGTTCAGGGCTGAGAATTCATCCTCTGGCGATGACGAGGCGGCGGCGGCGGAGGATGGGGAAGGAGAGAAGGCGAAGGGCGGGAAAAGCAAGTTGCCCCTGGTGGTTTTCCTTATGGGTATATGGGCTGCTCTCCGGACACGGGTTGATTACCTCCTGGCTTCTGATTGGCTTAGCTGGTTCCCGTTTTGGCGGCAGGAGAAGCGGCTGGAACGCCTCATTGCCGAAGCTGATGCTGATCCCAAAGACCCTGTCAAGCAAACTGCTCTGTTGGCCGAGCTCAACAAGCACAGGTAAGAAAGAAAGTTGTCAATCTTTTTTATGGAGAAAGAAATGTTGACAATGATCTTGTTTTATTCTCCATTGTCATTTTGCAGTCCTGAGTCTGTGATCAAGAGGTTTGAACAAAGAGACCATGCTGTAGACAGTAGGGGAGTGGCAGAGTATCTCAGAGCACTTGTGGTTACTAATGCGATTGCTGATTTCCTTCCTGATGAGCAGTCTGGGAAGCCTTCCAGTCTTCCTGCATTGGTAATTTTAGAGTTCAAATTTACTTCTTGTTTGGGATTTTGCTGCTCAGTGTCATTTAATCTGACGAGCCTAACCATGGTTGTTTCAATCAGCTTCAAGAATTAAAGCAGCGGGTGGCTGGGAATACTGATGAGCCTTTTGTTAACCCTGGCATGTCCGAGAAGCAACCATTGCATGTGTTGATGGTAACTTCTGTTTGAGCTTCCTTATATTTTTGGTGAAATGTTTGAGCTTCATTCTTTTTCATGTCAATGCGGTCAGCATTGTAAGAAGCTATGTGCCTCTTTGGTTGCCTTTTAATGATATGTTGTTTTTCATTGTTAGGTTGATCGTAAAGTGTCCCATAAGTCGCGGTTTGCGCAAGAGCTTATCTCCACTATTTTGTTCACTGTGGCAGTTGGACTCATCTGGTATGTGTTGGTGTCTTTTTGATTCTATAGTAGCGTTTCTTTAAAGCTGGTTGGTTTGTTCTGGTCATCTTGGTCGTGAAGTGAGTATCTATGATACTGCCGGATTTTGAGTTCATTACTTGAATTTCAGGTTAATGGGTGCAGCAGCTCTCCAGAAATATATAGGGGGCCTGGGAGGAATCGGGGCTTCGGGAATGGGCTCAAGTTCATCATATTCACCAAAGGAACTTAATAAAGAATTCATGCCCGAGAAAGTAAGCCTTAAAAACACCATGATTAGACAACTGTGATCTTTTAAATTATGGCAGTTATTTACATCGGTTTGGCCATCTGTTTTTTTTTTCTGTGGTGAACAAAAGAAATTAGAAAATAGCTATTAGAATATATGGCTCCTAATCAGTCAGCAGATGGAACTAGAATATGTAAGTTATGTCTCTCGGCTGTAATAAGTTGTGGCCCAGGCTATTGTTTCCAGTTTTCCTGTGGATATGCAAATTCTCTGAGTGTCATTTGTGATAAGCAGCCCTGTTGTCTCTTAACATCTTGTCTTTGTTTTTTCAGAATGTTAAAACATTCAAGGATGTCAAAGGTTGTGATGATGCCAAACAAGAGCTCGAGGAAGTGGTCGAGTACCTCAAGAACCCTTCCAAGTTTACTCGGCTGGGTGGAAAGTTGCCAAAGGTTTGCAATTATTGTCTTTTAACATTTCATTTTAACACTGGTGTTTGGAAATTGGTACAAGGTTAGGTTGCTCGGTCTGAAGATGGTTTGCATGATTCCTTGCTTAAACTCATGAGATTCGGTCGTTCAGAATAGTAACCCTGCTGTCAAATTAAGCCAGCTAAAGTTTGATTTTCTCTCTATTTATGATTTCAATCCTGGGCCCTGCTTCTTGTCACGTGACGTATAGTCTGTAACTGGACAGTTGATTAGTCTTCTCATTCTTTTGTTATTCTTTGTCTTTTTGTGGTTACCTTTTCAGTTATGTTTACAATGTATGATAAAAAAATTGATGTACCTTTTTCAGGGAATTCTTTTGACTGGAGCACCAGGCACTGGAAAAACTTTGCTTGCAAAGGTATGACATGGTTTTGCATCATTGGTAAAGTTATATTTCATGTGATAATTTCTACCCGTAGAATGTTAGTTTATTAAGGACGCATTTCCCCCCTGTTAGTACTCCGCATTGGTCCATTTTAGGCTTCATGTCTGCCTATTTTCTGTTTGCTTTTTCCAACAATAGGACTTGTTTAAGCATTGACCGAATTCTATATCTTTGGTCCTCAAGGCTATTGCCGGAGAAGCTGGAGTACCTTTCTTTTATAGAGCAGGATCAGAGTTTGAGGAAATGTGAGTAATAATCACCTTAACTCTATGAAAGGATTGGTTAGAAGGGCCAAATTGTATATTTTCTTCTTTTTGGTTAATGCCTACAAGAGCATCCACATGATGCAGCTAAGCTGGTTCCGTGAGATGCGTGAACTAGTCAGAGAAATATTGTTTCTCAGAGTTGTATTTGGGTTTCTTTTTTCAGGTTTGTTGGTGTTGGTGCCAAGCGTGTAAGATCCCTGTTCCAAGCAGCTAAGAAGAAGGTGTGCACATACCAATGCTTTCTTTTGTTTAAGGATTTACCCTTTTCCTTATCTTGTGAGTTGTGGCCCCGCATTTTTACCAGTAATTGGACTGAGCAAGATATTGCCAATAGTAATTAAAATCCATTTTCCTCGTCTTAATCTGTATCAGTGATTGCTAAAAATCTGTTGAATGGTAATTTTGCACTCCTCAATTGCATTACTTTTTGTCCAACAGGCTCCTTGTATCATCTTTATTGATGAAATTGATGCTGTCGGTTCAACTAGAAAACAATGGGAAGGCCATACAAAGAAGACTTTACATCAGTTACTTGTTGAAATGGATGGTTTTGAACAGAATGAGGTATGTACTAGAGAGATCGTTTTCGAAAAGTTCATTCTGTCTCCTGAATTTCTTACGCGGAGACTTTTCCTTGCAGGGAATAATATTAATGGCTGCAACAAACTTGCCTGATATTCTTGATCCAGCATTGACCAGACCTGGTAGATTTGATAGACATGTAAGTTCCTATTTACTTGTGGCTACCAGTCCTCTCCACATACATTTTAATAATCTGTAATGTAAAAACCAGAACTCGGAATACTTAACTCTGTCAAGAAAACTCAAACCACATAGTTATCTTCTGAATCTAACTGACAGTAGTCTCTTTTCAGATTGTGGTTCCAAATCCAGATGTAAGAGGACGTCAAGAGATATTAGAGCTCTATCTCAAAGATAAACCTATTTCTGATGATGTGGATGTTAAAGCCATTGCTCGGGGGACACCAGGTTTCAATGGAGCTGGTAAATGCTGTTCAATTGAAATGTTATCCCTATAATCTGTTTTGGTTTATCAGTTCTCTTCCGGCTCTCTTTCTGACATACTTCACCTACTGTTGGAAACTAGATCTGGCAAACTTGGTGAATATTGCTGCCATTAAAGCGGCAGTGGAAGGGGCAGATAAATTGAATGGTGTACAGCTGGAGTTTGCTAAAGACAGGATCGTCATGGGAACCGAGCGCAAGACAATGTTCATATCAGAAGACTCGAAGAAGGTGGTTTGTGAATATAATGCTACAAACAATTTCAATCCTTTATTGATGTTACAGACAAATGTTCACATCATTCCCTTCTTTTATGTTTTCAGTTGACTGCATATCATGAGAGTGGACATGCCATCGTAGCTTTGAACACCGAAGGTGCACATCCAATTCACAAGGCGACCATAATGCCACGTGGCTCCGCTCTGGGAATGGTCACCCAACTTCCTTCGAATGATGAGACTTCAATAAGCAAGAAGCAGTTACTAGCTCGGTTAGATGTTTGCATGGGAGGAAGAGTCGCGGAAGAGCTTATCTTCGGACAGGATCACGTCACAACAGGAGCAAGTAGTGATCTCAGCAAAGCTACAGAGCTCGCTCAATATATGGTAAGTGGGAAATGAATTTCATCTTTCAAGCTATTGTATACTTGTCTGATCAATCTTCATACTTGACTGGTTCAGTTCTTGGTTAACCAAGGAACCGGAACTGGTTAATGACCTGTACTTAGAATGTCTAATTGATGCTTGTGCTTGATGATATTGTTTTCAAGGTATCAAGCTGTGGAATGAGTGACGTAATTGGACCAGTCCATCTCAAGGAACGACCCAGTTCGGAAATGCAATCACGGATTGATGCTGAAGTATATCTTCTACTAATTTACTCGATTATGGTGTCTTTCGTCTTTCTGTTGTATGATGTCACATTTGATCAAATCACTTGTTCATAGGTTGTGAAACTTCTGAGAGAAGCATACGATCGCGTGAAGGCTCTGTTGAAGAAGGTTTGTTAACAATTGTTTGTGTTGTTCTCCAATCACTCCATCGATGCATGCAAATTTCTAGAGGTTTTTGCTGATATCCTTTTGGCTTTCTTTCTCAGCATGAGAAGGCGTTGCATGCACTGGCAAATGCACTTCTAGAGTACGAGACACTGACATCGGAAGAAATAAAGAGGATACTGATGCCGTATAGGGAAGGGAAGCTGCCAGAGCCTCAAGAGGAAGAACAAGAACAAGGTGACCTTGTGCTGGCTTGACCGTTTCTCTAGAAGGAAGATGATCCCAGGTATTTTTCACTGGATCCTCAGCAACAGCAAGGGAAAAAAGAAGGGGAGGAGCTCTCTGTACAGAATACAGGCGCTTAATTGTATAATTCGATTTTTTCGGGCCTCCACATGTTCCTCCCATGATGCACTTTCAGACACATGTAATGGGAAGCTTCTTCATACGCTGGCAGGCAGCCTTCGTCGTAGCCGAGCTACCCTATCCGCCGGTGACTCGGGAAGCATGTAACATTACTGGTCAAGTAGTGTCATAGAAATGTTGTAAATTCAACAGAGGAAGGAGTCTCGTCCCCCCTTTACTTTCACCTCCTTCAGGGTCAAATTTTGAGCTACCTTTTTAGACGACTGTAGATGTTTCAGGTTGCAACTTTCTATAGCTGAAATTAGTCTAGTTCAATTCCGTCTCCAGCAAGACTTGAGAAGCATTAATATTCATAACTATGCCATCGTATTGGTTCAGTAAACTGGCTGATAGAAAGAAGAGAGAGGATTGGTAACTGCAGAAAGACAAGAAGATGGATTCTTAAACAGCTACATTCGATAGGTACCTTCAACAACAAGCAACAAGAGTTCATTTCTACACTAAATCGAGTTTTTTGCCCAAATCGCACTACCCTCTAGTCTCTAGAGTTACACTAGTAGTAATAAACCAAAAACCAAAGAGCAAGGTGCTCTGATGTCAAGCAAGCGCTATGTACATCAACAGCAACTACTACACATGATTCACAAGAACTGGAAGAACAAACCAGACGCTGAACATGGTGGGACGAAAAAGAAGAAGAAAAAAACGAAGGGAGCGGAGTTTCCATTTTCACTCTTCTCTCAGTTCATGAGCGTGATAAAATGAGGGATTACAAGAAAAAAGAACAATGTGGTCACTGATCATCTACTGGGATTAAAGAAACCCCAGCAGCATTGCAAGTTAAAGAGCCGGCAGCAGCATCTCCAATGGAACCAAATCTTACACGAGAGCAGTCCTCCAGAGCTTCATTCATCCATCATCCTCTGCAATCATGTGCGTGCTTCTTATCACGGTCTCTCGGACAGCAGTGTGCAGCTGAAATGCCTCCCACACTCGCTCTCAGACCCTATTGATCGGCTCGGTCCTGTCCTGTACTGCAAGTCGCTCAGACACATCGGCCAGCGATTTCAGGTTGCATTTAATCAGAGCTTCAATGAAGTAGCAAGTCTCGTCCTTGGTGTTCCCGTCAGGCACATCCACCACGAACGACTCAATCACCAGCGTCCCTGGCCTTCCATCAAGGATCTCCGGGTGCAGAGAGACTATCGACGAATAGTTCTGGTTGCCACGATACCAGAAGAAATTAATCAGCCACCAGGATTTAAACATTTGTTCAATGAACTAATGAATGAAAAGAAGACTAATTTTCCCAAAAAACAAACCTTTAGCCTGTGATCGCCACCAACAATGCGCATGCTGAGGAGATGTGCCTCATCATCAAGAAGCTCTAGTCTTTCGGTACTGGTAGTAGCTGGAAGCCCCGACTTGACATCGATTTCTCTGAGACTCCCGATCTCGAGGTTTCCCCGCGCTACACATCTGCTTATGAATGGCTTGTACTTCTGTGGCTGATCAAATCTCCTAACCAGGGACCAAACCTGCTCATTTTACACCAGGAGCAAATGAAATTAGTATTGTTCCCAACAAAGAGCTACAAAGAACCAAAACAGGAAACCCCCCAAAAAAAAACCCTCATCGCTGCAATTGCTTCTCTGAAACCCCTCTTAAGAACAAAGAGCACAAATTGAAGAGACTAAGAACCAAGACATCCATGGGGAACTAGCATTTAGTAGCACAGAACATAGCAATTTCCAGAATAGCTACATAACTAGAACTCAACTATTATGCATTCCATTAAAGAACATCCCCAGCCCTAATTCTTCTCAGAATCAAACAACTGAACAAGTAATCATCAACAACAAAGGTCACACCAACGATCTGAACAAGGAAACAAAATCAGATCAAAGAAGCAAACACCAAGTAGCCAAGAAATCAGGTCAAACAAGAGAGCTCCGATCACAATCAGATTGGACCATCGAACACATAGCCTTGATAGTTTCTTTGATAAAATCCCATCGAGGAAGCAAACATAACCTAGAATCGCAACAGAAATGCAAAGACGCCTGAAAAACAACAAAAAATCAAGAAGAAGCGAAAAACGAAACGAATCCTAACCAGATGAACCGGAGCTTTGATGTGCTTGATTAGAACGGAGCTGCACTGCTGCTCGCTAGGATCATGCCTATGGTGCCTCCGAATGTACTCGCTCTCCGCGCTCCCGTACCCCTTCGCCGCCGTCGCCGTCGCCGTCCCCGCCGCCGCCGCCGTCGCTCTCTCCAAATTCATCTTCTATTCTCCCTCCCTCCTGTTTCCTTAATCCGAACGCAACACTCCCCTCTCCACTTTTCCGCCCCCAAAAACCGTCTGCAGAAAGAAGAGAGAGGTGTTGACTTCTCGCAATAGCCGGCTCCTTCTTCTTCTCCTCACCGCAAGCAGCTCTCCAATCGATGCTCCTCCGATCGCCGGCCGGTGAAGGGAAAGAGGAGATTCGAATCGGCAGGGCAGAGAGAACTCTTCTTTGCTTGTGTGTGCGTGTGTGAGTCACCAAGAATTGCTTCTCTCTCTCTCTCTCTAGCTCTCCTCTGTTTCTCAATTTTCTGTCTATCTATCCGTTCCGTCGTCTCATCCATCGCCTGATAAATATAATCATGAGAATGAGAAATAGGGGCGAAGAAAACAAAAACAAAATGATAAAATGATTACAAAAATAGAAGAATATTTAAAAACATGGCAATTATTAATTTACGTATACAGTAACCAATCTGATTTTTTCGCGGATTAAATTTAAATAATCTTGAGAATTGAGCCTTGTTCTCGCCGAGGAATTACTGCACGTGCCACTGGGTGCTCGCTCTTTTGGCCTCTTCCCTCTTTCTTGGCTTTTACGGGCATGACCAGAAACGGTACCGTTTTTATTGATTGGTCCCATGAGTACTATATTCCATTGTTCATGATTCATGAATATCCAGCAAATCAATGAGATCGAACGATTCGAGTTACGATTATGATAGTAGTCATTCAAGTTATAATCATGGTAGTAAGTCTCAATAATCTTTTTTTTTATGTCGATCCACGGTGTAACTGAACTTATAAGGATATTGAGCTGATTCGAATGCTTTACAATTTCGAGAATCAGCGAGACCTTATGTATAATAACATCACGTGCATGAGCTTAAAATATGCATTTTACTTGTGTTACGAGAGGTTATTTTGCTATTCGTGTAAAAATTAATAGCAGGGATATTTTGACGGTCCCTTTCTCGGTTCGTTTGATGTTGTTTTCTAGATCTGTAAATCCCGTACAATCAATGGTATAGATTGTAGCATCGTGGTATAAGTGGACGATAGTATAAAATTGGAGGATAGTGGAATAAGTGGGTTCACATTTCAAAGATTTTTGGACATTTGTATGTATGTAGTGTGCAATTGCAATATCACAATGTCTCTATCTCTCATGACCTTCTAAGGCACCCACTGGACCACCCATCATCTATCAGCTTCCCTTTCTCAACAAAGAAAAATTTTGATGAATCCCCCCTTAGCTAACAAGTTACCACCAAAGAAAATTGGTTGTCTAAAATGAAAGTTGCATTCAAAGTGTAGTCCAAATTTTTTGGTGTACATGGTTGTGTAAAAAAAAAAAAAGGTGTTTATAAATCGCGACATAAAAAATTAATAGTAAACAGTTAAACTTTGCATGTGAAATGTACAATCGTCTTCGTTTAATCCAATGGATGGTCCATCATTCATATGTCGTCTTCTTGATTGTTTACTCATTAACCTTCATATGCCGATGATTATCGAGTCGCCTAGACGACTACCCATCAATCAGAATTGAGCGGATCGGCAAAGGCATTACAAATAAGGTTGTGTATATTGGACTCGTCATTTTACGACACGAGTTATTTTTCGTGAATTCTGTTGTTTTTTTAGTTTTGCACAAATACCAGTGATGAAATCACAATTTAAACTTAAAAGTAAGGAGGGATCAAGACAAATAAATCGTAGCAGCTACCGATGTTCGAACCTAAATTTTAAAGGAAGAGATTAATAGCTAGCTCTCGTCATCTAATCATTTTCCGATGTTTTCTCGAATACTATACATTTCCTAAAACAGATCATGAGAAGGATTGTTGTCCCCCTGTAGACTACAGATAGTTGCTTTACTTACCATTTCTTCAATGTGAAGATATCCCAGCTGATATTTGACATAATTGTAGTCTCATTGTATAATTTAATTATTTGTCAAAAACAAAGTACATAATTTAATTAGGGAAAAATGGAGTTTTATATTATTCCATTATTTCAGTCAATGTATGCAAAAATTAAAAATGTTTGTTTGGGAACTAAGTTCAGCCCACCGTACTTATCCATGGAGAGGAGACCAAAACCATTACCCACAATCCTAAACTGAACAACTGTGGATGATGAATTAATTAAGGACCCGATTATTTAAATCACACTAGGCTCTCGAATGTTCGTTTCGCCTTGGAAACTTGTTTGGAAATCCTGGGATCCCTGAAATTGTTCCATTACATGATGAAATCCTCAAATGCAACCACTCTAAACTCGATCAAGAACGGATTCAGATCGCTCTATATACACTGCTTAATTCATAATTGTAGGGATCGTTTTATGCTCTAATTCATCACTCACAGAAACAATGTCAATCGAAGGTGATCATTAAAGCATTAAAGCTGTTGATTTATTGACAATGTACAATTAAAAAAAATACCATAACGTGGAAATATAACTGCATTTACGATTCCTTTATCTTCTTCCCAGTCCAGGGTACCAAGCCCGACAAGCATCAAAGTTGAGCATGAAGTTCTGTGCACCTAATTGCAGGCTTGCGACAGTGGTACGAGAATAGTGCAGGATTACACGAGAATATGGCAGTGTTAGGTTGAAAGGAGTTCCTCTCTCTACGAAGCTCACAAATTGCTTGCCAAAATGAATCGAAATGGACTTGGAATGGCATTATTAACGTAAAATATTTCATCCTTATACAGCTAAAAGCGATGACGCTACTATGTAAGCTAGCTGACACCACCAAGTCGCTCTAAAAGCACAAGTACGCTACCACCAAATCCCCCCCTCATCTTCGCCATCTGAACTACCAAATGCACGTAACAAAATTTTAAAACAGATAACGTCAATCTTGTATTAATCCATATCATATAAAAACTCGTATCGAACTACATCTAACTAACCGGTAGGAAGTACCGGATGGCCGATTCGATTCGAAGGGCCGAGCTCCCTGGGTTTCTGGGCGTGGGTCGACGCGGGCCGGGGGTTGCTATTATTAGGAGTCGTGAATCTAAGGGCAGCTGCACGTTACCGGTGGAGGACGGTTTTGTTTTTTTTTTTTTTTTTCTTGGGATATCCAAATCCAACTCATCGATCCTCTTTAGCCTATTATATGGTTTCTAATGAGTGGGAGCCAGCCAATAGGGTGCCCTTATTTTAAGGGACTTTTTTTTTCCCTATATCGAAACTTTCTCCTTTAGAAATTAAAGAAAGTCCTCTTATCCAACAAAGTCTTCGTAGGGGTGGGAAACGGTGCGGTTGCGGTTAACTGCACCGAATAAGCGCGGTTAACCGCCACCGCACAAGGGGAAAACCACCCACCGTTACCGCAATGCAAACGGTTTGCGGTTAACCACTAACCGCAAATCACGGTTAGCGGTTAATTGCGGTTAACTGCACTTAAAACCGCACACCGCGATTAAGAGTTAAACGGTGTAAAAAACCGCGAAATGAAATAAAATCGCAACAAAAACCGAATTAACTTGTAAAATCCAGCAACCTGCACTTGATAAATTAACACTAAAACAAGGAAAATGCACCTGAAAAAGTCAGAAACAAAATTAAGTTCTAAACATCCAAAAGAAACCATCCACATTAAGTTCTAATACGGAAAATGCACTTGGAAAATTCATTTTGGGTTGTTGGATGGGTTGGGTATACTCTTACGCGGTTAGTTATTCGGTGGAGTTACTTATTCGGTGCGGTGTGCGGTTAGTCCACAAACCGCAAAAGAGCCAATTTCACTAACTGTTACCGAATAAAGACCCTTTTAAACGGTTTGCGGTTAACCACAAACCGCTCTTATTCGATGCGGTTGCGGTTTAACCGCAAAACCGCAACCGTTTTCCCACCCCTAAGTCTTCGTATTTGGGGCCAAATGGTATCGTTCATTAAAATATAAGGAAACCAAACCAACCAATAAGAAAATGGGTTGATATTGGGTGTCGGATGGCTCTCTCATGTCGATTTTTTTAGTATATAAATAATTTCCATTTTTCCTAAAAAATTTAGTATTATATGTTATCCATAGTATGAATTTTGAGAATATATATGTATATTTCCGTATTGATTCAATTTTATCGGTGTTCATGATGATAATGTGCCAATTAGATTTTTAGCGGAATATTCACGAAGGAACTTTGGTGGTTGAAGGATGTAAAGAAAATGGGTAATGGTGGAACGGAGTGTACAGGCAGTAGCTATATATCGTGGAATACAAAAGATATTAACTTTATCGCAGGAGTATATTGATTTTTTCTCACTATGATAATCAACTATATTCTTCTGATAGTTAAATTGGTAACGTGACAACAAAAAATTAATATATATTTTAAAATTGCGACAATGAGGATAACCACAAATACATTCGAAAATTTCTTAAAATATCGCATTGGATAAAATGTAACGATCAAAATGTAGTAGAGAACATAATCGATTATCGAGATCATCATCATCATAGACTAAAAGGAACCACAAGAAATTCAGGAGACACAATCAACAGAGACTACTACCCAATACAATGAATAAACTAATATAAGTCAAAAGGAAATGAGACGTATAAACAAATAAATAGTTTGGGGGAGATTGGAAGATATTAATAATAATTGGTATGGCTAGGCGAGTTTATACGAAATCTTTGGTTGGTGAAAATAAGGTAGGATTTATTTCTGGAATGACCGAAGAAAGAAAAGAATTAAGATTGCGCATTATACACTTGTGGTGCAGCGTTACTCTACTCTCTCATCTCACTAATTAACAAATACCAAAACTTAGGTAGCCTCATATTCTTTCCACAATCGGTAGGACGTTAGTGAGACTAATGATCATTTACGGTGTTTTAGCAATATAGTAACAATGTTAGTTAAGTAGGTTCAAGCAAAAGTTTTAGCTTGCAGGCTCAGGGCCACTGACCGTGCACTGACCAACAAGTTATCGTTTTCTCTCGAGTCATCATAAAATGGTACAATATATATTCGTATTATTCTTAAGTAAGATGATTCATAGTCTAGTGTGTGATTGGGCCTAATTGATATATAGCAAATTATTAAAGAAAGATGGGTTGAGGTGAAGTGTTTTTTTTTTATTATATAAATGGTGAAAAAAAATCTATAACAAGTCGTTTCTCTATAGAAAACTGAAACCAAACAACGGTATATAACGATCATATATTGTCTTTACTTGAAAGGTGAATGTGACTTGATTCGATTTTGGTGACAACTGACAAAGTGTGTGCTATAATAATCCTATACAGACTCAATACAATTTGATGCATTAAATTTACATTAAATCAATGAATGGAGCATCCATAACCATCTTGTTGAGGAAAAATTATGATAAACTTCCACCATTATCTAGTTATAATATTGACAAAAGAGAGTAGGGAAAAAGTGGGTTTCATTCACTATGGAGTCACTTTCACCTCCTTTTTGAAGCCAAAGTGAAAGAGTGGTAGTATCTAAATATCTACTCACATTCCAACCAAACAATATGCTTAATTTGTTGTATATATGCTTGTTGTTTGTGGAGCAATTATTTGGCCCTTTAGTTTAGTATCCTTTACCCATTGCCCTAAGCATTTGTGAATTGTGTGTCCATGGGGGATAAGAGGAGCAAAAGTAGAGAGGGATAGCCCATATACTTGGTGCCTAGTGGTAGTGAGAATGAATATTCAAAGATGAACACAAATACACAATGTTGAAGAATGAAGATAACGAAATCGAAACATTAGAGATGAATGTAACCATGTAAAAATGTGCATGAACATTAACTTATTTCCATAATTTGAGTTGTCATCAGAGATTCAATAATGTAACTTATGTGTTTAGCTCCGGTTAATTCGTCGTAGCTACGCTTCAACTGGTAATGGATAGTTTGGGAAATATTAATCCGCTAAGGTTGGTCAAACAAGATAATGTTAACACTTAAGACCATATATTTGTAGTTCCGAGCAATAATAAACAAAACTCTAATATCGTTTAGGTATCTAAAGTAGGATACCTCTCGACTAGGGATGTGTAACGATCCGGTCAGGTCAAATTCAGGAGAACCACAGTCCAATAGTAAGAGACTTTTATGGATCAAGGGTCGGGCCAACATTGTATTTGGTCCGGTCCAACCGTCAATCGGTTAATTTTCTTCAGTATTTATAAAATTTGTGGGATCAAGAACCGAAACATATTATACTCGGTTTGGTCCAGTGCAATCCCATACGGACCGAAACGTTGCACACCCCTACTCTCGACTAATGAGTTACAAGTCTCTATCAGTAGCAGCAAGCATTGATGTGGGTTATTCTCTTGTAGGGGCCTGAAATGGGAGAAAATTGGAAGTAGAAACACTTTCGGAATAGGAAAGTGCAATTGGTTGGTCTGCACCGAATCAAATCGACATTCAGATTGGACCATATCGAACTGAATATAATGTGATTCGATCCTCATTCTCATCAGTTTTATAAATACCGAATAAAAAATGGACAAAAATGACATTTGGACGGGACCGAACCAAACAAGACTAAAATATTCTCTGTTATTAAATCACGATTCTCATTAGTTTGGTCTCGCCCGGTCCCGAGATTGCAAGAAGAGGGGCAGGGCAGATGGGTCCTATACTCCTATACAATACTCCTATCCAATATGCCTTTCTTCTTTATCTTCTCTCCTTGATTTTAACTTTCCTTTTGTCATCCTTCCTCTTGTGCTGCAACAGCACTCTGTCTGGTCAGTGCAATCTGCATAAGCATATATAACAGAGAGCAGAGGGGGCCTGGGAAAGAGCAGGCCCAAATTCAACCAATGGCTGCTCTGATAAATGGGCTCTGCAATTTTGCAGTTTAGATCTTTCAACCAATGAGGAACGAGAGAGAGAGGAAAAGGGTGGCGTTCATGCGCGCAGGCAGCTTTGTGCTCTGAAAAGACGCCACATTGTGGGGAATCCCAGGCGACACTTGTCTTCATTTGCTTGAATCCAAGCCCCCCACTTCCATGGTTGGCAATGGAGGTTGGTAGGGCAAAGTATCCATTTTGTTATTTTTAACCAAACTAAAAAGAGAAGTGGGAGTGGCCACCACCCATGAAATTAAAGATAGAAACACCTTTTGGGCTTGTTTCCCTCTCTCATAATTCACTCCTTTAAATTGGTACATTGAGAGAAACTTATGAGTAGGTGATGGTGGGTTTGGTTTATAGTAATATCGTTGGTGTTGGGAGCTAATTTGAAGATCTCGGAGTCAAATACGAACAAAAAAGTTCTTGTTTTAGTATATTATCGTCAATAGCATGTAAAATAACTTATGAGTTGATTGGAAGGGATGGCAGAATATGTGTTTGGTTGCGAGATGATTCATTGGTCTGGTTTTATTTAGGGCATATAAACGCCTACATCGTTTCACACGTAAGTTTTGTAGTATGGAGAGGGACCTGATTAACATGTAGCATGTAGAATTTGGAATTAAAGGGCTCAAATAGGGACCTAATTCACATGTAAAGTTTGGAATTTAAAGGCTCAAGTTGCTCATATAGTCATATGTATTTGATTGAAGATATTGGTCATGCCACACACGATTTGCTATCCTACGACCACGTATCCGCCAAGACACAACACGTAAAATGCAATGCCAATATATATTTTTTTTTTTACTTTTCTCGTATAGTTACCTCACCGTCCTTACGCAACTCGCAAAAGAATTGTTGGCTAACGAAGTTACGTAAAGTGAAAAATATGATAAAAGACTTTAATCATTCCATTGATCACCTGTCGTAAATTGTGTTTATAAACATCGTAAATTGTGTTTATAAACAGGAAAAATTAACTTGCCAATGTGTCACGCGTTGATTGGATGATGAATCTATCTCTCCAAGCCAATGAATCACCCAATCTCTAATCATGAAAGTGAAACAATCTTAACCACCCTCATTCTAGATTCATCAACATTTTGTTTGGATAGATTGAAAAAGAAAAAAAAGAAAAAAAGAGGATTAAGCCAACAATGATGAAGCAACAAAAAGGCCAAATTGTAGTTGTAGTACGTGTCTCAACATTTGTGGCAAAGCGTCGCCTCCTCCAATTGATTGGAAGGGCATCAAGCAACAACCACCCCCCAAAAATCTCCAAAATCTCTGCTGGACCAATCAGGAGCCTCCAATTGAGAGAGCATATTTAACCCTAAAATTCAAAGGGAACAACATAAGTGTACTTAGTGGGTTCTTTAGTACGAATAATCACACTCACTCACACACACATCAAATCAATCATTTTTTAGGCTAAACTATTGTTTTATTAGTAGAAACCGCGTTAAGTGCAAAATACACAAATAAAAAAGAACATTGAATAAGAGGAAAAAAGGACACCCAAAATAGTGAAATGTATGCCATGGATGCATCCCACTAATTAGTTGTTAATGTCCGTGTTTTGTAGTGAATTTATAATACATACATGATGACTCATATTCCTCCCTTAGGTGTTCATTATAGTTCTCTAAATATCTTATTAGGGTGACATAATTCTTATGGCTTGATGACTCATATACATATAGATATTGTTGCCAATGTGAAGTTAAATAGTCGAGCATGAATCGGTTGGAAAGAAACTGGTACATGTTCAATATTTTTTTTTTCTCGTGGTGTGATCTTCAGACTCTCCAATAAGGATATCTACCCGAGAAACAGCCTACCGGTTATTGACCAGTCAAGCAAACGCTTCGTCACACAAGCCATGAACTATAAATTTTTAATAAAAGGAGATATCTCATACCAAATATCAACTTAATGAGGTATAAGTACATCGAGCACGATATCACTTGATAGCAGAAGAAAGAAGTATTGAGTCACGGAGAGGAGACCATTCACTCCGACGAAGCCACATGAAAAAAAAAAAGTTGCAAATAGAGCGACAAGGACCCAAATTCTCTTGTCGACGAGTCGTTATATCTCAATCCGATTTTACGTACAAAATTGTTCTCCGCATCTTGGTTTGGGAAATTTTTCATACAAAAATCATAAATTTGCAATGTGAACTTGGGCCTTGGATCAGGGACAGAGATTACTAATCAGGCCCCAAAATTTTCTTCAACCAGGCTCGAAATATTATTTTGGTCCATTTAATTTGATGGGCCGGTGGGCTTCGGCCGCAATCTACGTGGCCAAAAGCCGAGAAGTACGGCCGGCCGGCCTTATCCAATTCCACAAGTTCCTACATTACACGTTAGCGTTAACCCAAATATCTCGCCACGGCAACAGAGAGCATATCCCATTTTAGTCTCTACTACGCCAACTATCTCCGACTTTCTTCAGCTCTGCCGATCTTCCCTTCTGCTTCCATTGCTCATACTAAATGTAAATCGCTAGCTCATCCCTCAGAAACTTTGCCGGCTAGCTGCTGATTCGGTTGGCCGGAGAAAGAGCGAGCTGGACTTCGGTTGATCGGAAGAGATGAATCCTCTTGATCCGGCCGGCGGCTCCTTTCACTCAGGTTTGCAGCCGATCAGTTCTGTTTTTCTCCGATCGTACTTAAGATTTCTCCTTTCTAGCCTTCTAATTGGTTGACCGATGATTTATTTCCTGGCGTTTTCCTGCATTTTTCCTAGCGGCCAAACGCCCAAGTGGCAAGTGTGTATGGATTTTCCGCTGTTACCAGCATGCCGATCGGAAATGGAAAACTTCAGCAGTGAGAGTAAAGTGGAACAGCATTCAGGAACTTGGATCGATAACCGGAGAGCTTGTCTGAGTAACAAGGAACTGAAAGGTAATTTGATTCATCCTGCAAACTGAATTTGATCCATTGAAGTTGCTTGCTTTGAATTTCCATCTCTTCTGTATATAAAGAAGAGTAGAATAGCATTGCGTACAAAACAGTTTGCTTATCATTAGAAAAAGATCGATAGACTCTGTTCGATGGAATTACAACCGAGGTTGAAAACAAGGGTTTTCTCAAGAGTCCAACAGAGTTCTTGATTCAACAAAAAAGGAAAGGAAGGAGGGGAAAAAACTGAGTTCATAGTTTTCCATAGTCAATTTCAAATCCAGCCACCAGCTAAAAAACACGGGGCGAGATTCGAAGGACTTGGAACTGAAAACTGTGTTCCAGCTGTGACTTCTTGCTAAAACTACAAGCTGAAACTTCTGTAGTTACTTATAGTTCCTGAACTCGGATTGATTGCTTATCTACTGCTTTCTATGTATGAGCTTTATCTCCACTATATGCCTGTTGTTGCCTATTGCCTGGTGTCAGTTGACTACACCCCAGATTTGGTTGAGCGATCTGCTTGAGCTCGAGGATTTCCTCCACCTCGCCAGGCGTAGCAGAAAACTCAAAACTTCGGATGGGTCGGTTAGGGAGTACGATGCTTTGGTGTCCTTAGGGGTGGAAGTTACGATGATCGGATATCCTTGCCCTCTTCGTTGTATCACCTGTGATAGTTGTATGTCAACCATTAGTGAAGGAGTCATAACTGCATTGGGTTGTTAACCCCTCTGTTCAGGATATTCTAATCGAGTTGGGTGATTAGTACCTTGAAAGCATCTTCATCTGTCCGGTCATCACCGATGTAGACTGGGAGAACGTCAGAGTTGCTTAGCCCTAAACTCTCTAGGAAATACTCCACAGCATGACCTTTGTCCCACTCTATCGTTGGTCGTATCTCCATAACCTGCGAATAGGAAGTGTAGAAGCATGATCCTTTTGCTGTTGCCTGTCAACATCTTTAGCTCAATAGAGACTAATGGTAATTACCTTTTTCCCCCAGCACAAGTGAAACCCTGCGTAATTCTCCAGCACAGACCTAACTTTCTCCTCCAGATTCTGATAATCCTGCAATTCAACAACCAAACGTCGGAGTTTATTAGGCTTTGAATTGATTTCGTTTACTAAACTTCTTAACTAGTAGGAGATGCTGTTTTACCTCATCCTTGACCTGCCGAAAATGTACAGAGACACAAAACTGATTATCCTCCACCCTGGCCCCTTTTATCTTCGCTGTTTCCTCCTCCAGTTCTGTCAATATCTGTGATGAATTCAATCAAATATAGTTAGTCAGAGAAACGGAGAAACCATTTTGAAGAAGTTTATACTTAATTTTAGCTTTGCTTACCTTCTGAATGGCAGGCAGAAAACTCTTTGCAGGCTGAAAGAGCACTTCAGTTCCCTTCTTGTCCATTACGACAGTTGGGGTGTTGCCATCGAAAGACTTAACCGGCCTTGGTGGTGCCATGATGTCCATCCCATGGCTCCCAGCATAATATACATTACTCAACTGTACAAACTCCTTCACCTTCAAGAATAAAAACAGAGCACTCATTATATCTCGGTCTTCCTTTCATGAAGTAAGAAGAACCAGCAGACTCTTTGCTTACCTTGTTCCTACTCCTACCGCTGATTATAGCAGTTGGAAAGCATTTAGCAACCTCACGAACAGCTGCACGCATCTAAATGACAAAGCAAAATTTCATTTCAGTACAGATTTGATTGACTGTGTGCACATGCTGACGTTTACTCATTTCAGCTCAAGAGCTGAGGCATGTTTTCATTTTTTACCTCTTCGGACATGAAGGCGGAGTCAGGGTCATTTACAATAGGGGAGAGGGTTCCGTCGTAATCTAAAAACACGACGATCTTCTTCCCTTTTGCTACCTTCATCATCTGATCAAACGAGTGCAATGCTGACGGGTGTTCCCCCTGTAAGTTCGATGTCAAAATCAGCAACTCCTTCACTTCCTAATGCAGCTGACGAGAATGATGAGAAGGAAAAGTAAGAAGAATAGAAACTCACCACCCACGACCTATATTGTACATCTGCTTCAGTACTCTTGGCCCTAACATGGTCAGAACTGGGTGCGGTTTTCGTATTTACAGGATGCGGATCGCTGTTGCAGTTACCATGCTGCCCCGCCTTCGGTGGCTTGTTGTTAGAAGACGGTCGCTGCTGAAGCCCCATTGCTTGGTTAACCCTGGAGAAGTTCCTCTTCAACATACCTGCATTCCCAAACAAAACATACATAAAAGGAACAGAGTCAGCAACTGCAGCAACGACGAAACCACCCACTGTTTCCACATTATTGGAGAATATTTAGTTTGTTGCACCACGTACCTGAAATGGACATGTTACTTTGTCGAGTGGCGCTGTTTTTGTTGTTATGTATGGACTGGAATTCTTCTTCTGCCGCCTCCTTACCCTTTGACACAAATCTGGCAAAAAAAAAAAAAAAAAGATTCCACCCAGAAAATGTCAATTATTAGCCGCCGCCTGAGCATAAATTCGACAAAAGAAAACCAACCAGCAATTCCACAAACGGATGTGCACTGTTCATTGCATCATATAATCATTTCTTCATTAAGCATAAACATGTGGGGGTTTCCACCACCACCATTACTTGCTAATTAAACCAAGTTCGTTCCCCCCAACACACAAATCCTATATATAAATAGTTGGATAATGTTATTGTGTTGTTTATTGCCATATCCAAAAGAAAAGACATATCTCCTTTTTGGGTTTTCCATGTTCATATCTAATCCATTCTGTCTGTTTCAATCTCAAACACTGTTCATCACGACTGAAGTTAGAGTAAAGATTTCAGCAGATATGGCAATCTGCAGAACCTGTGGCAAACTTCCCTTTCCCTTCCTTCTCCAAACCTATCCATCATACTATAATCGATCATTTCAAGCCACTGTCAATCAAGTAAACTGTATATGCGTGTAATTAACAATCATTCATCAAACCAACAAGTGTTTTGATAAACTTCACAGTGGCTGTTGCTGTCGAAGATAGACAGTTAAACAAGAGAAGGGTCATTTTCAAAAATGGCTACTTTCAGACCTCTATATATAATATCAACCCACTACTGATCCTCTCCACATAAACTAAAACATACACCAGTTGGTGGGAACAGAGAAGAAATTGAACTGAGTGGAAATGCACAGATATGTATGTATCAGTATGACTAAGACAACTTTGGCATGAAAGAATCAAATCAATTAAACAATTAGAACAATGAGTAGGCTACAGAAACATAGGCAAGGCCAATTATGTGCAAGGGTTGTTGTTGTGTAAGGTCTTAATCCATCAGTCTACTCAGATTGACTGTGATATATGAGCTAGCTACAGTTATTTAGTGTTCAAATGTTCCAAAACATTATCTATCAGCAATAATTGAATGAACTATACAGAGTATATTTGTTTGTGTTTTGTCTCTTACAACCCTTGCAACATACTCACAAGATAGCTTTAGTACACCTCTATAATATTCTAAAACTAATGTATAGTACAGTTTCTTGTTGATAATCAGGCTGTAATAATCGAGAGTTTAAAAAGTTAATCCCTTTCTTGTCGATAAGAAGTGTGACAAATTTTCACGAAACTAGCCATTATCTAAAACTAATATAACACCTTATCTTATCATCATAACTGCCAAAAGCAAAGGGAAGACTGGAACTGTCAACAGTCAAAACGAACTCCCTTTTATTTTTTTCACACAACAGAGAGAGAAACAGAGAGGATAAAAAGGGTGGAAGGAAGGTAAAGGGAGAGCTCAAGAGAACACTAATGAAAGACCGGCAACAAACGGAAGACCAACAGCACACCATCAACACAAAAGTTGACGACTTTAAAGCTTTACACCACGTCCCTCTCCAACACAAATATACTCAAAACTTCCACATGATCCACTTAACGAACAAAGGTATATTGGAAAGCCTTTATCATCATCTGGATTGGGATGATAAATCGGCCGATCAAAAAAGACAAAGCCGTGGAAATTACTTTCTGTTGGCTAGTTGGGTGGTTTCTTCTCCTGATTCTGACCACTACTTAGAACACTAAAGTACTGCTAAGAAAAGAACAAGTTACCGTAAGAGAATGGTATAAGATCCATAATAAAGGTCGAAACGTTTTGCTGACATACCCTACGACTCTGCAGATGTGTATTAGAAAGGTGACTGAGTTACTACATGCATACACGAGACTGGACACAGGGATGTGTAAAAAGAAAGACTCTGCATAGGAAAAGCACGATTCCACTTGTACACACTCACGTGTCGGGCAGCTATTGAAAAATGCATGGCCAAAAAAACCCTTTTCCTGGCTAGCAAGGCTCGACACGTTCTAACTAAAAGAGAAGGAAAATTGCTGTAAAGAAAAGGGTATGGTGGCTGGTGACTGTGTTGCTCACAAGCAGACAGAATACACGACGGGGAAATGTCAATTTTGTTACCGAACCATATGAAGAAAAGGGTTTAAACTTTTTAATGTTAGGGAACTTCCCACTTGAGGGGATGATTAACACTTAATTAATTAGTAATTACTGATCGTTCCCACCAATAACAATAATTGGAGTTTCCACCGTGGGGGGAAAGGGAACTCTCTTTCTCTTCGCATTGTTATTTGACCATTGTTGTTGTTATTAAAAAGAACAAACATTTATTGATAATTGAGTTTGTGACTAGAAGGTGACACGGATTATTTTAATTCTAATGATATTAAGTTAGGTTTGGGGATTCAGAGATTAATTATTTTGATTAAAGAAAGGCAGCCAATGCATGTCTTAGGTGGTGACACTTTTCAATCGGGCTTCGTGTTGCCCAGCCAGCTGATCCGGCCCAATTTTCTAGGTGTTCTCACCAAATTAATCAATTAATTAATCATAATTGAACACATAAACCAACCGCAACTGCTTACTTATACTAATACAATAATAGTCCTGAAAAAACAATCACTAATTAATCAAACCAAGCCGAAACTTATGGCTGTCTATTGTCTACAAGCCCCCATTAAACAAACAACCACATGATATTGGTACATTCCTTAATTATTATTATTATTATTAAACATTGAGATTAGTCTCTCCAAACACATTATTTTATACGCATTTCATTGTACCGTTTGATTGCATGCTTTCTTCTCTTCTTGGTATTTTAATTCACGATTGTTAGACAACTAATAAAGACAACAAACTATAAAACTCAATCCAACCTCTTAACGCGTAAAAAAAACACACAAATTTAACGACGCTTTGATTCTCATAAGCAAAATTCAAAGAGTGCCTTACGTTATTAACCGTTACTATGCAAGGAAAAGTTTTGCAAAATTGGGTTTTTGTCTTCCTCTACAAAGACACCTCCCTCCCAATTCCCATCACCATCTTCATCAAAGACGAAGCATCCCAACTAAAAAAAAAACCCTACTTTTTTTTGGCTACTTTAACCGCAAACAGCTCACTTGGTCGGTGGACCCACCAGAATCTCTGCCGTCCACGTGGCCGTCAACTCCCCCCATCTGGCCATTTTCCATAACTTCTCCCCCATTGGATCAAAACTGACGAGTGGAAAGACAGTTGGTCTCCCGGGAAACGAAACGACTTTTAACTACTTATTCCACTCTCCCCTCCAGTGTCGGTTGGGCCTGAAATATGACAGGCCCAGTCAACTCATGGGCCCGTCCCAGCCTACACGTGTGCGCCGGTGGTAAGTCCTCGTAACCCCCACAGTAAAAAGTAAAAAAAAAACCGCTCGGCGGGTGAGAAATGCAAATAAATGAAAATAACGTAAATAAAGAACTGACTCAGTAGCTCACTCTCAGGAGAGCGCGTGGAGACCAACTCCTTCACTGCCGGGACGTGAGTGGATAACCAAGCGCGAAAACACGCGTGGTGGATCCCGTGAGAGTTCACGAAAAGGATCTTCTAGGAAGGGAAAAAAAAGGCGAAAAAAAACAACAAGAAACGAACCATAACTGATATTTTCGTTTTATTCGCACGGTTTCTCGGCGGACTTCCCTACTACCACTCGCGGAAATGGCACAAAAATTCAAATTCAAGGAAAAAAAAAACAATATACCAAAAAAGAAAAGAAGAAATAATTAGCTAATCGTGACGCTCTGCTCGAGCGGTGGCCGGAGTTTGAATTCCCGCCCGCCGCGAACGAAAATTGAACTTCCGGCTATCGCCGGAATCGGAATTAGACAGGCATCGTCGATTCGAGCATGCAGCGAGATACAAAAAAAAATCGAAAAGAATTTCGCAATGAGAGCGGAGAATGGAAAACGGAGAAGGACGAAGGACTCACCCGGCGGTTTCCGCGATCGGCTGATCGAGAGCGGAGGAGATCGGAGAATGACGATCGGAGCGACAGCGAGAGAGCAGCGCCGCCGCAGCTAGCTGGACAGCTACGAAGCAAAAAGACCGCGGAAGCTGAATTTCGCGAGAGAAAGGGAATCGAGACAGCGGAGGAGAAAGTGAAGGAAAGAAATGGAAGGGATCGAAGGGGGGAAGGAGAATGGAGGAGAAGGGGATTTATTTATATACGTAAGGAAGGGGAGGGTTTAGGGATTTATGGAAAAGGATGAGGGCAAAATGGGGATTTTCGGGTACTATAAATGTTTTGCGTGGGCTGCTGGGGGGCCCATTTTTCGATTATTTGGTAATGTAATTATTTGTTTCAATTATTTACCAAAATCAGGACATTTTATTCCTGGGCTTCTTTCCTTATTGTTCGTGATTCCTTGGTAACTCCCCGTGGGAGAATTCATATCAATTAGTTTTGTTTCCTAATTTGCGTTTTGTGGTTTTGGTAAGATATTTGGGAGGTGGACTAATTGTTGGGATGTCAAAGTAACGTGGTTTAAGAAAATGATGGAATTTTTCACCTTGAAAATGGGATATTAAGATCGATAGTTGTGGATGTCGTGAATTTGTGATTGAATGATAATTGATCAGTAAATTTGTAAGTTTGATTTTTCCGGGAACGATGAGACCTTTTTGATTATTCGGTTATGTCAGAGGGAATTTAATCGATACTAGAAGCGATATCTCTCTCATTTGATAATTGATATCATTGGTCGATGAATCGATGAGTCTGAATATGTTATATTAGAGATGATGAGTTCGTTTGAGTATATCAATTTTCCTCCTATGCCTGTGGACAATTTTCTCTTTCTCGGTATTGATCAAATCGATCGATATTTGGAATTTATGTGGATCCAAACTCAATGTAAATATGGTGCCCTGCTTTTTAATGTTTTGAGATTGTTGTTGACTTAATGATTTCATAGAATAGCACAAATGCTGAGTGGTTCACTCGTGTCGGTACAAAGCACTCTCCTCCCGCACGTGTCTGACAGAAAAAGCGGATACGCGACACGTTAGTTAGTCAATCTTGTCTCTTCTCAATAACTTATTCATATATACCACGTGAATCCCTATTAATTAGTATAATTTACTGATGCGATTAAAGGCCTTAAAATTATCTAACTAATTCTAGAGGGTCAGAACCAGATTAGCGCCTAATGATTCTTCCAGCATACACAGTTCTCAAAACAATCAAATTCTGCAATTAACTCCACAGTACTATTATGTTTTCTTTCCTGGAAATTTCAGTTATTTATTAATTATTACTATTATGGTTGTGAAGTTGGTACCTAGAATAATTAGAAATCGAAGATTCCACAGAGCTTAAATTCAACGTCGACAGAATATTCAAACAGGAAAAGAAACAATCAATAAATAAAGCAAGTAGACGCCGTGTAACTGAGAAGTCTTGTTTTGTAATTTTCCCATTCTTGATTCATTCTGACAAAACAAAACAAAAACAGTACTGGAATTTCTTGACTTGACGAGAGAACGCACGAAGATTTGATCTCTATTATTACAATCATATTAATATAATATACAGTTTAGAGTTGAACAAATGAACGTAACGTTTTCAAGATGTTAATATTTAAAAAATATATATTGTAATAATTTTGGTGGTAATTATAGAGTCGGTGGAAGAAAAAATAATATGGGTTGGATAATCAATGATACATTGATTCTGCCGCCCTTGATTTGCCCATAGTTTATATAAGAAGCCAATCGAATTAGCGGTATACCAGTAGAATTATCAAACCAATTAGAATAGCTTATTTGTTTCGACGATTATGGATGGACCAAACAATAATATTGACGATTTGACTCGTGCACTGGTTCACTATTTTAATTCTCATAAAATAAGAAAAATATGTTTTAACGTAAACTAAGACCATCCAACAAGAATTACTAATTTTATTTCTACTTCTTGTTTTTTCGTTTTTTCCATACTCCTTACCTGATTAATGTGGTCCACTACGGGTTGTAAACGTAATTACTAACTTGAATTTAATAAAGAATTTTTGATTTAATTTGAATGATTTGTTAGAGCTTTTGGTGATGGACGATATAGATATGAAATTGTTTATGGTTAGTGACAAATTCAGTACTAAATTAGTGTGTTATATATGTATTTTATGTTATAAGTGTATGGTACAGTTCTATTTATGGTTAATCAACGGTTCTTAACAGTTGACCGATGAACTATAAGACAATAAATTTCTGGTTCAGCACCCAATCCGGTTGGGATAACATAGGTTCTTATGCTCTGGATCTAAATACAGTAGTTTCTATTAGATGCCTTATCATTAACTATCACTTTGGGTGGGGGGACTATCGCGTGGCATTTCGAATATGAGGATGATATATATGACGTAAACTGACATGTTCGATCAATTAATTTTATATATAAATCAGAATCGATCGGTTCATTTGTCTTTATATGTTATTCACAGGGCAAAACTCATCATACAATGTCTTGAAAACATTGAAAGAATCGGAATACGATTATGTCCGTAAAGATTGCAAACGGGAGCGAGTGGCTAATAACTTTTGCCCCTCCAAATTGGCAAAGAATTTTTTACATTAGATTAGGTTGAAATTCTCATATATGATCCAAATATAGGGCATGGAATTTGCTCCACAAAATGTGTTGAATCAAGTGATGATGGGATTTTATACCGAAAGTGAAAAAGAATGAGAATCCCCCCTCTCTCTCTTCTCTTTTGACTAATTATAACGGAGGAGAACGTGAAAGCTAGCTAGTTACCTCACTCGGAAACCTTGTGTTATTCTCACATTGCTTTTCTTGATGCTATGCACCATTCTCCTAATTAAAAAAAAAAAAATCCTCGACTCTACCATTTGATTTAAGTCAACATCTAAAGAAAGAAAACCCTGCATATAAACCAAAAGAGAAGATTTCACAAATCATCATCATCGATACTTTCATTTCCCGTTCCCCCGCATCGAATAAACTCCATCAAACTTAATACGCTTTTCTCACCACCACTGGTCGCGTCACACATAATCAGTTACCAAGGTATATATTTATCCTCACCTCATTGGTATGTCTCTCACAAATCACATGAGTAAGCATAATTCTCAAATAACTATATTGTAGAGCCAAACAACATTAATCAACTCGACAAAAAAAAAGTTAAGACATTACTCGATCCTCGCCAGTGTAAAAATGAAGTTTAATTACTGTGGAATATATATAATTCTCCCTCGCCAGTCGCCAGTGGAACCCTGTAAAGGGAGCAAAACGTGTCCGCATTTCACACGGCAAACCGATCGACACTCCCACCTGACCGTCGTGGCGACAGAATATCAATTAAAAAAACTGTAACAGGCGAGGAATCAGCGGGCAGAAAGCAAGAAATCAAGCAGCTGCCTGCAATAAAGGTTTTATGAAACCAAGTGCCAGATTTGACTCCATATAATGTTAATGCATTATCAATATGCGTGGAATTCTCTGCATTTGACCCTTTCACATGCATTCCATTCAGGCCACCTTTGGTTCTAGACACAGAGACAGAATCAAACAGTAACGTTCAAGACTCAAGAGGAAGAAGAAAGAAAATATATATATAAAAAAAAGAGAACAGAATAAAACATTTCTACCTACAAACCACGGTTGGCTCTGTAGCTAGCTGTGTTAATTAATCGTGGTTTTCTCTATTACTCGTCGGTTTTTTTTCTCCTCTCCCCTGCACTGCTGTGTTAATGAATCGTGGTTGGTTGGCCGGATCATATTCTCCGGCGTCTCAGGTTGACAAATCAAACCAACTTTTATAACATATTCATTCATTAATTAACTGCCATGTGAAAGCTGCTGCTGTGATGGGTATATACATAGACATGATATTGGGAGTTGCTAAAGGTCGCTTTTAAAATTGCTAAATGTCGCCCTAAAAAACATCAAAGTTACAAATTTAACCTTTTAGCTTCTTTACTCTTCCTTTAGCAAGCAAACAAACACAACTTAGTAAAGAAAATAAAGCATTATTCAAAAGAGAGAATCCATCATCGTCATTCTGGAGTTGGAATCGTCGATATGATATCTGGAGCATGACTAGCGACTCTGAATCGGTAAAGTTCACTCAAAAAATTTGAAGGAAAAAAAAAACAAAAAAAGGGAACCGTAGCTCATTTGCGGTTGCACCATGGTGCAACCGCAAATGAGTTGCGGTTCGTCCATGGTGCAACCGCAGCTCACTTGCGGTTCCACCATGGGCCAACCGCAGCTCACTTGCGGTTGCACCATGGAACAACCGCAAGTGAGTTGCGGTTGCACCATGGACCAACCGTAACTTGCCTTAGGTTGAGCGTTTTTTTGGAAATTTCGTTAGAGAACGGGCGACAACGACGGCGGGAAACGAACGGTTGCCCTAACTCTAATGATAAATGACTTATATACCCCCAATAAAATTTCGAGAGGGATTCGCGAAGAAGGCAGATGAGAGGTTCAGTTTGAGGGGTTAGGGATTGTTTGGTTTGTTTAAATTTTGAAATTTTATTGGGGGTATATAAGTCATTTATCATTAGAGTTAGGGCAACCGTTAGCAATTTTAAGGGCGACATTTAGCGATTCAGATGATATTTTGCGTACGAACCAAGATTGTCGAACCGCGGGTTGACTCGGATTGGCCCGGATCCGGCCTTGAAAACGGGTTAAAATAGCCCATTTGAGAGTTCGCCCGGAAATGGTCAAACCCGGGAAAACCCGGGTGGTTGGGTTGTCCGAAGTGTCGTTGAATTTTTACCATGTTGAATTTAAGTTGATGTTATTTAAGTGTGTTGGAGTTTAAGTACGATTGTTTTCTTATGTTGAATTTCAAATAAGTAAGACATAATGACTTTTTTCATATTTTTGGGCTAAAACGGGTGACCCAGACCCACTAGCTCGACCGGGTCCGGGTTGATCCGCAGGTTGACAACCTTCGTACGTACGAACCCTACATATAGCCTAGGTATACAGGTATAGCTAATTAAGCTCCAATTAATAATGAAGCACCGGCCTCCATTAGTTAATGTGGTTAGTCGGGAGTAATTAGGACCACAAATCACAACGCAATGCATTGCATGTTCCCGAATATACCAACGACTCGAGCTGCGAGAGGTCACGTTTCGTACGAGCTGCGAGTTTTATATTTATATATATATAAATAAACAGTCAGAAGAACCCAGTTGGTCTTAAAAGGTCGAGTCGTTATAATTGTATCAGGTTAATTCATGCATTAAGAATGCGTAGAATTCTCTGCATTTGACCCATTCACTCACCTTAATTTGTTCGACACAGAGAAGACAGAATCAAACAGTAACGTTCGAGGGTGGGAAAAAGGAACAGAATCAAACAGTTCTGCTTATATATAAATTAAATCAACCAGGCTAAATATATATATAGCTAGGGCTAGCTGCTGCATGCATGAACGCATGCAATACGCCAGGGTCAAAAGTCGACATAGTAGTACGTGTCTTTCTTTCTTCGATCTGCAGCTCCTCTTTTTCTCTCCTTTTTCTGAGTTAATTTCGGATGGTAGGGCGCCGTAGCAGCAAGGGTTTGCCGCCGATTCATATTCTCCGCCGTCTCAGGTTGACAAATCAAACTAAAAATGAAGATGCTGTAACATCTCAATCTTTTTTTTTTTTTTTTTATCAAGATGTTGTTTGTTTTGATCTTTTGGACCTGTTTTGCGCGGTTTTGTTTTTAGGTGTATCATAGGTGACTTTAGGGGGGAGGGCCGGTCGGTTCGGTTATCGGTCAACCGAACCACCTACCGAAGGAGGGCTTAAGCCTTCGGTTAACCGAACAGCCACCAAGACCAAAACCATATCACCCCAACCTCCGAAGACCGACCGAGTTTCGATTATCCTGGTTATCGGTTAGTGGGATAACCGGCCAATTTCGGTTGTGACCGGTCGGTTAATCGCTAACCGCTGACCGATTGTCCAGTCCTAGGTGACTTTGCGGGAGATCGATCGTCACACATCTCTCTACACTGAACACGTTTAGCTTTAGAGTCTTCATAAAAACCCCATTCTATAATAAAAACAAATCTTTTCAATTAAAATTGGATTATTTCTTATGAAACCATGAATCCTACTTTCTCAATGTGAGATTTGTTTAAGATATATATACAAGTTTTGTGTACCCACCTAGCCTAGGTAGCATAGGCAACTAGGCATAGCTATAGCTATAGCTAAGCTCCAATAATGGAGCACCGTCCTCCATTTGTTTATATTTAGTCGATCGGGCCGATTTGGACCACAAATGCAAATGCATGTTCCCGAATATACAACGAGCCGAGCTCTGGTCACGTTTCGTACGAGCCGCGAGTTTTTATATACACAGTCAAAACTCAGAAGAACATGATGATTGATGACTCTCACTTGGTCTTAAAAGATCTAAACAACTTAATCTACAGCCTGGTTTGGTTGGTTGGTTGGTTGGTTTGGGGTCAAATGATCATTGTACGATGCCTAATTGTTTAGCTACCAGATCTTGAATATAATATGAAGCTAACCCTAAGATCTAAAGAACTTAATTTCCCGCATTTGTTTTTTTTTCTGGAAAAGCTTCATGTGGGCCAGAGGCTAACTGTGGGCTGTGGCCCATCAGGCCATCAGTAATAGGTCTCTCTGCAAAAGCATTGACCAATAATAAGCTTTTGCATGATGTTCTTCGGACTTCATATATAGCTGCTGTTCTTTGTTTCTTCTTCACTAAATGGGCCAGTTGTATAATCCTCAATTCCTTACTAGCCACTTCGGCCCGGTTTATCCGATATGGGCCTGAGCCCAACTACAATCAAGGGGGAAGTTTTTCATGAAAATAAGGATTGTGTTCTTTGTTTGTGGTTGAAATATCGACTCCAGAAACCAGAATGTCAGATATGCATGAGAATCTGCATCCCAATTCAACCATGTAAACTCCTTCAACCCAATTCTCCAAATGATGTCTTCGAAACTCCTCTATATTTAACGAAACTAAATAAGGTCGATAGATGCACCATTTCAGCTAAGAAAAAAAAGAATGAACATCACTAGCTTCTTCAAAGTTTAGACATCTAAGAAACCCAAATCACAGCTGCAGGCTCGAGCAATATCCAAAAGCATCATTACCACAAAAGAAAGCTGTAAAAAGAAAAACCACCGGCTGGTAACCTTCCAGGGTACTACGTACTAAAAGAGTGGTTCTGTTTTGCCTAGAAACTGTCCCAAATTCTGCAGCCACAATAAGCTGCAGAACAAAACTCAGGATCTCCTTCTTGGATCCCGGCTAGTAATAGAACTAGTAATGGCACAAGTTGAGGAAAGCATCTACAATATTTCCTTCCTTTCTGGATCAGCTTTACAAAAAAAATAAAAAACTAAAAACTTTGCCTATAATTCTCCTGCACCCTGTATCTTCTTCCTTCCTTCAGCTGTCCCGTGAATTTGCTGAATCCAAAATGATCATCTATAGTAATGAACAAACCCTCCCACTAGGTGTCTCCTTCTACCTAAGTGCCGACTCTAGTACCTTCTGCTGATTCTTTGCTACCATCGATCTCGCCAGTGGTTGTTTCAGCCTTTTGAGCCTCCGTGGTAAGAAGCTCCAAAGGTATAGCTGCAGGGTCCAGCTCATAACAACCCTTGGGAGAGTTCTCGGCTTCTTCGCCTGTGAGTAGATGGTGCGGGACCTGATGTGAGAACCGGAACATTTCTTCTCTTGGAATCCTCCTACCGACTTCAGAAGAATCCGCCGGCTTGGCAAACACCAGTTTAAACCCATCGACTTTCACTAGAGGAACTACCGATATGCCCTGCTCCTCGTCATAGTCATCCACCACTTCCACCATGTCGTACTTGTGCATGACTTCCTCGGGGGTATCCTGATTCCATTCTGGGGACCAGTTTCTGTAGAGAGCCCAGATCTCGCCTTTCAAAGGGAGTATTCGGATGACCCCACGAGCTCCCTTTGTGAATCTCACCCTGTGGGAGAAAGCATTCAGAGCTTCATTGATCTCGTGTTTCCCTGTCCTGAAATCACCACATGTTTTGAGGAATCCCGAACCCACCCATTGCAGAGAACCAAACTCACTGTTGGTTCTCGAGTTGAGCCAGCTGATCTTCAACTTAAAAGGGTTCTCCGATATCATCTGAATGATTCGTGCGTAGTAACGAGGCATCCCATCGTTTTCGTCATAAGCAGCCCATACTTGGTCATCTCCGAACGAAGTCTCGGTTCGGTCCAAATCAAAGTTGTGAAAGTCGGAATCTGGGACAGTAATCGACACTGGCTGAAGGGATGTCACTTCATTATCTTTATCTGGAGAGACCTCACGGTCACGGACTGAATCCTTCCCCTGCTTCTCTGAATTTGAAGGAATGCTACTAGGATGGTCATTCTCATGTATATTGTTAACAAAATTGGTTCCATTGCTTTTCTGCTTCTTACTGTTGCTTATTACTTTCTCTTCTCTTGAGTTCCATTGTTCCAACACTTTGCTGATTGTCGAACGGGCTTTTCTTGCCAACATGTTCCGAAGCTCCAGAGGGTTTAACTCTCTTCGTACACTACTAAACCCAGGAAAGTCGGTAAATCTGTAGGTCTTTTCAGCTTCAACAGACACCTTCTTACCTTCGAACACATCTCCAGTTGCAGCCTTTCCTTTGTCGGAGAAAACTATGTTGCAAGTGTCATCTACTCTCCTCTTTTTCAGCAATGGATCATCTGCGGGAGGAGTGGCACCAGCCGCCCTCTTATGCATATGGTTCCTATCAAACTGAATATTATTTGCAGTTGGAGCAACAGTTTGACTGGCGGTTGATGGTGGTGCGAAGGTCCCACGAGAACCATTTACATAACTTCCGACTCCATAACTCTCTCCTCCAGATCTTTGAGCAGTACCATAGCTCCTCCCACCACTAGAAGCAGCATTGTTGTTACTTGCTGCAATATTATGCTTAGAATTTTGATGATGTTTCTGACGATGAGATTGATTCGGTGGAGGCTTATTAATGTTTGGAGGCGGAGCTCTCTCCTCAGCAAGAAAGGCCTGCTGACAATTCGGGCACAGGAGGGTGTGATTAAGATAAATCCTGAGGTACTCATACTGGGTCTTGCATTGGTTACAAATAGTCCAGAAAGTATCCGGCTTTTTCTGGGAAGAGATATCCGCCGCAGTTCCTGCAAATGTGTTCTGTTTTTTTAAGGAAGGTGAAGGAGTTGAGGAATGCCTGCCCTGAGTCTTTGTGGAAGAACTGGTGGAAGTATGAATGCCATTTGCACTAGGTTGAGACGAGGGGACTTTGCTCTGATTTTTAGGGTCTCTGTGGTAGAATGCAGTTGGATTCAACTTCTTGTTGTATGCTACTCTCTTGTCTTTATCTGAGAGCAAACTCCAGGCTTCTGAGACCAGCTTGAATGCCCCGTCAGCACCCAGGGATTTGTTTTTGTCCGGGTGGAGGGCCAGAGCTAGCTTCCGGTACTGCTTCCTCACTGTATCATCATCAGCCAATGAGCTAACACCGAGCACGTTGTACCAATCGACTTCACCATTGCTTATTTTATTCTGAGCAGATATATAGACTTCGAGGGTTGTCAGCATTTGAGGTAGGCCTTCCAGACCGGGATATAAGTTCTGAGCCTTCATGACAAACTTCTTGGCAGCGAGATAGTCCTTCGAATTGAACTTCCTCTCGGCGATTTCCTTAGCCCTGAGTGCTTCATCTTTGTTGCACTCCATAATAACCGAGTGAATCCCACGAAGGAAAAATTCTTCCTCTCGTGTCTGCTTGGATGCAAACTGAAAGTTCAACCAACAGTTCTAGCAGCCCGCCCTAGTTGAGCCTTCAAATAGAATTACCGGATCAGTAGCTTACTGCAAGAATAATACAACCCAACAGAACAAGGATCAGTAGAATCTCAAAAGGAACAGATATTGGATCTATAGTACTGAAAACTACCAACTTAGGCATAAGTCATTAGTCTCGTCATTCACAATGCTTTTGGGGGGTTTAGCCTGTTCTGGAACTGCAATGCATCGAAATTCTGTCAGACTAGCATAGCAATACCACAACTAAAATCAACTTTTTCTGATTACATAATGGACAACAACTTTCTATAGGACAAGCCTAGTTGCAATAGCAAAATATACTTAAAGCCTAACTTTCAGTAAGTTAAGTTTTTAAGGTCTTTATGCTGTTAACTGTGGTCTAATTCTCTGCAATGCAAACAAGAAAAGTCTTGTGACAGCTGATACGTTTAAATTCTTCTGATGCAATGATAAGATGCAAAATGAAAAAACCAGGGTTCATCACACACAATAAGGAAAATTATAGAATTGCAACTCAGACTGTTGCTCAATGCAAAGGAATCTTGTGCTGCATGGTAGGCTAGTAGCACAGAGCAATGCCAACATAATCACTGCGAAAATGCTTGTATCATATGTTGAACACATAATTATAGTTGAAATTTGAAGTTGACTTTACCTATTTGAAAAGTCCCAATCAAATAGTAATGTATAATGCTCTAATTCTGTATACTTATTACTTCCAAATCATTAAACACTAATTAAGACCCAACAAAGTACCACACAATAACATTGCTTGAGAAAAGGGGCCAGAACTTCCACTGGTAGAAAACTTCAAACATAGATTTTTCAGTTCAATGATCAGTTGGAGGTTAAGAGCCAGGCTTGAGCAATCAATCCTAATTTCTCTAAACATGTACGTAACACGCCATGTAGCCATTAATCCAGACTAACGAGCACAACCCTCAGAGAATAAAATCAGATTCAAAATGCCTGCCAACTTCCAGTTGCCTCCACCGAAAGCAACAAACAGAATCCCAATTACGTTTAAGCAAAGCCCCATCCATAGCCAAGCTCAAAACATACCATTCATTCGCAGACATCCAAACACGGCGACCCCCGCTCGTAGATCTACAGTACGTAAAACACGTAAAATGGGCCCAAGTTGCACTACATTCAAATTCGCTTCGCGGCATAAAACCCTAGAATTTTGGAAACACGAAACCGGCCTCGAAATCGACAATGGCGAACAGATGCCAAACGATGATGCGGAAGCGCGAGGAAACAATGGAAATATTGAGGAATTGAAAAAAAACACCAGGACCGAGTTGCGAGAGATGAACAGTTCGTACCTATTCAAGGCAAAAGCGCCATTCTCCAAATGATTGGGGGGGAATTATTTTTGAATCTGAAGAGACCAGTTGCAATCAATAGTATTAGAGGCAACACCCAAACCCCATCAACCAACTGACCTGGAAGAGGAATTTCTCTGCTTCTGCTCTCTCTCTCTCTCTCTCCCTTTCTTCCTTTCTCTCTCTAGTTACAGACTCAAAAAGAACTTCTATGAGAGCCCACCAACAATGGAATTAAAAAATATAAATAATATTTAACAAATTGGAGGAGAAAAAAAGCAAGTATGGGTTTGGTTAAGTATTTAACCTAAGAATTAACCCAACCACATGGGCAACTTTTTTTCTTCTTCTCCTCCTCTCTATCTCTCTCTTAAAGAATCTCAACTAGGGTTGGATTTTTAACCCTTGGGTTGGGTTACATAATTTGCTTCCCTTGGCTATTAACTTGACCATGGTTAGTTTTAACCTTTCTCTTGGGTCAGGGGCTAACCAAATCTGGGGTTAGTTTCTCTTCTTCTCCTTTTTTAACTAGTACAGGGTGAAACGGTTTAAAACCTGTTTGATCGTATCGATTAAATTGTGTATCGTTGACATAATCGATAAGATTTATCATATTTTTGCGAGAGTTGTTGACGACTCTTTCACGGTTTCACCGGTAAACCCGAGATATTTGTCTTACTGAGATGGACACCAATTCAATTTTCACAACTGTTGGATCGCTTGATTCACGATTGTCAATTTGTCATTAACGAAAAGTGTGGTATAGACAATGTCGCTTCAGTGCAAATAAAAATTATAATTATTGTATATGATTTTGTATATATAATAATTTGTTGCTTTCATTATTTATAAGGACTGTGGTTCTTAAAAATCATCAATCGCCGTAGATTACACAATATAAGTTTTTAGAAGACTGAGCCCAAACAAACCATAGATTCCAAAAAAGATCTTAATGGGCCGAAAAATGAGCAACCGGGGGTTATTTCTTATGGAATTAAAGCGTCAAATTTTTTCATATGTTTTCCATTAATCCATGGTACTAAAGTCTGGTATAACCCTAGCCAATAAATTGGACAATACCCACAATCAAAGGTCTTCTGCATTATGCCCAAAACTTGGGAGGAACATGCTTTGCATGTAGCATGCTTTGCATGTAGCATGCTTCTCCAAATTTCTACCAAATGACAGTTCTTTCTCAGCTCTACTCCATTTTGTTGTGGAGTACTTGGGCAAGTCAACTGACATCGTATTCTATTCTCCTTGAAAACTTATGTGAATATAATAGAGGTGTACTCTCCTCCATTGTCTGTACATATACACTTGATATCATGACAGGCTTCGCCTTCAACAAGTTCTTTGAATATTTTGAACTTCTTAAATGCCTCTGATTTCTCTTCCGTGAAATCAACCCAAGCATATCTTGAGAATTCATCAATGAAAGTAATCATGTACTTAATTCCATACAATGAGGTCTGCTTCACTGGTCCAAACACGTCTGAATGGGCAAGTTCCAGAGGCATTTTAGACTTGAACTTTCAATATTCATATGGTAGCTGACGAGCTTTCCCATACTGGCATCCAAAACATACGATATCTTCACTTATATCAAGGTGAGGAAGTCCTTTGAGCATGGACTTCTTCATCATGACTCTAAACTGTTGATAGCCAATGTGTCCAAGCCGAGCATGTTTGTCGTCATACTCCTTCTTGTTGTGTTAGCATAAGCAGCTTCTGCTGACATTACATAGACAGACTCCAACTTCTGCCCTTGCGTGATCTTATCTGAAGTTGGTTGTAAGTTGTGATACACCTTCACATCTCTATTACCGTATATCACATAATTATCAGATGTTGTCAGTTGTGATACCAAGGATGTAGTAAATGTTGAACAACTCCACTTGCTTATTGCCAACCCGATGAGTAACTAGTGTCTCGCAAATGTGGGTGATTGATAGTTTAGTGTTCTTGGCGGTGATAACCACTCATCCACCTTTGTAATGAGACACATTTAAAAGCTTATGTCCATCACTGGTCATGTGATTTGAGCATCCTGAATCCACGATCCAGTCATTTCATAATCAATGACATTCTCGTCCAGTGACATAAGTGCTAACTCTTAAGTGGTGCCTTTTGGAGATTTTGTTGTTAAATATGCTTCTAAGTCCCATTCATCATCATTCACCTTGGAAGACGTTGCAACATTGCCTTCTTCCTTCTTGTGCGAGCAATCTCTGGCTAGATGACCTTTCTTGTGACCAATGTAGCAGTTGCCATTTTCTCGGTCATTATCCTTCATGTTCTTTTCGTCACCACACTTGTTACGGTGGTTGTAATTTTTTTTAGCTTCCCCTTGATAGTTGCCCCATTTCTTGTTCCACTTATGGTTCTTCTTTAACCCCTTTTGGCCGCTTGTCGATGCAAGAGCCTTCTCTCCACCATTGGAGTATTTACTTTTGTTGAGCAGCACCTTCTCCTCTTCTTTGATTGACGCCTTTGGCATCTTGTCGTCGAGAATTTCTACATTTGCTAGAAGATTGTCCAACTTAGCCAGGGTTGGCTCCTTAGACCACCATCTTGTTGTCGTCACTATGACCTTGAACTCCGGTCTCAAGTCACAAATGAGAATTCTTCTTGTTCGAACTTCCAAAATTGGATTTTTAGATTCCAATTTTGAAATTTCGGCACAAACATTTTTTACTTTGTTAAAATATTGACCAATGGTCAATATTCCTCGGGATAGTGACACCAAATCATTCTCCAAACTTTGGAGTTTTGCCTCATTGGTCATGGGGAAGATTGTAGAGAGTATCCCAAGGTTCCTTTGAGGATTTTCTTTCCTTGATACGATGCAGGAATTGATCTTCTGTTGTGACTGCAAAGATGTACATGATCTCATTTGTTTTTGCTTCAAGTCCTCTAACAACATCTCATCGATTGGTGGCGGGACGACGATAATTTTCCATAGCTTTTGGCCTAGCTATGAGATAAAACTTCATACGGGGTGCTCCAACTTGAGTAGTTGGTCTCGCTCAACTTTTACATAACGGTAACTGAGAATCCCTCTATCTTCTTCCTTCTTTTTTCCCCCCTAATCCACAACTACGTTAATTAATACAACCTCTAGGCAATTCCACACATTTCACAACTCTAATTAGCTGTGTTATTTGGCTAAATATATTTTACTAAACTTTATTCCTTTTTCACAGCCTCTAACTCTTGATGTTGCTACATCATTCATGCTAAACTTGTTATCTTTTTCATCAAGCTAATATGCTTCCACACTTCCAATCATAACAACGAAAACCCAATGAAGTCGGGTGCAATTTTGCAACCATGGTTCTTCTTCCTGTTTCGTTTTTCCTCGTGTGTTGCTTTATCCAGGCAGATTACATGTGTTCGACCTATTTGTTCATTTGCTATTTTGCTTACCTGTAAAATACAGATTCGAAGCAGCTGGCCACTGACGGCAACTTCTTCTCCTTCTTGTTTAGCGGTGGCGTTGATTTCTGACACATATATAGTTTCATAATTATTTCACGGGACAGACAAGAGGATGTATTCTTCTTGTTCTTGTTTTATTAATAAGCTGACGAGAAATGTCTTGGTGCAAGTGAAATCCCATCTGCAGCTATTGGTTTGTTTGGCCAAGTTCATTCACCTTTGTTCTTGAGAAATGAGCGGTTTGCTTGGTGGAATGGAATATAAATTGGCAGAGAAAATGTTTAATGAGACAAATGTGATTCATTCCTTTACCTCTTTTGTAAAATCCAAAGTTGGCGATCTCTTTAGTAATAATAGTTGATTAACACTTAAAACTTATTTAACGTGTCGAATTTTATACTTTTCGTTAAGTTTTGATTATTAATCAACTTTTTCTCCAATAACGTATAGTATTGCATGTCTTATTTTTGGGTCCTATGTTTGTAGGAGGAAGAATTATGCCTGCTCATGTGATTAAAATACATTTGTTATTTGTTTCGAGTATCGTGAAGAAAAGGTAGATTCAAGTTGACTTAAAATCGATTGAGTTTTTCGATGGATTGTAAGTATGAGGAGGATGAATTTGTGTTTTCATTGCACTGCCCAAATAAATTAATACAATATTTTTCTACATGACTTCACTTATTGTTGGGTAATGTTAACTCCCAATTAGCAATTTTGTTAGTAATATTGACTTGGCAACACGATATTAACTTGGAAGAGACTCATGAAGGTCAACATTCTAAAATTTAAGTATTTTAACTAAGAGAATAGTTACAAAATTATTAACGATAACGTAAAAATGGCTAATATTTTGATACATTACGAAAGATTTGGATAATGAATAGAATTTTAATAGGTTTGGATATTATAAAAGAATCTGAAAAAGGTTTGGATAAAAAATAGACATTACCCAATAACTTTTATTAAGGACCAATGGCACATAAAATTATAAGTTCAAGGATGAAATGAGGGAAACGTCACACAATCCGGCGTCGTTTTGTCCTTGGATCTATCGTTTCCTTCTACTCACTCGTGCCGTTTAAGAACGAGGGTTTTTCTAGTACTACATCCCACACAGAAAAAAAGAAGGAAAGAAAGAAAAGGAAAAAAAGGAGCCGAGAAAACCGAGAGAGATTCATAAAGGAGAAAGGGCGGCCGAATCCCAGCAAGTGGCCGCTTCATCCTTTTGCGCCCTCCCGGCGCCGCCATCGCCGCCGCCTCCTCTGCTGCTCCTCCGCCGGATTTTCCGGTAGCCGAAAAATCGGCAGAGAGAGGGAGAATCTGGAGAAGAAATTGACTGTTAAAGAGCGCTAACAAAAACTGCTGCGGAGGGAAATCTGTGTTCCGCCGCCTTCCGGAGCGACTGCTCACCGTCTTTCACTCATTTCTAAGTGAAGAAACCGGTCTCGGTCGTCGGCAAAGGGAGAAATCGCGTGACGCTACGTTCGCCGCCGTCCTTAACTGCTCTCCGGTAGTAACAAGAGCCGTATTGCCGATTTCTCCGTCAGTTCGTGGTTCATTTCTTCCGTCATCGTCTTCTCCGAACGCTCAGAATCTCGGTATCGGCTTCTACCTAACGCTATCTTTTCTCCGATCGATTTATGGCTTCTTTTTGCCTGCGTGAGTGAGTGGACTGCTCTGAGAGAGCGGAAATGGATGGATGAGAAATTTGAAACGAACATTTTTTTTGCAGGATTCAGCTATGGATTCATCGCCGCGGCAGCAATGCAGCAAACAAGAAGATGAAAGGCCTGTGGCAGGTGGAGTCGGATCTGATTCCATCTCAGGTTTAACCAACAATGGCAGGAAAATCTCTCGTCACGATGTCAAGATGGTGAGCCTAAACTGATACTCGTTTTCCATTGTTCATTGTTGAGGGATCGAAATTGAAACTCGAGAGTTGAAGTTCATCAATGGTTCTTGTATTGTAGGTTCAGAATTTGATAGAGAGGTGTCTGCAACTGTATATGAATAAGAACGATGTGGTGAATACACTCTTGGAGCAGGCTAGAATCGAGCCTGGGTTCACAAGCCTAGGTGAGTTGATTGATGCCTATATCTGTTTATGCTAACTTGAAAGCTGCTGCCATTATTTGAAGATTCTATCCGTATATGAACTTTTTGACTTAGAAGTTATGTTACCATAAGCTAGTTTACCGAATTGGCAATAATGAGCGGTGGCATTGATCCACCATAAGCTCAGTAAAATCTTCAAATAGAAACTACCTTGAAAGCTGAAGGCAAGAGACAAATGAGAGAGGCAAAATCTAGTTCTCAGACGACCTAGGGCACGAGTAGAGGCTATCAATGTGATTCCTTATTAGGATTCTTAACTTTCGGGCACACCCTAGTTCTTGTTTGACAAGCTGGCACCGGCCTAGTTAAATACATGTCATGCACAAAAAATTGTCTAAAGATTGAATATGTCCTACTGTTCTTTACCATGAAATTGCTTTTGGGTTGATGCTGCTAGGGTTTTATATACTGGGGAGCAATAACGTCTACTTCCTTACCTTACTAGACCATACCTGTGACTGGATTAACAACGGTTTGTTAAGCTCTATAACGATTATAGATATTTTGGAAGGATTTCCCCCCCCATTTGCTTTTTGTTTGTTTTGATAGCTAACATTATGATTCTGATACCTCTTTATCCTACCGTTGTTTAGTATGGCAGAAGCTGGAACAAGAAAATGTGGAATTTTTCAAGGCCTACAACGTGAGGCTGACGCTGAAAGAACAAATTGATCGGTTCAACCAGTTACTCATGCGACAATGCCAGCTAATGCACTATCCTGCTTCTCAGGATTTTCCTTCTCATCAGAATGGGGATGCCCAAGTGCCTGGTAAGTTTTCGTGCGAACGTCTCAATATCTATCCTTGACAAAGCTTCAATGATGCTTCTTTTTTTCCATGCCTACACTGAACCAACAATTAGGATAAAGCACATAATTTTATTTTATTTTGGTAGAAACACAAACTTTTTGGTAGATGGATTAGCAGAGAAGTTTAAACTAAATTTGTGGAATATCCTCATTCTCACTGCAACTGACATGCTGTTTCCGTTTTCTGTAGTACAGTTACTGGTTTGCCCGCAGAACCTAGCATCTTGCAACAGCAGTCTGGGATTTCATCAATGAGTCATCCCCAGATGCATCAAGTGAGCAGTCTGTCTGACTGCCCAGTGGTGAACGGTTTCCCTGCTTCAGGAAGTTTCCACCAATTGCACCTGAATGCCAGTAGAGAGTGAGTACCATCTTTAGTTTTTCTTTTTTCCCCTTAATCTTCTGGGGTATTTTAGAAGCTTTTGACTGCTTTCCCCGTTAATTTGATCTTTCTTTGTGTTTTGTAAAGGATGATAATGGATGGAAATACAACAGTGACAGCAATTCCCCTCAACCAGTCATTGGAGTCCGAGGTGGGCGGAGTTCCTGCATCCAATGGCCGATTCTCTCTCGGCTCAGTTGAGATGGCTGGATTCTCAAATCTGGATTATTTGCCACCAAACGCGTCATACAATATGATGCCTCCTCATTTGCAAGATGGTGCTGAAGGCGGTTGTGATTATCGCGGGATGCCTGTCCATTCTTTCCCACATATTCCCTGGAACTTGAGCTTCCCAGATCTGGGCGCGGACTTGGCAAGTATTGGAGGTGAGATGGACTCCTGTTTCCTTGATCTCTATCAGGCTTAGATGTCGACAATATTTGCTTCCCCACAGTCTGGGATTGTGACATTTATTGTAACTACATTACCAGATCACGGTCAAATGGAGAACTACTCGGGCTCAGACATACTACTCGATTCAGCAGACGAAGAGAATGACATGGGTAAGTTCGGTTGAACCGTTCGTTTTCATTCCCTTCCATATTGAGCTTGTTAAATCAGCGAGCTTGCTGATATGACTTTGATCCCTTTTGTTGTCTGCAGTTAAAGAGTTCTTCGTGGATTCTGTTCCTCCCTCGAGCCCTCAGATTGAAGAGAAACCTGACGTCGGGGCTCTATAGAATGCAGTAGTGTTAACAGTAGGCAGCAGCAGCAGGCAGTGTGACGTTAGCCTTACTCTACTCGCACAATTTTTTGAATGGGCAGCCTCATCAGAACAGCTCTATAGTCTATAGAATGGCTGCTATAATATCGGGTAGCTCTTTGTTTACATCCTTCCCCCCGGAAGCTAAGGTGGGTTTCCGAAGCCCATTTATTGGGCTTCCTATAAACTGTAGGGCCTTTCCTTTTAAGGTATTGGGTTTCTGGAGGCCCAAATTATTATAATGTATTCACAAACCTCTGTGAAGAAAACCTCAGTTTGACAGATGTCCATTGGGCTCAGTAGCCCATCTGCTCATTCAAGCATCAAGCAAATTCTTGTGGCCCATTGTTAAGAGTGAAGGAATGAAGATAAAAAAAAGGAAAGGAAGCAAATTCGAGATTGGCTTAGGTCTGAATAATTGGGTGACCCGTTACACGACTGACACGTCGAATTTCATGGTTTCTTGTTGTTGACATACAAACAGAAAGTAAATAGCAAAATGGAGGGAGAAAATTACACTTATTTTCAGGTTAGGCTGGAGGGCAACGACGGAGAGAAAGACAAACAAAAACAAATGAATGGGAAAAAAAATTGACTTCTTAAATATGAACATTTTTCGGCTAGAACTCGACGGGACATGCACAGATTTCTTTCTATGTAGAGAGAGATTATGCCTAAAAAAGGTTTTACTCTGAGCCTACACATGCAACAAGAACCAGAACTCAGTTGCTGCTGCTGCTCTCTTTATTCTCGGGTGGTGTATCCACCGCAATGATGGTTGCCGGAGCATCGTTGTGGTGGAATCTCACCACTATGCACGTAATGTTGTCGGCGCTGCCCCTTGTAAAAGCAGTTTCCACAAGCTTCTTCGCTGCCACCTCGGGTTCTTCCTCTGATCGGGCGAGCGAGATGGCATCCTATGCACAGAAGGATAGGGCATATGAGCACAGTGGAAATGGAAATGGAAAATCAATCAACAAGAGAAGAAACTAAGGTTTAAAGCTCACCTCGTTCGGTACCACATCCCATAGTCCGTCGCTTGCAAGGACTAGCAATTCAAACTCATCATCTACCTTCAGATCCTGGCCAGTCACAGAAAACTCCTTTAGTTGAAGTGACAGTAAGATTAAAATACAAAACAGGTTTACTTCACCGAGCAAGGACGATGATATAAGCTTCCGGATTATGAGATTGGGAGATTGATTACCTGGATTTCAGGTTCTGCAACTACATATTGCTTTAACATACGGTTCCCAAATGCACGTGACATGGCCAATACACCGCCAACCCTCCATGTGCCTGAGCAGTAAATCAAAGTACATGAATTTCCACAATTACAAACTACGTAGTAGCAAATCAGCTTCATATGGATCATAATTACAACTTTACTCTACACTTCCACAAGCAGGATGTCAAGTAGAATTACCTGCCCACATCACTACACCACCAGCATTTTCAATTCTCTTCCGTTCATCACTTCTATTAGGTTTATGATCCTCGGAGAGGGCAATTGCTGTCCATTCACAGAAAGGAGAATGGGGAAAGCATGGTTAGTTTTTAAACAACGATAGTAGCTGCAGTTAGCAGACTGATAACAAGGAACAATTTGCAGTTCGGTGGTTGAAGATGAGATCTGAATAGCCATAACAAGGTAAGGTAGATTGAACTGCTGAATTTCACTCTTTGCAATTGAATATGATCAAGACTCTGTTGTCTGACTTGTCTCGGTATTAATCTTTAGAACTGGTACAATGTCTATGGACTAACACAAGAGCTGCTTCGAATTCACATTTCTCAATTTAAGTGCTGAGGCCCTATATGCAATTCCTACTTCCACCGTCTATTATAAATCACAACAGGAAGATATCATGTCCAACATTACCAGACAAGCTGCAGCTTGACGTTTATCAGAAACAGACAAACAGCAGTAGCAAATTGGTACCTTTTCCAGCCTTGGATACCACAGTTCGGGAATCCCCAACGTTGGCAACATACAGATGGTCGCCTACTAGCACTGCTGTTGAAGCAGTAGAGCCATCATCTCTGTATGTCTCCTTTTCAGAATCTAAGAAGTCGGCATCAGTCTGCTGATATGTTTCACCTGCATGACAATACCAGTATTATTGCAAGTATATAAATGTCACCAGCAGTAATTGGCTAAATATGTTCCTAATGAAGTATGACAAGAACAAATGTAGAACATACTTATAGCTGATTTGGTATCTGACATGAATTTTGGGTGCTTCATTAGATTCTCAAATAGTTGTTGCTTTAAATATTCAGATGCTCGAGAACCACCATGACCTGAAAAAATAAAATAAAAATGTAACGGTCATCACATGATATTCAATATTCACCTACAGCTAGAAAAAGAAAGATTTGATAGGATGGCGATCATTGACACGTGTATAGTAACAAAAGCATACACCTTATAGTCCAAGCTGCCGAGTAACGACAAGATGATCGTGCGAACGTGGTTATATCCCAACCTAATGGGAAGCAGTCCTACTATATGGGAGCAAATATCTAAACCAAAGTTGGCAATCATCATCTGACAGGAGAGATCCATTATCATCTTTTCTTTTCTGATGATTGTCTGATTCATTTATTGAAATTGGACAAACCCAGGTCAATTGCCTCTTTCATAAAATGTACTTGTTGCAATCAATTAGAGGCCAAACTGTATATGGAAACTAATAAACCGGTTCCACGCGCCACCATATGCATCCACGACAACACTAAAGATTCCCAACGGCTTCCAAACAGACTCAAAGTTTGACCACCATGCATTCAGCATACATTGTTATACTATAACTGGAAAATATATTGTAGGAAAATCTAACCATCAAATATTCCAAACATGCAGACTGGTTTCTCGTCAATCTTCGAAATTTTGATATCGTAGCAGTCCTCCATGGTTGCTCTCTTTCCTCTGAAACTTGAGTACCCACAGCTCAATTTCCCATCCTCACTGCCAAGAGCATCAGATACATCTGTCAGTAAGGCTTAACAGAAACATGTCGATTTCCTCAGGTTACTTTGTTTTTCTTAAAAGAATAAGTAGCATAAGATGCAATGACATGAGATATCAGAATGCAATTACGAAATGATATCAATTATTCAGTCCATCTTAGCGAGAACCGCCTAGGACAATCATATATACGGGTAAGGCCAGCTAACATTCCTACCAACAAGCTGATTAATACAAATTCCTTTTCATTGGCATGGGAAATTTGTCATAAGAACAATCTACAAGCACTGAAGCAGCCTATCATCTATTCCTTGCGCTTTACCCTTCCACATTTCTCAATCTAGCAACAGGATACTACCGATACACAATTTCAATCACCAACAATTTAACAAACAGCATTCACGATCCACAGAAATGTAACGAAAATCCATTAACAGACAAATCACTTATTACGCTTCACATAATCATGAAATTGCAATGGAGCATTCTGAATCCCAGGGAATAACCTTTTACAAGCTCCACCGAGATATCCGCCGGCTTCTTCTTTCTCCGGCTGCAAGCCGCAGCCCGCTGGCGCGGCTTTCGCAGCCGTGGATCCTGTATCTACCATCATGATTGTCCGAACAGGGAAACTAGGATTCCACTTATTAATATTATTCCGGCGAAGAAGGCCAAAAGTACTACGCGAAGAATAAGTCTTCCTCCCGACGTTGCCGCTGGATAGCAACCTTGTTCTGGAGAAAACAACGGTTTGAGCAATCACACTCCTGATGCAGCTGTTGCATACCACCATCTAAAATCGGCCGGCTCTGGCCCTTATTTGGCGCCAGATCACACTCCTCGTCTGGTTACCACTCACAAAAACGAAATGAAAAGCCGCTGCATCGCAAACAAAAAAACAACTCAAATCGTCAATCCAAACAGAAATCGAAATCGTCCTCCATCCTCAGAAATCTCAGATCAGAATGCAGCATCGGAGATTTCAGAATCAACTCAAGAAATCATAAGAAGATAAAACAAGGAAGCATTCAACATGAACACAAACTACGGCCGTCCATTCAAATGCCTCATCGGAATTAAAACAGTAAACATAAACAAAAGAACGAAATGGTAGCTAGCTACAGCGGGAATCATCCACCACCGAGCTCTCGGATCAGAATGCAGCATCGGAGATTTCAGAATCATCGCAAGAAGTCATCAAAAAATACACAAGCGCAGAGCAATCAGCTGAACGCAGATTGCCGTCTTCGATTCAAACGCCTCCTCGATTAAAACAGTAAGCAGCAAAAAAAAAGGAGAGATCGGAATCACGATTACCTCGAATCGTTCTACTCATGGAGCCGACGGGAGAACGGAGCTCGCTCGGCGTCGGAACATAGAAAAAATCCTCTCGCTGCGAGCGAAGTACGGATCGGTCTCTGTCGATTGATTGAATCCGCAGAAATTATACAGGTGCGAATCAGATCGAGAGATCGGAGCGGTGATCCGGATAAAAAGAGGAAACAGGATCCAAATCTGATAGATAGGTAGAGAGAGAGTTGGTTGTGGGAATCGGGAGGTGGAAGAAGTGAATGGATTTTCTTTCTTTCTTTCTCCCTTCTTTCTCTCTCTCTCTCTCCCGAGAAAGTGATGGAATCTGGGGGAGGAGCTAAAGATGGGAGGGAAGGCAATGGAAGGATAGAGATAGAGCGAGCGAGAAAGAAAGAAAGAAAGAAAGAAAGCAAAAACAAACAAACAAACAGAATTGAAAATGGGTAAATAAGAAGAGAGAGAAAGAGAGCGGAAAAGGTGGGAGAGGTTTGGATTTATATACTGAGTGAGCGAACTGCGTGAGTGAGCTGAGTGGAGTGTTCGAAAATGCGTTTTGGCAGGGACGAGGAATGGCAACGTGGCACACTTCATGCAATCAGTCAATCAAAATCTTGGATTTTTATATTATTAAAGAAAAAGGAATTATCTTTCATAAAAGAAAAAGAAGAAGAAAATATCGAGCGCGGTGGATCCACTAACAGATAGGGATCCATTCAAACTGATCTGTTCTACCGACTACCAAGGCCCCGGCCCAACAAAATATCAATTGCCACGTGGGGTATCTTAAGATTGTGTGGGATTAATTACCAAATCGGTCCATGGACTATAGTGTTTATACGAAGTGGTCACTTGTCTTCCGAGAATGGCTTATGATTAATCGTTCTAGAATCGCTAGTCAATTATTTATAGAACCATTCATATAATCAACCAATTTGGATGGAGAGAAGAAGGCATAAGTGGAAATAAAGGGATGAAAAATAGAGGCGACGAGGGGCAGGTGGGAAAACGAAATCAAGAGAGAGTCGATACAATAATTGATTATGATTGGTTGGATTTTTATGTTTCTGCCTTCAATAATATTTTTGAAATTATTTTACGGTTAAACGATTATTAAAAAAAACGATCATTTTGTATAGTTCATTAGATTGATTCATTAGCTTTAATCTATAGGTTGAGAGATCTTGTTATGAGTTATCACTCTAATGGGAAAATCCCCCTTTGTATATATGGTTGAGATAATTAGTTATGCTTTTCTACAAAGGTTGCGAAGTTTAGTATTTCGGTTAGGTGATTTTTTGTAAAAGAATATAATTTCAAAAGTTTAGTGTCATATGCCGGTCTCAATTTGCTTCTCAAATCCAAGATTGAAACTCCGGATGCTCTATACGTGAGTTGCTTGTGACGATTATAAGGTACAATGCGACCATCATGCATTTCTTACACTTTGCTAGGATTCACAATGGGAGGGAGCCCGGCCCAATTAGTCAGACAAAAGCCCAGCCCGCGCAACCATGTTTAAACCAAAACAAAGAATCCAGCGTGCATGACAAAGACGTACGGTTGCATTGCAGGTGCATGCATTAATTAATTTGTGCAAATTGACACTTAATTAATCAATAAATTCCCCTGACAAAACGAAACACAAATCATGATCAATTATTTAAACGGTCAAACGATGGATCAGGAGAAAATTTATCATTATTTTTTTGGGGGGGAGTTGATGATGAGAAAATTAAGCATAAACGTTAATTACGAATAATTAAAACGGCAGGAGTTCAGGGAAAGAGAGAGGGATAGGAGGAAGCATTCAAGCAAACTGCAAAAGTCATCCTGCTAATGATAGGAAATTACCGAAATAACAATAGTCAAACAACAAATTGCGAGAAAGAAAGGAAGGAAGGAATGGCTGTTTGTTTGTTTGCTTTGACTTTTGCTGCGACAAACAACACCCCGTTTGTTACCCACAAAACAAAGCATATTCATTTTCTCAGAACTTGTGAATTGTGATCCCTGTCTGTCGACCGAGTTTTTTGTCCCCAGCTGGGTACTACAGAGAATAATTCTCGGTTCGAGGCAAGTTTCGGGAAATCGTATCGGAGGTTAGATCGGAAAAAGTGAGTGGTTGGATATTTTGTATTAAAATTGTGGTTTAATCGTGATTGAACCATTTTCTATCGCTAAGACCACCTACAGTTTTGAGTTCGGTATCCGGTATTTACGGTCCGACCGGCCGGTATGATAGGGTTTCCTAAACCTTGGTTTGAGGCAGTCCCTCCATTTACCCCATTCACGCTTCGAATATGAAAACATATGTTTGTTTGTTTTACAGACGTTGAACCACGTTGAATTTGATTTGTTTGACTATTTCGAAGAGAGGACTCGTGAAGTTGGAACTCTAACGAAAGTACTGAGTTTTAGAGCCGGAAATTTTATCAAGCATAGCATAATTAGTATCCGTTGCTCGTAATCTCCTACCCCGACAACCCTTTTTTTTTCTTATCGAGCAACAACTCTGCTTCGTTTCGACCATCATGAGTAAATCTCTTGCACTCCCCTCGGTACTATAGCTCTTTTCCTCCTGCTGGCTCCGTCCACCGTGGAGTAACCACGAATATATCTAATTAATTAAGGCAAGTCCAACATGTATTTCATATCGTGAAAATATCTAAACAAACATGCATCATGCAAATTATGAAAGGATGTCACTCTTAAGGTATCCTACCGAAAAATCATTCATGATTTAATCACTTATCTAATTCTTAAGTGTTTTTTTTTCGCATTGTTCATTGTAATAAATACTTTTTTTCAACACTTGCAATGACTACTTGTAGCAACATATGCTACTAAAGTTTTATGTTTGAATTTTTGTTTATATTAAACTAGGCTACAAATATATATCAATTAGAAGTTAAATAGAGATCACAAAATGTTGTTTGTTAATAAAGTTGTTTACAATTAATAAAGTTGTTTACAATATTGTTTGGCCAGATTTGCTTTAGCAAAGGTCATAACTCATAACCCATATCTTCACGTGTATCCCATCCACTCATACATGCCGTACAGATATCGCGTGACATGTGTTGCCAATTATTCATTTTATTAATTATTCCTGTGAGAAGGAGTTGGCATAAAGTGTATAACATGATCTTATTAATTAAGGTTTAAACTCGCACATTATTAATAGTTATAGCAGGTTTTGAGTGTTCGTTAACTAGTGCTCTGTTATATCATATGATCATATTGTTGATAATGATGTCACATACACTATTCATGATTGAAACATTGTCCTAATTGTTGATGTCACATACACTAACCTTGATTGAAATATTGCTAAAAAACTACACACATGTTTATCATTCTGCATTCCATGTCGTTAATACAAAACACATATGGTAGACACACTAGTTTCGATTAGAGTTAGACTGAACCAAGTTGAGCGCATACCAGATAGACTAATTAGGGGGTTCTAATTAGAATGATCAAAACTAACCAAACAAAATAATTCGTCAGCAGTATTAACAAAAGATCAATCCACCCAATCAAGATGGATTTTTCGAATGAAGATGGATTTTTCGAATGAAGCCACGGTAAACCCCAAAAATATATATAATACCTGTTGATTCTGCCATTGTGAGCAGACGATTCAAGACGCACAAACTCAATGATGAAAGTGGGAATTTTAGAGTTAGTTGAGAATGCAAAATAACAAATTAAGATTAATGAATTTTTCGTGATTGTTTGAGGAACTCTAATTGTTCTTGTCCTACACAAAATAATCTCGTTATATATATAAATGGGCAATATAACCCATCTTTTAAACTACACATATCCATCGCACGAATTGGCTGATTCCCTCTAATAGATAATATTCTCTACAATAACAAAAGTAAATTTTGATATTTTTTTGTTCGAAGTAAAATTTGATTTTGGGATGAAGAAGTACTTTAGTTTACAATAACGAAAGGTAGCGAGGATTAACGTTTAACCGAATAGTAATTCAGACATTCCAAACTAAGATCAACTACAACAGCTTCTAGCCACGAGGCAGCATTTTAGTTAAATTGATCGGGTTGCTACCAATTTGGTCATTGAATTGATTTTATTTGTTTATTGGCCGATTGGATCCATTTATAAATCGATAAAATGCAAGCAGAAAAAAACAATTAACAGAGAAGCTAGTTTACGCGTCAGCATGACGGAGTTTTTTTTTTTGGCGGGATGGGGTGGAGTCTCAACTCTCAACGAGGGTTCGTTTTCCTGGCCAACCGGATGCAAACTGGACCCAGAAAACGAAATGAGAAGCGTATCTTTCTCCAAAGGGAACAGTGGGTCCCACTCTCTGGGTTTGGGATATTGGTTCGACCAGTCATCCTTGACCTTGACCGCCATCACTGGGCTGATTTCGATGGGGTTTCTATATATATTTTTAGAGTTTAATATTCTTGAAATTTAATTGGGGTTTGGAGCATTTCCAACAAAGGTAAAAATGTGATGGGAATTTTGGCTTCGATTTTGGAAGCTAAGCTACTAAATCTGTGCAAAACTCGGAAAAATGAAAAATTAATGGGTATGTTTGTATCGAGAGAAAGTTCGAACAAAAGAGAATGATCAAAGTTCAATAAATAATAAGAATAATTTAAATATAGTTTCAATCCTACAATAAGGTTAGGTCATTAAAAACGGTTGATTTCTCCTCTTTTTGTTCAATTTTGTGCCATATGCAAAATCTTATATCACTATGAATAAAATCTAGGAGAACTCCCGCATTTTCTATTACTACTGAACAATGTATATTTTGTGTCATATGTAAAATATGATATCACTACGTATAGAATCTAGGATACCTCCCGCATTTTTTTTATCACTATTGAACACTCCCGTTTAAAATTGAGATTTTATACATTTTCTTGATAAGTATAGACTGTTTAATGCAATTTTTAACTACTTCGCGAAAAATGAGGATAGACCGTGTTTGTACCAATAATACTAGGTCTACAACTACCAGTAAATAAACTAACTATAACTAGTGCTAATGTAAAAGGAAAAAAAATATCATATCTCTAACTATATCATATCTGTAATGAAAAGAATGCAATATCAACATTCATTATATCGAGATATCACTCTAACTTTACAATTGTGACTTCCACTTCTAATTTTTTTTTTTTTTGGTAGAATTCCACTTCTAATTCTAACACCGAGTTTTCCATTTAGCTTGATGGTTATAGAACTATGATATTTGTAATCGAATTCACTACTAATTGTGAACTGATATACTTAAAAACCCAACTTTCAAAATAAAAAATATGATATCTAAACTTTATTTATAGATAAGGTTTTTTGATAGAACTATGATATTTGTAATCGGATTCACATTTGTAATATTTTTGTTCTGCTTATCTGCGCACAAAGAAAAAGATGGAGGTTAAAAGGGCCCGCCTCTCCTCCATTGTTTCCTGGAAATTTCCGTTGCCTCTCCCTCTCTCTCTCTAGCTCACCAGAAAACGATTAGAAAAGTCTCAAACTTTGTGTTCCGACCGAGAAACCAACATTGTTTTTTGGCCAGGGTAGAAACCAAAGTCTCCCAATTTCGCTAATCCCCTCACTTTGGGTTTAATGATCATAATAATAATCCAACCAGACCATTCTTCCTCCTTGGAAACACCCACCATTTCCTCCACATCCCTTCTCTGCAACTGCAAAAGTTGCAAACTTCATTTCCCTCTTGAGTCTGGATTGGGCCAAATTGGGTTGCTCTCTCCGCTGCCTGCCGGTTTTCTGTGCTGGGTACTGAAACCATGAACTTCTGTTCGCACCCTCTAGAGTCGAGGTCTTATGTTTGAAGAAATCGGCAGAGCCCAACAGATGTAAGTCTAATCTAATCTGATTGCAGTTCTGTGGGGGGTTTTCGTTTTGTTAAAAATGGTGTTTTTTATGTTCTTCACTCTTGCAAAACTTCTACTTCACCCCTTTTGTTCTGCTCCAGTGGGAGTTTTTGAGATCCAATTGGTTGCTTTCCCCTCCTTATTTCTTGTTCTATTCCCTGCAAAAGGTTTGGAATTTGGATTGAAACTGCATCGTGCTGATGAGGAAAGGTCGCCTGTGTTCTTTTCCTCTTTGGGGGGGCTTTTTCAGGAATTATTGTATGGTGATTTGTCTATGAGGAAGACTGTTTGTTGAATCTAATTGGGGGGTTTCCATTTTGAAGAAAATTGCTGCTTTCGGTTATGAACTATTCACAAGACAAGTTTGTTAGGTAAAGTTTGATACTTTTCCTTTTTTTAGCAGTTTCTTAGGCTGTAGATGTTTTGTGGCATTTGATGGGTTATGATGATGGATGATGGATTGTTCAGGTTTCAAGATTGGAGATCAGAGAAAGTTCCGGAATCGGATTATTCGCCCCGGGATGGGTACCGTGGAAGAGTTAGCATGAAGATAAGCTCATTCTCTGATAAGTTCAGGAGAAGATTGGAGTCTGGTTCAGAGAGCATCAGTAGGATTAGACAGACCTTGAAGTCATACTCCTTTAACAATGGTAGTTCGTCCGACAGCTCTAGTTCTAGAAAGAAGGTCCTTGATCCACAGGGAGCTTTCCTACAGAAATGGAACAAGATATTTGTGCTGTCATGTTTCCTTGCTATCTCCCTGGACCCGTTGTTCTTCTATGTCCCGGTGATTGACAATGATAAGCACTGCCTTAAATTGGACAACAAGATGCAGATAACAGCGAGCGTGCTGCGTTCTTTCACAGATATATTCTACATACTTCACATTGTCTTCCAGTTTCATACTGGCTTCATTGCACCTTCCTCCCGGGTTTTTGGAAGAGGTGTTTTGGTTAAGGACAGTTGGGCCATCGCGAAGAGGTATATGCTTTCGTACTTCTTGATCGACGTTCTTGCCTTGCTGCCATTGCCACAGGTGAGTCGAAAGAGAAACTTCTATCGTAGTGAACCAGTTCCCTTTCTGCAATTCCTGAATGTGAACGTATGTTGCTGAAATTGTGATTGCTTCTTTCTTGTGTTACAGATGGTGATTCTAATAATCACTCCCAGGCTGCACGGATCGAGAACTCTTAATACTAAAAACTTGTTGAAATTTGTTGTAATCCTCCAGTATCTGCCTAGGATCATGCGAATTTATCCGTTGTACAAGGAAGTTACACGAACCTCTGGCATACTCACTGAAACTGCATGGGCTGGAGCTGCATTTAACCTCTTCCTTTACATGCTTGCTAGTCATGTAAGCTCCAGTGACCAATTTCCAAATTTGCAACTTTACTTTGGTTCCATCCAGTCTTTCTTGGTCTAACCTACAGTGTTTATTCTTCAGGTGCTTGGAGCATTTTGGTACTTGTTCTCCGTGGAAAGACTAACAGTCTGCTGGAAGAAAGCTTGTGATGCTAACTTGTGTGACCGGGTCACGCTGTACTGTGATGGTCCTCGTGGCAATCTGACATTCTTGAACACTTCTTGTCCCGTCAATCCTGAGAATGCAGATGTGTTCAATTTCGGAATATTCCTCGATGCCCTCCAGTCTGGTGTTGTGGCATCTCACGATTTCCCCAAGAAGTTATTCTACTGTTTTTGGTGGGGGCTTCGCAATCTCAGGTAAGCAAATTATCAGTCATTGATCATAGTTCAGTTCACCCAATAGCCTGCTTCACGTGGCATGTGTTTTTTCAATTGGCAGTTCTCTTGGTCAGAACCTTGCGACGAGCACATTTGTCTGGGAAATTTGTTTCTCGGTTGCGATTTCGATCTTTGGATTGGTGCTGTTTTCTTTCCTCATTGGGAATATGCAGGTTGGTAACAGAACTCGGTTCATTTCTTTTCAAAATGCCTGTAGTTCTTTTATTGTTTCTTATGAACTAGAATCGCCATTGCCATGTGTTTGAAACAGACTTACTTGCAATCTACGACAACTAGATTGGAGGAAATGAGAGTGAAGAGGCGAGACGCAGAGCAATGGATGTCCCATCGTATGCTCCCGGACAATTTACGTGAGCGAATCAGGCGCCACGAGCAGTACAAGTGGCAAGAAACCAGAGGAGTCGACGAAGAAAACCTCGTACACACTCTTCCAAAGGACATTAGAAGGGACATTAAGCGCCATCTCTGCTTGGCACTCCTAATGAGAGTGAGTTCTTACCTTCGTAAATTCAAGAAGGACAGCGTCTTCGTATTCTGATCATCATTTCCCTTTATGTCGAATTTGTATAGGTGCCAATGTTCGAGAAGATGGACGATCAGCTTCTCGATGCATTGTGCGACCGCCTCAAGCCAGCGCTCTACACGGAGGAGAGCTACATTGTCCGCGAGGGAGATCCTGTTGACGAGATGCTGTTCATCATGAGGGGTAAACTCCTCACCATGACAACAAACGGCGGAAGGACGGGCTTCTTCAACTCGGAGTACCTCAAAGCTGGCGATTTCTGCGGTGAGGAGCTCCTCACGTGGGCCCTCGACCCACACACCTCGTCGAACCTACCCATCTCCACTAGAACCGTTCGTACCATCACGGAGGTCGAAGCTTTCGCACTGACCGCTGAAGACTTGAAGTTCGTGGCCTCACAGTTCCGTCGCCTGCACAGCAAGCAGCTTCGCCACACGTTCAGGTTCTACTCGCAGCAGTGGCGGACGTGGGCCGCCTGCTTCATCCAAGCTGCCTGGCGAAGGTACAGCAAGAAGAAGCTCGAGGAGGCGCTGAGGCAGGAAGAGGACAGGTTGCAGGACGCGCTGGCCAAGGCGGGTGGGAACTCTCCTAGCCTCGGCGCTACCATCTACGCGTCGAGATTCGCCGCCAATGCCCTGAGGCTGCTGAGACGAAACTCGACTCGTAAGGCGAGGATCACTGAGAGGCTCCCTCCCATGATGCTGCAGAAGCCGGCGGAGCCTGATTTTACTGCTGATGAACGGTAGCTTGGGGAAGGGGGAAGTAATCTGTTGAGAATCTTTTTTTTTTGGGTTTTGGAGTAGCGTTCAGTCAATCAACATTCAACAACAGAAAGTACGAGGGATGATTGTTTCTTATAAGTTAATGTTGAGTTGATTGTTTCCTGTAACCTGTACAATATTAATGTATATAAGAAATTTTCAAATGGGGTTTGTTTCTTTCTTCCTGAAGTACTCGATTAAGCCTTTCAAGCTTCAACTTTCTTAAACAACGAGTCGGCCGCCATTGTAGAGTACAGAGTGCTGTTACTACTTCTTGCAAACCCATTTTCTTGTATTATCCATATAGTTTTCGCTTCCCGGCCCTAACAGAGTCAAGCCAATATGATTATGGCCCGATATTCATGGGCTGAGCTTTCGCGACTCGTTGAACACAACTGAACAGAGAGCAACAATTTCACAGAAGTTTTGATTGCGTGTAAAACAGCCAATGAAAACATGATCAAAAACCAAATACACAATGCTGAAAATAGAGCTAAGACAATCCAGGATATTACAATCAATCATCAGTGATAAATAGGCGTATGCGTCGGTAAGAATAGAGTTATTATTACAGTCGTCAAATACCAATAATGAGGTGAAACTGGCGCAAGCAACGCGATAAGACACGATGCAACAACGAGTGTGGCATCACATCAGCTCCCCTCGGACTAGGAAAGGAACTGTGGCGCCTCGAAGCAGGCTCACCTCCCTTTTCAAGAAGTTGGGCAGTGCAAAGGCAGCTCTGTGCATCTGTTTTCCCAAACAAAACTTTAATCTTAGCACTTCCAAATGTTTGTGTGTATGCTTCGGTGGTAACATACAACACAGTAGAAAACATGATCAAACACCGGCAGGTAGCTTACCTCGGAGTTATAGAACCTAAGTTCCCTCTTGTGATTCCCTGCTCCGTCCACCTCCTCAATCGGGTTAACAGGGTTCAAAAAATCGACACCAGGACCCTCCGTGGAGCACAACACGAATCCAATCACCCCACTGCAATTTCCAGATTTGAGAGGAGCAGCAGCAGCCATAAGAACTAAAGCATTTTCCTAGTCGAAGACTGGGCAAAGAAAAACAGAATTTTGAGTGCTGGTATTTACCTAGGGTATGTTGGCACGCTGGCCCAGGCATAGTGCACTGAGCCCTTGAAAGTCTCACGACAGATGGAGATCATGTCCTCGATCAGATGTGTGTGAAGCCACATGCTCTCGGCCATGTTGCAGAGGACTCCACCGGGCCTCAGTGCTCTTGCTATGGTCTCGAAGAATGGCTTCTCGACGAGCTCTAGAGCAGGGCCTGACATGGGAAGTAGAACGGTTGAGTGAAATCAGGCAATCAATCATCAAACAGAAACTACAGGGAATAATATTCTAGCACCTAATGTCTGGTAAATGTACATTTTTTTCTTTTTATATTTTTTTTTGGTCGGTAAATGTACATTTATTGTCTGTTAAGGACTTGGTATTAGCAGAATGGCAGACTTCAAATACTATAGAGCATACATACCTACAGGGTCCGAAGAATCAACAATGATTGCATCATACTTCCCTGCAGGAGTACGTTGGAGGAATTCAACAGCTGTTTGGATCAAAGAAGTCATTATCAGTCGATACCGAGAATTGTGCATTGAATGCACCAGAGACAATGTCTAGCAAGATGGGGGTTAAAAGTGAGAGCATACCATCACCAACGTGGAGATGAACACGCGAGTCCTCAAATCCAATGGATAATTCAGGAAAGAACTTCTTACTTACCTAGAATATTAGCAACACTGCATTGTGAGAAAAAAATGACTGCAGGCGAGTCTAAAATCACATAAACAATAAGTGGCACTTACATCTATGACCATCTTATCTATTTCACATATGTCTATGGTTTCCACTGAAGTGTGACGAGAGATCTCCCTGAGGACACCTCCATCGCCACCGCCAACTACAAGGACCTGTAATGATACTCCGCTTTATCAGGACAAACAATCTGGAAAATAAAAGTGAAAGTGTGAAGCTCCAAATCCAAAACTCACAGCTTTCGGGGATGGAATTGAGCAGAGTGGGAGATGAGCTATCATTTCCTGGTATGCACATTCGTCTTTCTCGGTCAACTGAACGATGCCATCAAGAACAAGAACTTTTCCATACGATGATGACTGTCATACGATAGGGGTTGGGATAGTGAGAAACTCTCATTAAGAGACATTAGTGGCACAACCAAAAGCATATGCAGAGAAGTGAAGGATGGCAACCTGAAAGACCAAAACCTCCTGGTAGTCTGACTTTCCCTCATACAAAATTTCCTCCACTTCCAGTGAGTGTGCTTCTCCTGCATACATTGAGAAACTGATCAATCAACTAAAGAGGATGGGAAACGAAACCAATCGGCAACTAGAGGATGCTGTAAACGGCGAGACAACTAACAGCAACAAATAAACCGGTTGCTTCCTAAGGTATGTACAATGACCAAATTCCTTGAATACTTTACAGGAGAATAGGACTAATGCCATTGTCTGAAGGTTTTCTGCCGATATGGAGATTGGAGACATTTATACATCATCTCCAAGTTACAGTTAGGGCTGCGAAATGATTAAAAGGCAAGACTCAGGAGGGCTTTATACTGAATTTTGCACGTGTACATCATGCCATATGCTTAAATCAACCTTCAATATTAGGGATCATCACAACTTAACACGATACACGAAATCATCTGGAACTTGAAAACCAATTCATGCCAATAAATCAAGTTATTCTGAGAGGGGATCAAAAGTGAATCTTAAACCTTTCACTGAAAAATCAGTTCAAGGTCCTAACCAAAAAAATCACTTACCAGGCCACATAGGGTTGTTAAAGTAAACAACCTTTCTCCCAGCTTTGCCTGTGAACAAAAATGACAACGAAAGGAAAGTTATCAGTAACCATTTCTCACCACAGATCAGCCAGCTGATCAGAAGGTGGAAGAAGAGGAGGAAATCAAAGGATATCGACCAGAGCAGGATTGAGATTCCGAGAACCACCCAGAAACAACAGTAGAGTGGCATTTCGCATCAAGCTCAGCAGCTGATGAAGAAGCCCTGGCCTTTAGACAACAAGCAGGGATAGTAGTGATGGGTTTCACTGAACCATTATGGCCATTACTCTCCTTCCCATCCATAATCTTCTGGCATCCCAAATCTCTTCCTGCGTCTCCCTCCATAGATTATCTTCTTCTTATCCGGCTCCAGCCTCTGCATAAACAACCCATCAATCGATTCACATTTGGGATTCACCCAAAATCACCAAAATCTCGAAACTTGCGGGAAAATGAGTCCAACTCTCGTAGCTCCACAGCAAATAGTTGGTTCCAAATCAATCAAACCATTAACGTCACATTCAATCAGAAGCCAAAAACACAAAAACCCATTTCTCTGCAATGATCATACAAACATCATATGCTAATCACACAGCTCTGCATGCCAAAAGTTCAGCTCAATAGAGTACATCAATCAACGTGGCCATCATCACCATTTTGAATGATTTCCACTCCAAACAAAATAACCCAGAACAACAGAACGGAACTTTCAAGTGAGAAAACCTGTGAACAGAATTAAAAAAACAAAGGGAGGAAATCCCAGTTTACCTAACTGGGTAATTTACCGGAAAAATGGCGCGACGAACAAATAAAAAAGTTCCCCAATAAAAAAAACCCCTCGCTCTCGCCGGTTTCAGCCAGAGATTGTTGGTTGAGAAAAAAAAGAGAGAAGCCAGTAGAACAAAAACCGCTGAGGGGGAGAGGAGAGGAAAACGGAAACCAATACGCAGCCAAGTTTCAAACAAATGATTAAATAATCCGACGGATTCTGCGGCGAAAATTACAGTTAAGTGCACGCAAGAGGCCAAAATATAACATGAAAAAAATATAATGTAGCGAGCAGGAAACAGGGGAGAGATTAAGAAGAGAAAGAAAAAGAAGGGTTCTAGCGAGGCTTGCCCGGCGGGAAATGTGTGAAGGGGAGAAGATTGGCGATATGCTGCCGGCCGGAAAACGTCCTACGGCGGTGTAAATGTTGTCGGCGGCGGAAAGATGGAGAGGAGCGGTTTCTTTCTTGGCTGGGGTTTTTGGGATTTCTCTTCTCCTCTTTATACTTTCTCCATTCCTTATAAAGAGTTTGCCTTCCTTTATCGTAAATTCCCTTTTTATAGTGCGCTGATAAGCTAAGTTCATGTTTGGGAAATTAATTGTTTAGTGTAGTGATGACTGATGAAGCTTGAACCAAAAGGGAAGTGATTAATTTAATTGAACCCGATTTAAAATTTAATTAAGGTGTATGCTTCTTCTTTTTTTTTAGTTCTTACAAATTTTAAGAGGCAAAAGAAAAATTATGACATAAGAAAGTGACAATAGATAAATTAGGTAATTTTATTTAAATTCCTTAAAATATGATGTTATCTCAACGACATAAATCTACCTTTTTTTTTACTCCACATGTTAGGTGCTCTTGAGTCTTGAGTCATTTAATTTGGTTGCACAACATAGAATTGGTATTGCATGTACCGCTTTCTTCTTTAGTTAATTGCACCGTCTACGTGCTACTATGCTATGTTAGTCTCGACATGGTTCGTGAAATACTTTAGCCCGTGAAGATGTTCGACTATGGACCAATAGTTTAATTTTGGTCTAATTTTCCGAATTAAATAAAAACAAGTGGCTGAAATGAAGGGCTAAACGTCCAAAGTAATTTTTCTCACGTATAGCATTCCTTCCAAACTCAACCTACCTCTTTTATGTTACTCCTAGTTTAGTATTGGGGTTTGGAGCATCATATGTGATAAAATTTTTAAAAAAATTCAGGGACTAAAGCTAACTTTATTCGCCAATTTCATTTTCCATAACTTGGCTAGTTTCAATTTCATTTGATGCTATACATACACGTGTCCGCAGTTTATCCCACATGTGGTATAGGTATACTTTCCTTTATTTTTGTGGAATACTTCCTTTAATATTGGTGTATTCTTCTTCTCACACAAAGGTGCAAATCTGATTGGATTTCAAGGAATCTCTTTTTCTTCAGAAAAAAGTTATTTACATACCTTGCGAACTTAAATCTCTTGTTCATCTAATATTTCGTTCAGAAAAAATAAAGGGATAACATCACTTTACCTTCTTCAAGTATTGTAAATTTTCCATCCAAAAAAGATATTGTAAATTAACAAACGTGTTTTCTATGTTTAGTAAAATAACATTGTCCTCTTCATCTCGCGCGGCTGTAACTTTATTCAAATGCAGGAATTGGGAATCTTAGCGTGCACCACGAACATCATATAGTTCCCTGGAGGTGCGATCTCAGCTGTCGACGGTCCAACAATCGTCCCAGTATATACACATCCAACGCCTTCTGTATCACATCAACAATTCTCAACACGACTATCCTCTGATTCATGGCAAAGGAGTGGGTCGTGAAGGACGGTGCCACGATCCCAACCGACACTGTGCTCTAAGTCAAGTATCGAATCACACAGAATCTCACAGCTACTTAAATTAGGTATATGTATCTCTCTAATCTCATTTCTCAACTACTATGAAAATAATGGAGAATCTCGTTAGAAGTTTCAAAGTTTGTACCTAGAAAATTCACCTGAACATATAGCTAGTTACCCTTTTGTTGTGGATAGGCAAAACTGGACAGGAAATTTTCAGTTGACTATATATAATAATTGGATGGACTTTTATTTGGTGGGTGGTAAGTCTTCCATTTAGGTTATTTTTCAATAAATATGACTCTTCTATTTAGGTTATCATTCAAATTATGGTAAAACTCTTTATCAATGCCGTTAAAATTACATTTCTGTATAATAGCGTTGTGCTGACCTAGAAACATAATAACACAAGTTTTTAAAATTTAAAGCGTAGATTTTGACTACACTTATAAGGGGGAAACTCGATTCTATATAAAAGCGTTTTGGCGATCTAAAAATATAAAAGCATAAACTTTTAAGTTTTTAAACAAGATTTAGATTACTTAAGATATACTCATTTTTCGACCACGTGAATCTTTTGTGTTTGGTTGTTTTCTCGTTAAAAATAGCGATCTTTTGAAAGGGGAAAAAAAATCATCCCACACAGTTCGTTGTCTATCCACGTGATTATGCTTCTTCTTTTTTTTTTTTTTTTTTTTTTTGCCATCCGTGATTATGTTTCGTATGAGGTGGTGTAACAACTAACAACTACATCCAACATGACTATTCATTCAATTAACAATATCTTCATATATATGTAGTCCATTCATATTTTGTCAAGTCGCAATCTAATGACTATCAAAGAGAACACAATTACACAAAGATTCAATAAGTAGGCCAGCCAAATTCAAAAAAGTAGACAAGCATCATGGTGGGAGGAATTGGAAAATCGATAGGGGATATCAAGCAATAGCTTAGGTTTGGTGGTTGACTGTTGATTAAATGAACGATGCTGAGTCCAAATTAGCAATATTCTAGGGTATGTCTAGGTTCTTCTAATTCTATTCTATTATTGTATTATACGAGAACAGTAGAAAATTCGAATAATATTATGCAAGGTTGAAGAAGGCGTTAGTTAAATGTTGGGGACCTGCCTAGTATCTACTAATTTAAGCGGTATATATAGGTGTTTTCTCAAAAAATAGCGGGTTTTTAGTAGAAATAGCAATTTTGTAGCGTGTTTCTACTTAAGTAATTTAGCTAGTCCCCAATAATAACCAAAATATGTCATGATTTTTTAGAATCATAACTTTATAGAAATTGTGGGTTTGTGTCTGAGATGAGATGCAGTTGATCATGGATTCATGGTGAAGAGAAGGCAAAACGTCGGGTCGACTAGAAATGGACAATAACTAAAGAAATTTTTGGGTCAACAAGTACACTTGCCTCACTTGGATTATTCTTGCCTAACTTTGTCTAGGCGCGCCGCCTCAATATTTGTCTAGAGTCTAGACGAGACTTTTTGTTATGCCTTCTTGAATGTTGGTATTATAAGGTAGCCGAGAACAAATACGTAATGATTTGATCGTTGAATTTACTATTTTGGAGCTTGCTATGCCAAATAAATATAAATATGAATAATATATTTATTATCCCGAAAGAACAAATACCTGATTTCCGCTACCATTGTATCATGACTCATGAGATTCTTCCAAAGTCCAAACAATTCATTTCTCTTAAAACATCCACCTGCGAAGCGAAACTACCTCACCTCCCACAAATTAAATATATCTCATTTCTTTTCTTAAAGGGTTTGTTAGATGAAATCGTGATTGGGAAGCGGGGAAAAACGGAAGCCAGAGATTAGGTGGCCAATTAATTAGAGCTTAATCATGATCATCATTAATCATACAATCATACCCGTGGCTGACCCGCTAATCAAAACCTATGCCAACACTCTAAACACTTGTGAAATGGTCAGTCTAATCAACTAATCATCAATACCGTAAGCCGCCTAATTGCCCGAGATTGACCGCCAACTGCCGATGATGTTGGAGATTCAACGGGCCGGGTCTATATAGTCCGGTTACTTGGTTGGTCCAACCACCAACCCAAATTCATCCAATCATTCTAGAAAGTAGAAAATGACCTATTACGAGCTTATTACCTCTAAAGATTTCGTCTTTTCATCAGAATGAAACTAGTCACCTCTTCACGTTCATATGGTTAATGATTTCAGTTCAAATAAATCCTAAAAATTATGAAGTTCTTGAAAGTGGAGAAGAGGAAGAGAGGAGAATTGAATGACTAGTCATGGAGTATACACGAATCATAAAAAAAAAACTCTCAAAAGGTGACAAGAAAGAAAGAGAAGAAGAGGAAGAGTGGTTAATTAGATGGCGTGAGTCGTGAACAGTAGTACGCATGAAATATACCTCGCTTAACGTTAACATTCCAGACTACTCATTTGATTGACAGGTTAAGAAACATGCAATATTTTTCGTCGAGAAAGAACCAACCTCTTGTAAAGAACCAGTTGGTCCCAATAACTCGAGTTGTTGGGAGAAGGTTATACTGGATCTTATACCACTCTCTAACACGCCCCCTCAAACGAAAGCCAACCCATGAGCTTTAAGTTTGCAGAGGCCCACAATACCATGTACTTTAATCAACTGTTAATATTGGGGGGGCGTGGAGACTCGAACACACGACCACTTGACAAAACCAGCTCTGATATCATGTCATAAACCAGTTGGTCCCAATAACTCTGAGTTATTGGGATTTGGGACCAATTTGTTCTCTTGACATGGTATTAGAGTTTGTTTGTCCGTGAGGTCACGTGTTCAAGTCCTCATGACCCCCAATATTAATCATTGTCTTTCAAGCACGTGGTATGACGGACCTGTGCAAACTTCAAGCCCATGAGTTGGCTTTCGTTTGAGGGCCGGGAGTGTAAGAAAGTGGTTAGGTACCATACATGAATCTGTATAAAATCCAATATAACCTTCTCCCAACAACTCGAATTATTGGGACCAACTGGTTTAAGACACCTATAACACAGATCAATCATCCAAATCCCGAAAGTTGAGAAGAGAAAATATGATGGGACTGGGCAGTGGGTGGGAGCCATACACCTACACATGAAACATGCCTCACTCCTTTTATGGTCACCGACGACAATTTGATGTTGATATCCAGAAAATACGATAACGAATGGAGGAAAGCAAAAGGTGGCCAAAGGAATTTCGAAAGGCGACGATGTTTTGATCTGACAAGATAAATGCTCCAATCCGAAAATGTGTTAAAGGTGAGACTTGAGAGGTACATTGTCGAATGTCGAGAAAAAAGGAATCCAGCATCGACGTGTTTTGGTTGGGCCTTGGGGCCCCAATTTGTTGTATCTTTAGTCGGGCCGGACCAGAAAACTAAAAAGCCCACGACTTCGACTTGTTGGAACTAGTATGCCGTTCCGTTTGTCAGCGAGTCCATGTGTCCAAATGGTATGTTCATCACAAAGACGAATGGGCCTAGGCCACGGGTAAGTCCTCGTCCAGTCGTCCGCCATTTCTATAGTAAATACTCCGTCTAATACATGTATATGTACCCGTATGTATTTTATTCGTTTAAACTTTTGTATTTGTATTATTGTCAAGCTGTTTCATTTGTTTCCGTTCATTTGACAACTCCCATACTAAACACGTATAAAACTCGTATAACACGTTTAATATCCGTATTTAATAAATTAAATTATTAACTTTACTATTATTTATATATTTATTTTTAAAAATAATTAATTTTATATATTTATGACAATTAACGTATTATTAAACGTAAAATTAGCTTAGAGATTAAGTAAAATACCCGTACGTATTTTATATGTAACTTTCCCGTACCATATTTTACTAACTATGTCTATAGTTAAGATTATTATTGGATGTTATATTTTTTTAGGCAAAATACACTTGCAAAGATATAACTTTCACCGTTTGTGATAAATTAGCCCTAATTATCCATAAACACAAAATAGCTAATTCCGACCATTTTGTTAATGGCGTTAGTTGACGATATGAATGGACTAACGGAATACACTGAGTTGGCAATCGATTTACACGACCGGTGGATTAACACACAAAAATGCGTAAATGCCACATTTAGTCACTTAAATTACTAAATCATGCATGTTTATTCAATAAAAAAAATTCATATTAATTTTGATCACTTGAATTACTGAAACATGTCAAATTTAATCATTTTCAACTTCCAAACCACAGCGAACTCACTTTAAGTCTGATTTCGTCACCCAATTTATCAAAATCGATTCGAAGAATTTGCCGAGAATTACTAACTTGTTTTGTTGGTAACTTAACCAGGATAAGCTCTTAGTTTTTTAATGTGAAGGAAGAACACTACACAACACGCTTGAGCGGGATACTAGGGATTTTGCCCTTCATCTTCGTTGTTTCTGTTGATAAACAATCCTTGATTGAATTGAATGCTATTCCGCTCGCGACACTTCACCAATGACTCAATCCTTTCCCCTTTCCTCTCTGCCTCACTCTCCGCCACATCGTTCTCCTCCGCCGCCGGCGGCTCTTCCAATCCGTTTGTTTTCCCACCGCTATGGCGACCAGCAGGAAACGAAGTCGTCGGAGGATCCGATCAGAGCCAAACCCTCCTCCTCCTCCTTTTTCCATGATCAGCAAAATCGGAGATGATATCCTATTAGAGATTCTCATTCGCCTCCCGAACCCTAGATCCGCCTGTCGCTGCAAAACCGTCTGCAAGCGTTGGAGGTCCGTGATCTCCGATCACCGCTTCAATCGCAGTTTTGTTTCTCACCCCCAGACCCTGAACAAACAGCAGACTCTGCCCCTTCACACGGACGACGCCACCGACCCGAAATCAGTCGTCATGAGCTTTCTCCCGCCCATGCCTGATAGAGTTCGAGAGTGTTTCAAAGTCTTGGATTGCTTCAAGGACATGCTTTTATGTGGTTTTGCGGATGTTAGTCGGAGAAATTATGAAATCGGGAGATCGTACGTGGTCTGCAATCCGTTTACCAAGCAATGGATGGCTCTTCCTTTAGCTCCTGAGAAGCCAAAGGATTATGCAGCCACGGTCACAAGGTTAGTCTGTGAACCCCGTAGTAGTAAAGGTCACTTTAAGCTTGATCTAGGAGATGATGAACAAGTATTTGCTTATTCGGAGTATCGGTTCCGTGTGGTGTGCATATATCAACATGAGACCTCTATCAAACTGGACGTGTTTTGTCCGGAGTCTGGAAAATGGATGAAGGAGGCTGTTGTTTATGATGGTTATCGCAGACTCCGCCACAAAAATGTATGTTCGTGCAATGGGAAGCTGTTTTGGTTGTGTGTTGAAGACGGAGAGGGATATAATGCTGCAGAGTTGAAAGTGTTCCAGGAGTTGAATCGCTTCCCTGAGGTGAATCCTTTCCTGGCTGTGTTTGATCCCTTCCGCCTTGATATACACACAACTAGTATTCATGTTTACGAATACTCCAAGGATCTGAAGTTGGATATTTCGTCCTCGCAAGGTGCTCTGCACATAATTGAGTTTGAAAGAAAACCTAGAAATGCTCGTTTAAGAGTTTGGAGATTGGAAGACGATCATGAGTCTTGGAGCGAACTCCGTGGAGGGTTGTTGGAGAGGCCATCATCAAGGTGTCACTATGAAATTGAGCACTGCAAAATTCTTGATATGCATCCAGAGAAGCCCGAAGTTGTCTTCTTCCAGTATACACCTCCTTCTGTAAATAAGGATGATGCTATATTGTGCTGTGACCTAAGGAAGGGAGAGCTAGAGTTTGTCACTGATCTAAGGCAACTTAATCCTCGTTGGACATTCTTCCAGCCCAGGATCTCTTGCTGGCCTTCTCCAATTCCAAGATACGAGCAATTGCGTGGTATGTATGATGGAAGCTGCAGCTGGTTCAGAGCAGCAAACGAAGTGTCGGAAAAAACTGGTACATGTACTTGTTGCCTTTCTCCATTAGTATTCTTTTTTGTTTGTGAAATAGCCTCTCGAGCCAAGCCCAAATCACTTTGCTTTACCAGTGAAACGTGGTATTTACTTGGAACTTCACTGTTTAGTATTTCTTACCCTTGTGTAAGAACTGGGATTCCAGACCTTCTCTCGGTTATGACTTCACTCACTATTAACCCCATTATATGAACCGATCTTTGGAGCAAAGATTTAGGTAGCTGCTGTAAACAATGTCTTGAGTTGGTTTCAACTTAAAATGGTGATTGCCATAGCCACAACTCAGAACCATTCTCCTCTCTTGTGCACGGATCTTCGCTATGGGATCGTTTGTGATTGTGATGTCTTTCTTGATCGCTTGAAGGGCAAATCTTTTGCACTTTGTTTTCATATAGACATGTAATTTGACAGTAAGCAGATCAAGTTTTTTAATCTTTAGTCTGCTATCAAGTTCTTTGAAGCATGTATATACTGATATCTTAATTTGGCCACATCTTTTTCTGTTCTTTTTGCAGAAGTAACTCCTATTTGCATTCTTCAAACTGCAATTAGTATTCTGGGTTTCGATCAGTTGAACAAAGCTTCGATGTCCCTCAATGCGCAGAAGAGTAGATCACATTTTGGAGAGTTTAACAAGCTCACTGAAGAGATGAAGAGTTTAAGAAAATCGCTGAAGAGTTGATCGGGTTGAATAAATAAATATTTCCTCGCCGTGGATGCTTGCTCTTTCATTGACATGTTGTTTGCTAGGGTTTCATTATCGTCTTGGTTTCATATTGGGCTTAGTCCGTTGCAGGGGATATGACAAGCCGAAGCACATCCTCCGTAAGCCCAACCCAAGGGTCCAATATTTTTAAGGCCCATAACATTCACGTTAGCCGAAGCACATCCTCCGTTAGGAAATTGTAAATGTTGTTTTTTTTTTTTTTATAGATAGACGGTATAATTTACAAACTATTGTAAGGTGTACGTGTTTCGCCATCAGCTCCTGCAGTCTCTCATTTGCTGTTTGCCGATGATTCTTTTCTCTTTCTTCGTGCTTCTCGTCGTGAATGTCAGCTTCTTATGACTCTTCTTCGTGAGTACGAAGGAATCAGTGGTCAACGGTTGAATTTAGCAAAATCTGCTGCTTTTTTCAGTCCTAATTTGGATTCCTCTGTTCAGAGTGAGCTAGGCACGTTGCTTGGGGTTGGTTTTATTGGCCTCCTTGATCGGTATCTGGGTCTTCCTTCACTTGTTTAGCGGTCGAAAAAGGAAACTTTTAGGTTCGTGGAGGAGAAGCTCATGTCTGTTTTGCAGGGTTGGAAAATCAGGACTCTATCTATTGCTGCGAGGGAAGTGTTACTTAAATCTGTGGCTGCCGCTCTTCCTATATATACTATGTCTTGCTTTTGGTTACCTGCAGATCTCATCCGTCGCATGAATGCACATATGGCTCGTTTATGGTGGGGAGCGGTTCAAGGTCAGCGTCGAGTTCATTGGATAGCATGGAAATCTCTTTGTGGCAGTAAACATGAAGGCGGATTGGGATTCCGTGATTTTGGGTGCTTCAATCAGGCGTTATTGGCTAAAGTTGCATGGCGTATCCTCACTGAGCCATCCTCTCTTTTGGCTCGTATTCTTAAAGGGCGGTATTTTGTTGGTTATCATAATTTGCTGGATGCCTCGTGTGGCTCAAATCCATCGTGGGGCTGGCGAAGTATCCTCCATGGTCGAGATTTACTATCTCGTGGGTTGCGTTGGCAGGTAGGTAATGGTTTTTCCATACGGGTGTTTGAAGATGCTTGGTTACCCACGTCTCCGCCATCGATTCCTTCTCGTAGACCTGGTGCCCCTGCTTCTTCCCCGTTTGTTTCGGCGTTGATTGACCCAGGGTCTTGCACTTGGAATATGGCAGCCTTGCGTCTGTTTTTCAATCCTGATACTGTCAACCTCATCTCTTCAATTCCTCTTCCGCAAATCCAAATCCCGGATAAGTTGATTTGGCATTTTGAGCCATCAGGTATTTTCCAGGTTCGGTCAGCTTATCATCTTGCTTTTCAATGCTATCGTTCTGGAGTTGGTAGGCCTCGTGTAAATCAAATGGATCATGATATGTGGCTTTGGTTGTGGAATTTGAAATTGCCACCAAAGCTTAAATTTTTTGTTTGGCAATGTCTTAATCGGATACTGCCAACTAGGGAGGCCTTATCTCTCCGGGGTCTTGATTTAATCCCGATTTGTCCGGTTTGTGGTCGGAAGGTGGAGTCGTTAGAACATCTGTTTTTTAATTGTTCTGTTGCCCGAAAATTGTGGAGCTTGGTTGGTTTTCGTTCTCAGCTTGCAGGATGGGATAAGCGTTCTTTTGCAGGTATGGTTCGGGAGGTGCTTTTTCATAAGAACGGGAGGGTGGATAATTCGTATTTTATCCTGCAAGTTATAGCCATGTTTTGGCGTATTTGGAAGAACAGGTGTATGGTTGTTTTTGATCAGCAACAGGTCTGCTTGGAGTCAAGGGCGGCGGAGTGGCGTCATCAGGTGAATGAAATTGAGTCTTCTTTCTTGTCCGCATCTCTTTCCCCGGCCATCCCGCTTCGATCTTCTGTTCCTACAGGATCAGCATTTCCGCATGATGGTCATCAATTCCATGCTTCTTTCGACGGCGCCACTGGGAGGGGGGATGCTGGTGCGGCAGCGTATGTGATTGGGGACGGTTCGTCTGCTGCAGGGATGATGTTTCCAATTGCAGCTGCGGCAACCATTTATGCAGGGATCAACGATGCTCATGTTTTGGAGACCCTGGCTCTTCGGGATTGTCTCAAGGAATGCAGCACAAGACAGCTCACATCGCTTCTTATTACGGGCGACGCGAAGGTTATCCTGGATAAATGTTTGGCAGGGGATTTCAATGATTCTAAAGTTGGCGCAATTTTGCGTGAGATCCAAGCCTTGTTGGCTGGTTTTGGGGGGGTATTGTGATCTACGTTTCGTAGGTCGTCATAGGAACAGGGAGGCTCATTTAGTGGCCAAAAAGTCCCTGAGTTTGTCGCCTCGGGTCCTGTCGAGGTTCGACTATGTGTCTTGGTTACGTAGTTTGTAATTGACGGTGTGTGGATCTTATCTCCATCTCGTTTGAGATCGGTTGAATGGCAAAAAAAAAAAATGGAGAACTATCATTATAAAAAAAAAATCATAGAGAACTATGGCAATATGTATAAATCATTGTTATATTATAAATTAGGTTGAATGGATTAATTGGGTTAAACAGGATTGGAGTAGAACCAACCAAATTGGCTTTACTCCAGTCGTATTTCCTTCGATTTTTGCTTCTCCGCAAACCACTTCGAGAAAAGTTAATTAGCTTCTGCTCGAATCCAATCGATCAGATAACAAAATAACCAACCAATCTTCCCGCGGCCTGACTCCCCTCCCTCGCCCTCGACCCGGATCCGAACCCGGATCCATCTCGGTCCGACACCGTCAGGGCCACGTGTGAAACGGGTACCGTATTGGCCCGACAGACGGGGCAGTTCGGGTGCGAGAGAAGCCACCTGTCGATGCACACCACGTGGAACACGTGCGAGCAAACGGGCAGCGCCCGGACCGGTTCGCCCTCGCTGAAATCCGACAAGCAAACCGAACACGTGGTACTCGCCTCCAGGCTCCGCTCTTCCTTGCTGTACTTCACCACCGGAATCAACGCCGCCGACGAGTTACTGCTGCCGCTGCTGCTGCTGGTGCTCCGGCCTTCGACGTTCTCCTCCTCCCGCGCCGCCGCCGCGGCGGTCTCGGTGGAATCGCGCGAGTGGATTTGGTAGCAGCCGACGACAATGCAGTGGTAGGTGGCGACGACGATTGCTCCGGCGAGCATCCCGAGGATTCCGATCACGAACGGGCCGACTTCCGGCTGGTGGTGGTCTCCTCCGGCCATCGTACTTGGGGGGGGGAGAGGTGAAGTGAAACTGAGCGACTTATAGAGAAATTGGGGTTGACTTATGGAGATGTTGGAATAGAGAAATGTAATTTCCGCCGGCGGTGGAGTTTCCGGCGTCAATTTATAGCGAGCAGTTTTACTAATTGTTGGTTTCTCGTTTGACTTTCCCTTTGTGAATTGTGAGTGTGGGGGAAGTGGATTATTTATGTGTGTTTGTTGGGAATGTGAAGACGAGAAAGAAGTCAACGTAAGAAACAAATTAGACATCCAAATTGGTGCGAGGGTAATTACTTATTACTAACTAGCTTAGGACCCGCGCGTTGCGCGGGCTTCTGTTCGAGCATTTGTATTTTTTGTGATGAATGTAAATCATGATTACTATGAGGTTCATCTTTGGTTTTGAAGTTTATCATAAACTCCCTAGAGAGGTTTAACACATGGTGAAGTTGCGCGGGCTTCTGTTCGAGCATTTGTATTTTTTGTGATGAATGTACATCATGATTACTATGAGGTTCATCTTTGGTTTTGAAGTTTATCATAAACTCCCTAGAGAGGTTTAACACATGGTGAAATAGTGAAATATTTCATGAATGAATTCATTTGTGATCTCTATATTAAATATATAAGTCCCCTCATCATGTGTATATATATAAGTCCCATATTAATATTATCTTAGAAAATACACAACGCGAATTAAATTCATTTTTATATATTTGACAACTTGAGGATTCAATCAATTCATATTCATAACCTAAAGTTGGAACAACTTCATGTTAGTTCTGTCCTCCTCAGAGTTTTACAAATAGTAAAGACATGCACATCAATGTAAAATATAAAACATATTTAATTTAATATATTTAGTAGATCGGCAAGGTTTGCATAAAAGGGGTGCTTCCAATAGTTTCCTTTTCCTTTTTCTATGTAGTTTCAATTTTCTTTTCTTACTTGGATTAATTAAAACAGATTCCTTTGAATGCATAATCTGCATATCCCAATACCACAACGGCTGAACAAATCATTAAATATCCATCAACAATGTAAATAGAACAATTCTTGAACATTGACAGAAGTCCAATTGAAGTTATAAAAAATAATTAGTGGTTAAGCCATCGAAAGGACCTCAAAGTAAAGAAAGAAAAAAGGCGAACCCATGAAAGCAAACATGAAATACAGCTAAGAACAGATGAAAGCAAACATGTTGTAACAAATGCAAATGGAAGATTGATCAAAATTACATTCAGCACAATTAAATAGCAACAATAACTTTAGGGTCAAATGGTTTGAGCAAATATGTCTATGAATCATCAAGAATGGGAAAATGAATGTACCTATTGAACAAAATAACTAATGTGCACAATTACAGAAGTAACTCACTTACAATCTTACATCCACTTTTGCAAGAGCAAGGAAGAAAACACAAACAAAAGTGCGACATCAAAATAGAAACAGAGCCACTCCATTCCTTCTCCCTACACTCAAAGCAAATGACTAAGTTATGGCAGATTGTGCATATTTAAGAACGTGCCATGATCAAGGACATAGTTCTATTTCCTACCTAGCAGTGATAAGTAGTTTCAAGTTCTTCATGTATTGTGAAGGTTGATATACATATATATTCCTAGACAAATGATTTTTGGGAGCAATTGATGGTTGACGATGATAATTGCAAATGAAATTCAATTGTCGAAAGTCATATTTAACCGTAAAAAATAAGTCAATGCAAAACCAAGGCTCGACCTGGAAGTGGATTTGCAAAATTTGTTTTGACGACTGAGATCCACACCTTTCAATTATTCAAGTGGATTAGTAGAGCATGTTAAATTTGAGAGACAAACATGGATAAATTTATAAGTAACTCTAAATCAGCAAGAACAGTAATGAAATCTTGAAAGCATGACCCAAAACTAATATAATCATTAATCACCAGAGAAAGGCTCCATTCCAGCGCTTCAAGAGTGTGATTGGCGTGGCATCGGGAAGGAAGCACGGCAGTAGAACATATATGAAATGGAGAGGCTGAGAATTAATGAGATCGACAAAAGAGCACTAAAAAGCGACAAATAGTATAAACTTGAAGGGAAAAAATGAAAGACTTATAAGGAATGGCGGGACAGTTACAGGAAAGGCAATTACAGTTACAGTGAGGGGAAAAGCGGCGGAGTAATCTAGGGCAGGGGTGGAAACTGGAACGGGTTTATAAGAGGCTGACGTGGACCACTTCTAATTACAGGAAGGGGTACGTGGCAGTGGCCTCATTCTGAAAGTCCTTTAATATTTTTTAAGATTAACCTCATTGTGATTTGTGGGTAACGTAGTTGAGTTGAATCGAGGGTGGAAAGAGGCAGGAAGCAGTCCAAGTTACAAGTCAAAAAGTGTCTTCGATTGACATTCTTATCGTGGTGCGATAGTGGAAATGGGAATTAGAGCGAGTTGCAAGAATACTTATTTTCCGAGATTTAGATGGTGGAATCAAATGTGTTAGATTCGAACGATTTGTGTATTATGTTGAATTAAAAGTGCGTACTTGATTAGCCAAATTTAGAGGTCGTTTGTAACTTTTGATTTTAATTTTTTTTATAAGGGTGATATAGATTTTATTTTGTTGTTATTAAGATACTACTTAAGGGATTCGAATTTGTGACCCCCAAGTTCTATGCTAGTGGTATTACCACTAAAGCAAACCCTTGTTCGTTGATTTCAAAAATCGTGCATTAGAAGAATGTGTGTATTAAAATTATGCATATAATAAGAATGTGTGAGTTTTAAGAATGCATTGTTTGGAGAATATAGAAGAATGCATGAATTATACATGAAACGAACTATGAATACTAAATCTCATAGAAAATGTGAGATCAAAGTATACACCATTTTCTATAAATTATGAACACATCATGCACTCTCTATACATGCATTTTGTGATTACAACAAGTCAAAAAAGCATATATTATGCAGAATACATCTATACTCAGAATACAACATTTAGAATCGGAGATTCCAATGATGGCAATTTGAACCTGTCCCGCAGGTATTACCCACCTGACCCGCGATGGGGAAGGGCATGGGCATCTACTTCCGACCCGCCCTGCCCCGCCCCGCCTCGTTCCAGACCCATTTTTTATCTCAATTTCTTACGTTATCTATACATATTTGTCATATTTTGACTTTTATTCAACTGGTTAGAGTCAATATTTCAACTTGTTAGACTCAATTACCCATTTGTAAAAAAGTAAAATTTGCGTGTATTTTTCAAATAACATGTAAGACTGAGTCGACCCGCCCATATCCGCGCGAATTTTACTTACTCCGACTCGTAGTAGCGTGGGATGGAGCATGAGAATTGAGGTACGGCCCCGCCCATTCCCATCACTAACGAGAGTGCTATTGTTAACCATCACTATGAAGCCCAGTCAAGGGTTAGTCAATCTAATAGCTCATTACTTCGGGCCGAATTTGGGCTCAGCCCACAAACATAACACACAGAAGGAAAGATTCCAAGATAAAGAGAACACAAAACGGAATTAGCACGGATAACCAAGCGGCAGCCATCTGCCACCTCCCGGCGGGTAACACAAACGACCGTCATTATTCATTAATGATTATTATTCAATCTGAAAAAGTCCGATTAATCTTCGAACCCTAAACATAAACCTCAACAGGAGGAAGAATATCTTGGTAAATTTCGACTGTTCTATCTAGATCGAGCTCAGAAATCGTAGCAGCGGCCGTTCCGCTCCCAATCGCCGTACCGAGTCGGCTCGGGACCTCTGGGCCCGCCGATCTCGCCCGTATCTTCGTTCAGGTCAAGCTCGTCCTCGCCATCTCCTCCCTCTTCTCCTTCTTCTTCCGCCTTCGATCTCTTATCTTTCTCAACCTCCGGATTCGGAATCTTGCTCGGCGGTTCTTCCTCGTGCGGCTTGGATTGCTGAGTCGTCGTCGTCGTCGTCGTGCTCACGAGTCTGCGGAGGGAGGTAAACGCCGGATCCGATCCGGCGCGGCGAGCAGCAGGGATTGCTGGGGAGGAGGAGAAGTTGGAGAATAAGCGGCCGAGATTGCTTCTCGCCATCGTCGCCTGATTTCTTGAAACTGGTAAACCCTAAATTCCTGGAAATTTTCCCCCCTTTTGATTGAATGAAATGAAGAGAGGAAGTACAGCGAGCAATTTGGGGGCAAGGCTTCTTCCGACCGGGTCTATTTTGGTAGCTGTGACAGTGCCACGTGCGCAGTAGTGAGCTTGCCAACGCGACAGATTGAGATATCTATCTGGGCCGCACTTGTTGAGCAAGAGGTCCATGAGATGGATGGTTCGGCCCAATTGTTTTTTCTTCACAAAGGGCCTATTTAGGATTAACAAAAGATGGTTATTTACTATTTAGGATTAGGATTCGGCTCTTCTGTAACCTCGTCGAGTTTTTTAAGTACAAAATTAACATTTCATATTTGACCGGCAAACGGTTCTTCCTGAATTAACAAAATCATACCCTTAATAAGTTTGCATAATAAGGCACATTTTCTAGTAAAAATTAAAAGAGTTACACATGTGAATTTTTTTTTTATTATGAAGGTGAAAATTATTCCAAAAATAATTCAGGATTCAAAAGAAGACAAACAAACTGCGGGTCCAAATATGTATATAGTCGCTTATACAAGAATAATGTATCCGTTCCAACATATTCTCACCGAATAAATATATAACTCTGTATGACAAGTAGACATGATCATCATATGTGGCTTGATGTTGAGACGATGGAGAAGTCAATAAGAACATGACTACGGTCACTACAGGAAAAAAAAATTACATTTGGATTGAAAATATTGTTCATTGCTTTGAATCCTAAGATTATGAAAATGGTTTAATTATCAATTGTTTTGAGAATGCTCCAAATTCCTCTTGAACATTTAAATCTGGATCAATAACAACATAAATGTTCCTCAACAAGGTTCCAGCACTAGTCTGACACAATAAACACTTAGACCATGATCCTCTTTGTGGGGTCTAATTGCGTATATGAAGCATTTACTTGTAACGAACGTTACGAATCTTCGTGTTGTGCGTAGTTGATCTTTCCCCATCACCTTATACGTGAAGTTTGCACTTTTTGTGGTAATGTTACTTATTAGACTCACATTTGAGAAAGCATTTTATAGGGTTCTCCATTTCATACAAATAATTAGAAAAAAATGAGACGGAAAGTTAAAGAAAAATGGGTCAAAACTGGAGCCCAGTTCATACTTCATATTGGGCTTCAAGGGGTCAAAACTGGAGCCCAGTTCGCTCCCAATAAGCGACTTCCACTACCAGCTGTCCACAAATAATGAGGAATAAAAAAAGAGTTAAAAAACGGACAACGGGACAAATGATTGGATAGGTGATGATTCTCGTCAATGGCGGATACACTCACACAGACAGAGACAGAGACCACTTCAAAGAGTAAAGTTTAGAGATAACGAAAAAGGAAAACGAAGAAAGAAATGGGCGGAGAAGGGCAGCTTCTGAGGAGAATTCCACGAATTAAGTTCCCCAAAAGACACTCTTCCTCAGGTAACTGTCACCACGTATCTCAGTTTCTCTATCGCCATGATCTTCAATTTCAGTCTTAAGTGGCCAATTTCAGGAAAGAACATAGGAAGCTTAATCTATGTTGGTGTATTGGTGAAAGGTTTTACCAGAAGGAATAGTTGTTTAGTTTCCGGAATAACAGTAGATCTCCTGCGATTGCAGCAGCAATCGGCTTGGTAGATATCTGTAAAGTTCGAATCTTTGAGCTAAATTGAGACTGTAGCTGGGTTGTATTTGTATATGTAAAGTTTGGATCTTTTTTGGTGCTTCCTATGTACAGTAGAAATATGGGTTGAGTTAGTAAATGATTGGATGTTTTCTGTGAGGGAAGAATCTGCAGGCTCCCAGGAGGGTCGAGAAATAGCAACAGGAGGAGGAGAGAAGTATCAGTTTCCTCCCCAAGCTTCTGGGTCAGATGTTTCGTCATCGGCGTCCGACGCTGCTGTTGGAGGGAAAGCTTCTCTTCAGCCTAGGCGAACCCCGGTCACCGAAAGGGAAATCGAGGCTGTGATGGTAAGTAGGAAAGAAACAAAGACTTTGCCTAGTTTTTGCTCTCCTCTATTGTTTGCAGCAAATCCTGTGATGGTGATGATGATAAGGGTTGCTTGTTAACTACACAGAACAATATATGGTCTATGCTAGTAACTACGTATGTCTAATGAGCTCTTTTGGCCTCTATATGATGCATTTATGATATGAACTGCTCAGAAAGGTTCCTTCATGGATTGGCCACGCTTCGTCGTATTAAGTGACATGAAACTGGGTTTAGAACATTTCCCCCCTATAGCTCGAGTTAGCGAGACGAACTGGGTGGTTTGATGTGGATCGCGGAGTCTTGGTTGTTGTTGAGAGTCGCTTAATTTCTGCTGTTGATTATCGATGTATTTGACAATGTGATTGTCTACTGAATCATTCCCAGACAACTTAAGTTCGTTTTCTGCTGTCAAAATACTGGCATAATTTGTTCCCCCTCTTCTCATTTTGCAGCTGGGTGGCTGCTTTTGACGGAGCAGGAAGCCCGCAATGAAGCAGTCGAAAGGGTGATTTGGTTGTCACCTGTTCGTCACCAGTCGTCAATGAATTACGTCTGGACACCGCTACTGTAAATTTGCACCTCTTCAATAAGAAACACTCGCTCCACCATTTGCTTATGGTATGTACTTTATAGCTTTGAATTTGCTGTAACAGAAGAATGTACAATCACCTGATCAATGAATCAGCTCGCTTTTGTTTCGACCATAAGAAGCATCATTAGCCAACGTAATCGAACCATAAGAAGCTTTTGTTTCAACTCATGTACAAGCGAATGAAACCCACCCGGAACAAGTACTACTCCGAAACAACGCCCTGTTGCATGAAACTATATTCGTTGGCAGTTCTACAGATGTCATTTGTTGCCTCTGGTAAAGAATGTGTTTGAACGCTATGCATTTGTCGAAGATCGCTTCGATGTTGCCTATAAACTAGGCAATAGAAAGAAGAGAGATTAACTACACATACAACAACACTGCTAAAGCAGGACACAGAAGCATGGGTATAGGTTTTCTTCTCTACCAGGACAATCATATGTTTGAGAAAACTTGACGAATCAAAATAGTATTAGATTTCCCCCTTACAATATAAATTACATATATATTGCTTGCAGTTGAAGTTGGAAAGCGCCTAAACAAACAAAACTGCACATTATTCTTTCCTCAACAAACCCAAAACAAAATCCACCTCTCGAAACTAAGGTGGCTGTTGAAACTATCAAACCTATACCATGGGGGCAGAGGGAAACAAAAACCCAAAAAAGAACAGCATCAACACAATTCCTAGTTCCTGTACTACTATCTTCCAGCTAAACCTTTCAAAGCCATCTTCAGCTTCACAACATGACTGACATTGTTGCATCGTCATCATCACGACCACCGATTATTTATCTCCGAGCGGCCGCGCTGTATGATCCATCAGCAATGGAAAAGCTCAGAGCTTTCCATCGCCTATGTCATGACCCTGTGTTTGTCTTCTCGCTGCTTCTTAGTCAAGTCTCGCTCTCTCGCATCACCACGTTCCTTGCTGATCGCGTCAGCATCCTCTTCTCGCATGAGGTACTTGTCAACTTGGGATGCAGTCTGTCTTCCCTCGGATATAGCCCATACGACGAGGGACTGTCCTCGTCGGCAATCTCCAGCAGCAAACACGCCTTCCACATTTGTTGAGAATCGGCCATAATCAGCCTTGAAGTTCGATCGTGCATCTCTCTCCACACCCAACTTCTCTGCCAAGTTCTGTAGAAGAACAAGAAGTATTAGAAATTGGAGTAAATGAATCAGGAGAAAACTGAGCAGTAAGCAGGCAGGAGAAGGGTAACTGACCGCCTCGGGACCAAGGAAGCCCATTGCGAGCAGGACGAGATCAGCCTCAATCATCTCCAACGAACCTTCTACCTCCTTGAACTGGAACTTCCCGCTGGCATCCTTCTCCCAGTTGACCTGGATCACCTCGAGACCCTTGAGCTTCCCGTTCTCATCTCCCACGAACCGTTTGGTCAGCACTTGGTAAGTCCGTGGGTCCTTTCCAAATTTGTTTGCAGCTTCTTGATGTCCATAGTCCACCCGGAAGACACGAGGCCACTGCAAAACAAAGATTGAATGATGATGTGAAATGTTCCAGAGTCCGATCAGGGTTTTATGATTCGAAGATTCAGACCTGAGGCCAAGGGTTGCCTGGTGCTCGAGCCTTTGGTGGCTCGGGCAAAAGCTCTAGATTCACAATGCTGTTGCAGCCATGGCGAATGGATGTCCCGATGCAGTCTGTCCCAGTATCACCTCCGCCGATGACCACCACTTTCTTCCCCTTGGCGGATATGTAGTTGCCATCCTCCAGATTGCTGTCGAGCAAGCTCTTAGTGTTGGCGTGAAGGAACTCCATGGCGAAATGGACTCCCTGCAGGTCCCGTCCAGGTACAGGAAGGTCTCTTGGCTTGGTGGCTCCGACTGCCATAACAATGGCGTCATTGTCCTCCCGGAGCCTCTCTAGAGAATACTCAGGGTCAACTCCGATGTTAGCATTGACCACAAAGTCGATGCCTTCCTCTGCCATGAGGTTGACACGTCGTTGAACTACATCCACTTTGTCAGTCTTCATGTTGGGGACTCCGTACATCATAAGCCCTCCGATCCTGTCAGCACGCTCATAGACAGTCACCAAATGGCCCATTCTGTTCAGCTGATCGGCAGCGGCCAAACCTGCTGGTCCACTTCCGATTATCGCAACTCGCTTCCTGCAATACCGAATGCACTCCATCATGAATAAAAGACACATAGACACATTGACAGAGGATCCTAATCGAGTGACAACGTACCCAGTTCTTTTGAGAGGAGGCCTTGGCTTCATCCACCCTTCTTCGAAGGCCTTATCGATGATAGCACATTCTATGTTCTTTATAGAGACAGGATTCTCAATTATGCCAAGAACACAAGAACCTTCGCACGGGGCAGGGCACACGCGGCCAGTGAATTCTGGGAAGTTATTTGTCTCGAGAAGACGATCCAATGCTTCACGCCATCTGTTTTGATAAACTAACTCGTTGAACTCGGGTATTTTGTTTCCAAGCGGGCATCCCGAGTGCTCCTGCATCAAAGAAGCAAATTAGAGAAGAAAGTCAGACTAATCTCTTCCCACCATTACTGAAATGGGTAAAGCAAAAGCAGAAAAAGCTATTGCTCTCACCTGATGGCAGAAAGGAGTACCACAATCCATGCAGCGAGCTGACTGAGTCTTTAAAAGAGGGCCAGGTTTTGATTCCTCCATTACTTCATTCCAGTCATTCATACGGATGTTAGGATCCCTGTACTGAACACCTTCACGCTCATACGCAACAAACCCACGATGCTTAACAGCATCATTGACCTGACTTGGCCTCTTTGATTCGGCAGTTTCATCCACCTGTCCATACCAAAACAAGAGACAGACATCAGAATCTATAAGAAAAAGATATCAACCAAGAAAATGTTCAAGTCAAGCACTCCAACTAAACCTTGGATAGGTCTTCCTCTCACAATTTTTATGGCTCAATCTGACAAGTCAAATACATTAGCGGGCCCAAGAGGCAAAAGCATCATTCAGTTTTCTTAATATGACCCATCAGAAATCAGAAAGAAGACCCACCTGAATGGATTTATCATTCACTGATGCAGCTGCTAACTTTTTTAGCTCGTTAAAGGCATCTTTCGGATTCAACTCCACCTCATCTTGATCCTCAGTTTCTTTAACCATCTTCTCAGCAACCTCTTTAGCAGCTGATTGACTCTTCATGCTCGCAAGCACACGCTTGTAATCTCTCGGGAAGACCTTGATGAACTTAGGGAGGAGATCGTCAAAATCGGCCAACACTTCCTTAGCCAACTGGCTGTTAGTGTTGCGCTGATGCTGTTGTATCGTCATTCTGAGAGTCATAATGTCCTCTTCTTCCTCGACTCGATCGAGATCCACCAACTCCGGGTTGCAACGAGAATGGAATTTCCCGTCAATATCAAGAACATAGGCAATGCCACCACTCATGCCTGCAGCAAAATTTCTCCCTGTCTTCCCTAGCACAACAACAGTGCCACCTGTCATGTACTCGCAACCATGATCACCAACTCCTTCAACAACTGCAGTAGCTCCGGAGTTCCGTACACAGAATCTTTCGGCAGCCATACCATTGAAATATGCTTCACCGCTGATAGCTCCATACAGAGCTACATTACCAATCACTATGTTCTCTTTCGGATCAAACAAGCTTCCTTTTGGTGGATAAACCACGATTTTTCCACCTGACAATCCTTTTCCAACGTAGTCATTGCTGTCACCCTCGAGCTCTAGTGTTATACCAGGGCAAAGGAAAGCACCAAGACTCTGCCCAGCACTTCCATCGAGTTTCACATGAATGCTGTCTTTCGGAAGCCCTGCCAGATTATACCGCTTGGTGACTTCATGACTCAGCATTGTACCGACAGCACGGTTCACGTTGCATATTGGCGTCTCGATGTACACAGGAAGACCCTTTTCTAAGGCCGGTTTAGAGAGCGTTATGAGTTTATTATCCAGAGCCATGTCCAAACCATGGTCTTGCTTCTCCACGCAATACTGAGCAGCCCCCGGGCGGATGTCAGCAGCAGGTCTAAGTAGGAGTGAAAGGTCAATGTTTTCAAGCTTTTCGTTGTTCTTAACAACATCTCTATCAACTTCCAGCATATCCGCACGACCAACCATCTCGTTAAGCGTGCGGAAGCCGAGCCCGGACATTATCTCCCTAAGCTCTTCAGCCAACATGAAGAAAAAATTGATGACGTGTTCAGGCTCTCCAGCAAACTTTTCTCTGAGAACTGGATCTTGAGTGGCAATGCCAACCGGGCAAGTGTTTTTATGGCACTTTCTCATCATGATGCATCCAAGAGTTATGAGAGGTGCTGTGCTGAAGCCGAACTCTTCTGCACCGAGAAGTGCAGCAACTGCTACATCTCTTCCGGTTTTTAGTTGACCATCGGTCTGGAGAACAGTACGGCCTCGAAGGTTGTTGGCAACGAGTGTTTGGTGGGTTTCGGCCAAACCAAGCTCCCACGGGAGCCCGGCATTTTTAATGCCTGTCCATCTAGAAGCTCCGGTACCTCCATCGTGACCTGAGATCAAGACGTGATCAGCATGACCCTTCACCACTCCACTAGCTATCACACCCACGCCAGCTTCAGATACCAACTTGACACTAATCCGAGCTCCTGGGTTGGCATTCTGCAAAAATTGTAAACATTAGGAGGTTTTAATAAATTGACTGGTGGAAGAAGAAATCCAAATTGGAACATCCCATTCCATCAAACAAACTGCATTGAAGCTGGAATCGGAAGTAGGAAATACATCCTACCTTGAGATCGTGAATCAGTTGAGCAAGGTCTTCAATAGAATAGATATCATGATGAGGAGGAGGGCTGATGAGGCCAACACCAGCAGTGGAGTTTCGGGTTACTGCAATATCTCCTATAACCTTATGCCCAGGTAGCTCACCACCTTCACCAGGCTTGGCTCCCTGCAAAAATGTTATGCAAATTAGCAAGATGGTAACAGATGTTTTCAGTTTGGTTTTTACTGAAAGATCTCAGCATTATCTGCCATGAAGAATATAGATCTTGGTCCTACCAAGAATGCAGGGTCTCAAGTATTCAACAAATTTAAATCTTCAATATGAAAATTATCTATAATTAGATACCTGAGCCATTTTAATCTGCAATTCATCCGCATTTGTTAGATAGTAACTTGATACACCGAATCTCCCACTTGCAACCTGCTTAATTGCACTCCTCTTTGGATTTCTCGTACCGTCTGAAAAAGGCTCCATTCTAGAAGGCTGCTCACCTCCCTCACCTTAATATGTAGAGGAACATCCATTAAAGAACACCCAAGGCAAAGCAGAATGAGAAAATTAAACAAAGAACAGATAGGGTCGATCAAGCATACCTGTGTTAGACCTCCCTCCAATCTTATTCATCGCAACAGCAAGAGTTGAGTGTGCCTCCAATGAAATAGACCCATAACTCATAGCTCCGGTGCAGAATCGTTTCACAATCTCACTGGCTGGCTCCACCATATCCAGTGGAACCTTGATTGCAGAGTCCTTAAACTTCAGAATCCCCCTCAAATTACAGGCTTTGTTTAATTCTTGAATGCGTTTAGAGTATTCTTTATAAGCAGCTACACTATTAGCTCTGGCAGCTTCTTGGAGCTTTGCTATGGCAAGAGGATCGTTCAAGTGAATCTCACCTCCCTTTCTCCAATGGTAGTCCCCTGGATTTGGCAGTGCGACAGCCTCTGCACTTCCAGGAGGTAGAGCTCGCCTAGGGAATGCCAACTCATGCAAACGAAGAGAATCACGGGCGAGCATCTCAAATGTAGCTCCCTCAACTCTGCTTGGAGTTCCAGCAAAGCACTTCTCAATCACCTCAGATGAAAGACCAAGAGCTTCAAAAATTTGAGCACCCTTGTATGAGGCCAGTGTTGATATCCCCATTTTGGCAAGAACCTTCATCATGCCATAGTTGCTTGCTTTGAAATACTTTTTCACCAACTCATTCTTCGAGTGAAATTCTCCATTAGATTTTGGAGGAATTTTCCCATCAACCTGGAGTCTCCAAATAGCCTCTACAGCCAAGTATGGGCATATAGCATCTGCACCAAATCCAACCAAAGTACAGAAATGATGAACTTCACGTGGTTCTGCAGACTCCACAATCAAACCTACTTGAGTTCGCTCAAGCTTTCTCACAAGGTGATGATGGACCGCACCAACAGCCAAGAGAGAGCTTACAGCCACCCTCGTGGAAGAAAAGGCTGGACAAAGAGGCACAGAGAAGATGAAAAGACGAATGAGGAACCGCGTATGGCTATCTTTCAATTAGCTGTAATTACAAAGTACGCAAATGAATAGTCTATACATACCTCTATCAGAAAGAACTAGCAAGGTGTAACCTTCCTTGATTGCAGAATGTGCTTCAGCACAAATCCTATCCAAGGTTTCCTCCAATCCCTTCCTGCCACTGTCCCTTGAATAAGTTATGTCGAGAACTTTGCTCCGCCAACCCCTGTAGTTCATCTTCTTAACAGCCTCGACTTCATCGATTGTCAGGAGAGGGCCCTTCAGTGAGAGGCGGTGGCATTGCTCTTCAGTTGTTTCTGTCAGATCACCTTCAGGGCCAATCATGCATTCCGTTGAAGTGACAATTTTCTCTCTAATGGGATCAATTGGAGGGTTTGTAACTTGAGCGAACATTTGCTTAAAATATTCGTAAGTGAGCTTTTCTCTGTCAGACATAACAGCCAGTGGAGTATCATTTCCCATTGAGCCAAGAGCCTCGCTGCCATCTTTTGCCATGGGAAGCAACAACATCTCCAAGGCTTCCACCGTATAGCTTCATAAATACAAGACATAACATGAAAACATGGTTCCAATTTAACACAGTATGGTTTTGCATTTTAGTGACACATACCCAAAAGCTTTCAATGGCGCCAGCAAACCATGAATTCCCATGTTCTCCATGTTCTCATCGTTACTTGAAGCCTGTAATTTGAAACGGTAGGATTAGCACAACCCCATCTTCAATGTAAAGGAATAAAATTAATGTAACAAAAGACATACTGAAACAACACCCGCCAACTCTGGGGGAACTCTGTCAGCTTCAGGAATTGCCTCAATTATATCCTTCAGTTCAATCTTTTGCCTCTTCAGCCAGTCGCCATATGGCCTTGATAGAGAGTATTGTTGCTTCAATGCTTCATCATCTACAACAATGTGCTTCTCAAAATCCACCAGAAGCATCATTCCAGGGTTAAGCCTTCCTTTCCTGAGCACATCTTCAGGAGGTACGTCAACAACACCAACTTCACTGGCCATGATAACTCTCCCACTTCGAGTTACATAGAACCTGCCCGGACGCAAGCCATTGCGATCTAGTGTAGCTCCAAGATAGTGGCCATCAGTGACTGCACATGTCACACTATGTCAGCAAACAAGAACTACACTAAGAGACTAAGAGCTAGCAGTAGCATTGAAAAGGTGATATGTCATAAAAAATCATTACATGAGACAAGTGCAGGCCCATCCCATGGCTCCATGAGACAAGAGAAGTACTCGTATAATGCTTTCCTTTGTGGGTCCATGTTCTTATCATTTTGCCAGGCTTCAGGGATCATCATCATGACAGCTTCAGGGAGACTTCTCCCAGCTCGAACCAGAAGTTCGAGGACACCATCAAATGCCCCTGCAGAGGGCAACTTAAAAATGTAAGCCCGGGCGTTGAAACAGAAATGAAATTATGTTGATGATGAACACTTGGAAAGAAAATTACCAAATCTTACCAGAGTCGGATGAACTAGCATCAACAATTGGCAAGAGCTTCTTCATCTCGTTCTTAGAGAGCCCAAGCTCCTTGCATTTCAGTAGACCCTCACGTGCTCTCATCCTGAATAAAAAGATTCAACACTTTAGCTTCCAGCTTCGATAAGCTCGGTAACACATTATTTTCAGAAATAGCCTACCAATTCACGTTGCCCCTAAGAGTGTTGATTTCACCGTTGTGGCCCAAGACACGCATTGGTTGAGCACGATCCCAGCTAGGGAAAGTGTTGGTCGAAAAGCGAGAGTGTACCTGTAGAAAGAATTATATGAACCAAAATTGTCATTGTGCAGTTCCACTTAAAAGGAAAAGACAGAAAAGTAAAAAGTGGCATGCACACCAAATGCATGCTCTGCTTTTTTAGAGATAAAGGAGTTGACGTGGTGGCATAACAGTATCGTGTTAACCCTAAGCTACCTTGACCAAACAAAACATCCTTTCAACCACCAACTGGGAGTGTCCTCTTCAAACAACTGACCAGATACAGCAGTGCAGTAAATTTCTGCAAACATGATTGACAATGAGACTTCTGGCCAACTCCAACAAGGGCATCCAATCCAGCCATCCAAATTTAATTAGTAATCAAGGGTGTGGAGGATACTTAAGAGACCATTCATACTTCAATGCCTCAGAAGTCATCCCCAACCTGGCATATCTCCAGATACCGGTGGTTCCCATGCTGTTTTGTTGAGGCATGAGTTAGTGGAGAAAGCATAACAGTCAATGGATAATTATATTTACCAGGGCCATGTAGCTCGTAAACCTTTCATTCCCAAGATCCGCATAGTAGTATTCCGACAGCTGTACAGGCTTCAGCTGACCTTTGTAAACAACGGTCCTGATAGAAACCAGCTGAAGCCATTAATGCTATTCACAAATGGAACAGGGCACAGAAAAAATCAATTCAAAATCACAATTCAAAATTGTTACCTAGATGACAGAGAACATATATAGAAGTCACGGACAGCACCATGTTGGAGGTTCAGTGCAGCGCGGATTGCTACCATGGATACCCTCCGTAATATATACATCTGCCAGTAAACATCAATCATAAGAACCATAATATATTAGCTAATTACAATTTCTATCAGGATCATCTAGTCCTATACATCATACTCCTCGCAATTGACTAAACACAAGAACTAGCCAGCTTGCGAATGAAGACGTACCTGCTGTTCAAAATCAGCTTTCGACCTAGGAGTCGGGGTGAGGAAGACCTGCTCGATCACAGGCTCTGTCTGCAAAGCAGACTGCCCCAACCCAGAGTTATCTGTCGGTACAGGCCGCCATCCAAGAACTGTATGGCCAAGGGACTCGGCAACCTGCAATGGCAGTCAAACCAGCATTACATTTGAAACCATGTATTTACCAAACGGGTAAGTAAAGGTGAAAAAAGCAAACAGCATTTCCCAAAAAGATTAGAGCTTTGAATTCAGCTCAGCACACCTTAGTAAACACATTTTTGCTTTCCTCCCTGCGGTTGTCTGAGGTGGGCAAAAAGAACATTCCAACTGCATATTCTCCCGGCTGAGGAAGCTCAAACCCAAGATCCTTCGTAACCTGAAGAAAACAAATAGAAATTCAATTACCAGACACAATAAAATTCAGTAATATACGACTAAAACACAGTCTAGGAAAAATGGCGGGGAAGAAGAATAGGTGTTGGCACAATTCTGTTGAAATGAAACATTTCACCCCATCTACAATAAGACGAATATATATTCAGACATCGCGTGGAACTCTCTGTTACAATTGGTGAGCCAATTACTGACTGGGAAAAACAACGACGGAGTAGCTTTCAGATTTTTCACTTTTCACAGGGTCCAAAAGATGAAAAGAACCAGAGCAAAAATATGTCACTGCGGCATTTTGACCCAAGCTATGCTATGTCTATGTCCATCCAGGACAATGAAAAACAAAAGGAAATTAATCCATAAGTCGTTAATTCGCTTACATACCATAAATTGTTAATCCATAATTCTCGTCCGAATTAAACTCAAAACAAACATTCAATTCAACCCAGATATCAAATTCAATCAATTCCTTTTCAAAAAAACAATTTAGAGTGGTCTACCTCTTTGTAGAAACCGTGAGGAAGGCCGACGAGAATCCCAGCTCCGTCGCCGGTATTCGCTTCGCAGCCACAAGCTCCCCTGTGGGTCATGCGAACCAACATTTCCACCGCATCGGTTACCTAATTTGCCATCGCCGGAGTTACAATAAAAATACCAAATCAGCTTCCCGTCACATATTCAATCAGTTCTCAGTAACCGAATAGACACTAACCGTCTTCCGATTGCTGTCGCCGGACAGCTCCGCGACGAATCCCACACCGCAAGAGTCCTTATCGAAAGACGGATCGTAAAGACCGAGGGGTTTCTCCGGCACACCGGACAATGCGGACCGAACCACCACCCGGAGCTTCGGTGACCTCCCCGGCCCGTCCGACTGCCACACGTGCAGCCTCTCCGCTGCGTGAGGCCTCAATCGCGTCCCGAAGAGCTTCGATTTCTCCAAACCGTTCCTGGCGGCGACGGAGCGGCATCGCGTCGTCGTCCCTCCTCGCTGAGAATACGAAGGGACGGCGAATACAGGGGACGACGCCTTGTTTGGCTGAAGCAGCGGCGATGCTGAGCTAGCGGTAGCCCCTTGCTGAAGCAGATTGCTCATAGTCCCAGTACCCGACATTTTCGGAACGGCCAAAAATTGATTCTCGGAAAATTCAAACGGATTGAAGAAAAAGAGTTCGAATCCAAACAAAACCGTTACAGAGTCTCAGATCCAGGAGAACGGAGATAGGTCAGGTCAATTCGTTTTTGTTATTAGAGATCTCTACGAATTTTTTTTCTTCCCTATCACACACAGAGCTTCTGTTCGTCTGATCACATGCACCGACGGAATTCACGAGATCCGGCGAAGGAGAAGGGTAGGAAACGGAGCTGGCAAAGGCAGTAAAATACAAAGAACAGAGAGGAGACAGGATGAGTTAAGAACGACAAAAAGAAAAACGAAAGAAGCGGCGGCGGCGGACAGCAGGCAGAAGTTGGCCGGCGGAGAGCTTGGTTATCGGGAGCGTTTGGGGTAAGCGTTGAGAGAGGCAGAGGAGCGTTTGATTTATAGAGGAAGTGAAAAGGGTTGGAGAGGAGTGTGTGGGACCCACGACGGCTAAATTTAACCCAATTGTCATAGAGGGCAGAGATCTCTGGGTTACAGGTCTGTCACCCATTTCTGTGTAACCGCTCCAATTTATTTTATGTTTTTTGTGTGGTGAATAAGTAGTTTGCCAATATTTTAAAAATAATTTCCTTTTAGGGATATTTTTTTAATATTTTCGGTATTATAATTACTGTGCTTCTTTTTTTTTCAGATAGTTGTTAATTGTTTGAATAGAAAGTTATTAAATCAAATACTGAAACTTGACCATAAATATTATCTTGACATATTTGAAATTTGTTGATTAATATTCATAAAAAAATTATTAATTAATAATGACTATTCCCGAATGCTACGTTTGCGTATGATTTAGGTATTATAAAATCAAAACAATGTTATTGATATTTACTCGAGTTAATTTCACGACAACCATGATAAAATTTTGGCATTCAGAAAATGCTAGGTTGAGTTTGGTACGCGATTGAAATACGACCAAACTTGCTATGATTTGACAAACTTCAAATGCAAACAATAATATTGACTAATTGCCGAATATGCTAAATTGACAACGTAATGCAGCAAATGAGCTACTAAAGAAGCGTTCGGTACTTTGGCAACTCATTTTGTAATGTCACAACCACGTGTATGGTGTATCTATACGGTCACATAATAACCCGCTCAAAGTGGGACCGTTTCAATTGAGGTAACGACACTCACTTTACGGCATCATGTGACATGTGGGACGGTTACGTTTTTTTAAGACTCGGATATGAACCGACTCATCAAACTCCTAACTATCTAGTTAGCTATTTTGTATTGTTTCATTTGGACTTTTTATGATATATTTCATTCACCACAAAGCGAAAGATGGATATAATGAGTGATGGTTTTCATACTTTCTCAAAATACCAATAATAGTCTGCATACTATGAACATGATGGGGAAAAAATTATACAGGAAAAAAGTATTATAGTTAAAAAATTTTAAGGTGATTCCATATTGTTTGGCGTGATTCTACCGGTGGAATTAAAATATCTGTGGTAAATGGAAAATCAAGGCAAGTCATGGTTGTTTATTTTTAGGAAACCGGTGGCGGAGTTGACTACGTACGCAGCGTGTGACGCGAGGGATGACGCCGAATAACAAATCCATAAGTAGTAATAAATAATAATTCAAAACAAAATATATATATACATGGAAAATAATTAATTGGCAAACGCAGCTAATCGTATACGTAACTACCATAACCAGTGATTTTTTCCATTTTTTAGTTTCATTTTTATGCGGCCAATGGAAATCGAATTAATTATAATCTTCTTTAAATTTTCTTTGCTTTTTAATAGTTTGGTTACTAATTATGATCCATTAAACTATCAACGAAATGGCAAGAGATCCAGGAAAATTTTTTTCTCGAAAAAAGTGTTGTTTGGTCTCTTTTTATCGATTGTGGAGGCCAAGCCGATACCTTTCTCGGCCTTCTGGCTAAGATCAAGTGGAGGCCAAGCAGTTTCTCCACCTGTTAGTTGTCTATTGTGTGTCTGAATTGATTAGGGTTGGTAAGGGTTAAGAACGTAATGTGTGTTTGAGAGTAATGTCGTTTGTCTTTAATAGAATTTTGTTGAAAACCTAATAGTATGCTATCTAAGGTAAAAAAAAGACCCCTAGAATATCATTGGTTCGAAAAAACGCAATCAAAACATGAGGAAGTCACTTTGCTCAATAAACCAAAAGGCACTCATTGGCATTTAAATGAGCAAAATGTTTGTATTATCTCGATCATTCGTCTCAGACGAATATGTAATTTGAAAATTTATCGCCACCAAAAGATGAGTAGCTAAAATTCATATATGGAGTGCAATGTAAAAAAAAATAAAACCTCGAGGTTATACCCTTTCAAAAAAGGATTGACTATAACTCCAACTCTACCATACAACCCAGTTATCAACTGATAAATTATTTCAGATTCATCTACTTGTTGGGATGAACGAATCGAACCGAGTAGCTCACTAACCCGAACACAACCCATACAAAAAAAAAGCACTTTACTTGTTGGGTGCGTTACCATTGTGGCATTGTCCTGTACTCTAATAGTTTTTGTTTTTCCCGATTCCGTTTTGGAATCCGAAACAAGATAACTAGTGATTAATTCTATGGAGCACATTGAATAAGGGAGAAAAACGGGGTACTGCCCATAGTATTTTGTAGTTTGGGACTAACGATACATTTATTCGCAGTACAACAACTCCCACGTTTATCCAAACAAGCCAGCAGCTTAAGTATCACAGTCAGGAGACGTTTTACGGCAAAATTAGGTCAAAAGTCCATCGTCCCGGGAAAGGAAAATGACCGGTAACGAGTCGCCGCTGCGGATTTTGGGAATGTCGTCGGATTCGTTAGCTATAGCTGGCGCGTGGCCAACTCATGCTATTTATATCCCTTTTTTTGTGATTATATCCCAAATTTTAATTTCAACGCCCGGAAAATAGCGAAATAAATATTAAAAAAAACTAACTAGTTATTTTTATTTTTTACATAACTGACTTTTTGTTGATGTATAACTAATGCTATTTGGAGTTAGGTTGAAAGTAGGGGTCCTTCTCAATTTGGTCAGATTATCTCGAAATGAAACAAGCTTGTCAAATTGATCTGTTATGATTTCTCATCCAAACGGAGTAAATAAGCATCAACCAATGTAAACAAATTAATTATAAGGAAAAGCCGGTTTGCAAATAATTTTATAAGGCAGCCGGATGGGACAAAATAATTCACACCATGAAGCAAAGTTTGCAAGTTCAGGCGGCGCCATGAACTTGGACAATATAGATGAGGTTCCAGCTAGGATACGAAAATAGAACAAAAAGATCGTGTGTTTCGCTATTCACTGTTTTGGCGATACTTTGGATTGTCTCTGGATGTTGAACCGACAACATCGATCTCTCCCTCTAACTATTTTCCACTTTTCTGCTGTGGAAATTAGTGGGAGTTTTCGTTTTCATGTCTCCCGAGTCCTTGTTAGAAACGGAACAACAACAAGATGAGGATACCGAATCTGGAGCTGAGTCGCGGACTAGGTCGCTTTCTTTAAGACGTTCGCGGCACTGCCCTCGATGCGCACGGCAGACTATCAACCGGTCGTCTCCAGGATAAAACAGCTCCTCTGTGTACTCGCGGTTTTGTGCGAAAACCGGAGCTCTCTGAACACTCTCTCTATTGTGTTTATGCTCGTTGTTGTGTGTTTAGAGGGGCTGGGGAGGCGGCTATTTATAGGAGCCGAACCCCTAGGAATATACCCTCTTGCTTGGGGAATAAGTCGGATTAATTAAGGAAGATAATTACTTCCTTAATTAAAACCGTCGGTTAGGATAAATCCTGCGGAGATTATCCTTCGAATATTCCTTTTTCAATCGATTATCCCTTGGAATATTCCTCAGAGTAACCGATTAATAATTAATTATTAAATAATTAATTTCGTTCGGAATTTCTCCAAAAAATATGGATATAGTCTCAAGTGATCCATCCATCCAACCAACCAACCGACCGACCGACCGACCGGCCGGTCGGACGGACGGACGGCGCGCGCGTGTGTGGTGGTCCGTTAGGTCCTCCCTCTCCCACAAAAGTGGGTCACCCCAAGGGGCATGCCCTTAGGAGAGAGGCTCCTATCTTTACAATCACTTCACCAAGTAAAACTACCAATGTGGTAGTTTTTCCACTTGAGACTCTATAGCTTTCAAAGCTATTCATACACATTTCCAACAATCCCCCACTTGAATAGTTTTGAAACTATCTCTGAGCATCAACAGTTCCATAAGATCGGGCATAAGCTAAGGTATCGCGAAGATTTGAACCTTAGCGTAGTGGTTACACTTCCGATTTCATAAGGGTGACTCGTAGTCTTGAACCCTATCTCAGACAGTGTAGCACACCGGATCTTTTCATTGAGTTGTGTTCTCTTCTTAGCCCGTGCGTTTATGGCCTTGCACGTTACCCTGGTTTAGTGAACGCTCTAGCAACTTTGTGCCTCTCAAAGTTCCATAGGGAGCGGCCCCACTCCCACATTCACATAGGTGAGTCTATCAGGAGTACCCCCAAAGTAAAGTACTCCACCCCACATAGGGTATAGATCTCATTAAGAGTTATTAACTCAACCTCCATTGCTTTGGGATTCATGCTTCATTATGCATGAACTTTTCGCATACTACTCATGACTTGTTATTACCCATTGAACCCATTTCTTGGGATCTCCAGTCTATTGGGTCGGGTTACCATCACTTGTAGTCCGTGGTTCGGTAGGCATAAGTCCCATACCCTTGGCGGTATTCTGGACTTTCTCTCTAGGTAATCCTTTCGTCAAAGGATCAGCTAGATTCTGTTCGGATCTTATATGATCCACCCTCACTGCTCCTATCGTTAGGAGTTCTCTAACAGTACTGTGCTTACGACGAATCTGTCGTTTCTTTCCGTTATAGAACTGGTTCTCAACTTTAGCGATAGCTGCGGTACTATCACAATGTATCAATACCGGAGGGACCGGGCTTTCCCATAGGGGAATCTCTGACAACAATCCTCTCAACCAACTTGCTTCTTCACTAGCCGTTGCTAGTGCTATCATCTCTGATTCCATAGTTGATTGAGCTAGGATTGTTTGTTTCTTTGACTTCCAAGACACAGCTCCACCAGCGATGTTAAAAACATATCCGCTGGTTGCCTTGGAGTCATCTGATAGGGTATTCCAATCCGCATCACTATACCCTTCTAGTACAGCGGGAAACCTTTGATAGTGTATACCAAGGTTTGCTGTTCTCTTGAGGTATCTCATGACCCTCTCTATAGCATTCCAATGCTCTCTACTAGGACAGCTGTTAAACCTGCCAAGCAATCCCACGACATATGCAATGTCTGGTCGAGTGTAATCCGCAGCATAACGGAGACTGCCAATGATGCTAGCATATTCTGTTTGTCTTACACTGTCTCCAGTGTTCTTGAATAGCTTTACAC